CCCACCTTGTCCGATTGGCATTTACGTTTAGATCATCCGGCTTTGCCGATTCTTCGTCGTATTGTTTCAAGCTTTGATGTTTCGTTATCTAAGCATTCCTTGTCTTCCCCGTGTGACTCGTGTTTGGTCAATAAAAGTCATAAGCTTCCTTTTTCATTGTCCACATTATCTTCTTCTCGTCCTCTCGAACTATTGTTTTCCGATGTTTGGACATCTCCGGTCATTTCCGTGGATGGTTTCAAATACTATGTGATTTTTGTTGATCATTTCACGCGTTATTCTTGGCTTTACCCTCTCAAACGTAAATCTGATGTTCACGACACTTTTGTTCGCTTCAAAGCCCTTGTCGAGAACAAGTTCTCCTCCAAAATATCTATGTTTTACTCGGACAATGATGGTGAGTTTTTAGCTCTATCTTCCTTTTTAGTATCTCATGGTATTTCTCATCATACAACACTGCCACATACTCCGGAGCACAATGGAATATCCGAGAGAAAACATCGACATATTGTTGAGACCGGTCTCTCCCTTCTCCACCGAGCCTCCATTCCATTGTGTTATTGGTCCTATGCCCTAACCACAGCCACATACCTCATTAACCGCTTACCATCCTCGGTCCTAGGTATGTCATCGCCGTTTGAAATTCTTTTTCACTCGTCTCCGAACTACTCAAAGTTACGAGTGTTCGGTTGTCTTTGTTATCCTTGGTTAAGGCCATATGCATCTCATAAACTTGCTCCTAAGTCGACTCCGTGTGTTTTTCTTGGTTACTCCCCCTCTCAAAGTGCCTATTTTTGTCTTGACCTCTCTTCTTCTCGGTTATTCATCTCTCGTCACGTCGTTTTCCACGAGTCTAGCTTTCCATTTGCCAATCGTGGTCTTGCGTCTGCCTCCCCTTCTTCCTCCGAGTCGTTTGAACCTTTTCGTCCTTCTTTTATGTCATCCGCAACACGTGTTACTCCATATTCACCGCCGGTCTCTACTGCCTCCTTTGGTGAGCCTCCGTGTCTTGCTCCTTCGCCCTTGGAAGCTGAGGGTGTTTCTCCGTTGACGATGGTTGATCCCGATTGTGATCGTTTGCATATTTCCTTGCCGACTGTCGAGGAAGAGCCAATTGCCTTAGTTCCGTCTCCGACACGCAATCAACATCCTATGACTACGAGGGGTAAGAACAACATTGTGAAACCGGTTCAGAAGTTGACCTTAGCTGCCTCTATTGTGGACTCTCTCAGGGAACTGACTTGTGTCACTCAAGCTCTGAAGGATCCTCGTTGGAGGCAGGCCATGTGTGATGAATTTGATGCTTTGGTTCGTAATGGCACTTGGGAGCTCGTTTCGTCAGTGGGTGTTTCGAATACGGTAGGTTGCAAATGGGTTTTTCGAATCAAGAAAAATCCTGATGGCTCGATTGATCGCTTCAAGGCACGTCTAGTTGCGAAGGGATTTCATCAACGTCCCGGTGTGGATTTTCAGGAGACTTTTAGTCTGGTTGTCAAACCCACTACGATACGTGTCGTTCTTACCCTCGCGGTCTCCAATGGTTGGCATATTCGACAACTTGATGTTAACAATGCTTTCCTCCAAGGTCATTTATCTGATGAAGTGTATATGTCACAACCTCCGGGCTTTGTGGATAGAGATCATCCGACATTTGTTTGCAAACTTCATAAGGCGATCTATGGGCTTAAACAAGCTCCAAGGGCTTGGTACTCTGAACTCCGTACTTACCTCCTTGCAGCTGGTTTTGTTAACTCTGTGGCTGATGCGTCTTTATTTATACTACGTGATGCCGGTGTTCAGCTCTTTGTTTTGGTGTACGTTGATGATCTCATTGTCACGGGAAGTTGTGAACAGCGTATTCGGGACTTTCTAGCTAGCATTAGCTCTCGGTTCTCTCTAAAGGATCTTGGAGCATTGTCTTTCTTTTTGGGGATCGAGGCATCTCGCTCGAGCAAGGGTCTGTTTCTTAGCCAACGCAAGTATATCAATGATCTCTTGGCTCGGACGAATATGCATGACGCTAAGACGGTAGCAACTCCCATGGCTTCTACCTCTCGCCTCACTCCTGCCTCAGGTTCACCGTTGTCGGATCCCTCGGAATTCAGAATGGTTGTGGGTAGCTTGCAATATTTATCTCTTACCCGGCCGGACATCAGTTTTGCGGTCAACAAGCTTTCTCAATTCATGCATTCCCCGACTGATGAACATTGGGCAGCAGCGAAACGTGTTCTTCGTTTTCTGGCTGGTACACGATCGACAGGCATCTTTTTCTCCTCTAATAACATCTCGACGCTTCATGCTTTTAGTGATTCAGATTGGGCTGGTGATCCAAGTGATTTTAAATCCACGGGAGCCTATATTGTCTATCTTGGTCGACATCCGATCTCATGGTCTTCCAAGAAGCTCATGGGTCTATCTCGGTCTTCTACGGAAGCTGAATATCGTTCGATTGCCAACACTTCGGCTGAACTGAGCTGGCTTTCCTCTCTTCTCCGTGAACTTGGTTGCTCTTTGCCATCGGTCCCGACTATTTTTTGTGACAATATTGGTGCTACATACCTTTGTGTTAATCCTGTCTTTCACTCTCGGATGAAGCATCTCGCATTGGATTATCATTTTGTTCGGAACCAAGTGAATGATGGCTCCCTTCGTGTCTCTCATGTTACTTCTAAGGATCAGCTTGCCGATATTCTGACCAAACCGCTTCCTCGTACTTCCTTTCGTGATTTGTCGGCCAAGATTGGAGTTTCTTCCGACCCTCCATCTTGAGGGGGTGTATTAGAGATATTATCAATATCTTGTATATATTTGATATCTCATTAAGTTAGGGAAGTTGTTGCATTAGGTTAAACATACTCGTGTATAAATATTGATCGAAAGCAATAATACATCTATGCCTTTCAAATATCTTACAACTTCAACACTATATATAGTATAACACACATATATACATATATACACATACACATTTTTTTTGATAAAATGTGCTTGTATTCCTTTCAAAAATTCAAAAGAAGTACATATTAAGTGACCAAAATTACAAAAACCAACCAAAAAAAGGAATCCCATGATAGTCGGGCAAAGACTGAACTCCAATAGTTATTTAATGCGATACCATAGCTGTAAACATTCGTTGTGATCTATGACTCCCGGATTGTGCAAGGAGATCAAAATATTCCGCAATAACATATCGATTTTCGCAACAATTTGCTGAACGGGATTGAAGGAGTGTCGATGTATCCTTCTATTCCTTTCTTTCCATAGCTCGTAGACAGTGAGTTGGATGAGGTGTCGCTTGATTGTCTTTCCATATTTCCCACCCGTGCATGTCGGCCCTTGTAACCACGATAAACAGCTGATCGGATCTTGAACCGCATCTCCGTCATTCCCTCCGAGTTTTCCTGCGTAATAGGACCATATGGCAGCCGAATATTCACAAGTAAAGAACAAATGATTGTGGTCTTGCAAGCTCCTGCAGCATAGAATGCACCTATTGGGGCCTTGTATACCCCAACGCATTATCCGATCCATGGTTGGTAGTCTCCGATGGAGTACCTGCCATAGCAAAAATGAATGCCTCGGAATAGCATTTATGAACCATGTTAGTGGATGCCAAGGAACCTCCGGGGATGGTCGTCGCACAAGCTCCCATGTTTGCTTCGCATTGAACATCGGTTGAAACTTGTGCTCCTTGTGTCTCCATGTATATTCATCTGCTCCTAACTCCTCTCTTGGCAGTGTAGTGGTCGAAAGGATGATTTGGATTTGCTGTATCCTATCATTCCTTGCACCCGGTAGATGCCATTGATCGTCTCGTGTTGCATCTGATACCCTTGCGCCGATGGGGATTCTGAGTAGACGAGGTCCCGATATGCCAACGAACTCAATAAGCGGCCCAACCTCCAACCAATGGTCGAACCAAAAAGATGCAGATTTTCCGTCTCCAATCGTCACCTTGACATATTTTGTGGCATGCTTTTTCAACCCCAACAATTTCCTCAGATTCCATGTAGCGTTATTCCTGGTTTTGCTCTCCCAATATGTGCCGCCTTTAAAGACATGCGCCTTAACCCAAGCCACCCAAAGTGAACCCGCTTTGGAGAGCAATATCCACACCAGCTTCAGTCTGAACACCAAGTTCTGATCCTCAAGTCTTCGGACGCCCAAACCACCTTCTTTTTTTGGTTTGCAAATGTTGTCCCAAGAAATCTGGTGACTTGGAGCTTTATCCGATGTGTGCTGCCATATGAACTTAGAACACATGCCATCAATTTCTGTAATCACAAATTTAGGCAACACAAAAGTCATACCCCAAGAGTTTACCAAGCCAAATATCACCGAGGTCACCAATTGAATCTTCCCCGCTGGAGATAGAAATTTGTTTGTCCATCCCAATAGTTTGTCTTTAATCCTCTGTATCAAAGGTTGAAAGTCTGATTTAGAGAGTTTTACCGAACTTAGAGGCACTCCCAGATATCTTACAGGCAAGCTTCCAAGTCCAATGACAATGTGCGAACTAAGTGTCCGCTTTTCCCCATCTATCATGCCTGCCAGGAAGAGCTCCAATTTTTCCGGGTTGATATGTAACCCCGACATGTTTGAGAACATTTTCATCGTACGTTTGACCTCCTCTAATGATCGTAAGTCACCTTTTGCGAAGATCATAATGTCATCCGCGAAGGAGAGATGAGTGATCAAGGGTTGAAGGTTTCGGTGGTGAGGTTTTAATCTGCCTTCAGATGTTGATCTGTCTAGCATACGAGTCAAGACTTCCATTGCCATAATAAACAAATAAGGAGAGAGGGGATCCCCTTGCCGTAGGCCCTTACGACCTTTAAAATAGCCCGTTAGCTCACCATTAATGGCAACCGAGAATTTAGGCGTTGTCATACATGTAGTAATCCAAGCGATGAATCTGGGAGGTAGACTGATTGCTCTCAGTAGCTTGACGATGACGATCCAATCCAGAGAATCAAAAGCTTTCCGAATGTCGATCTTTATCATTGCACTACTTTGGTAGAAGTCCTATTGTATTCTCGGATGATTTCAGAAGCCAACAATACATTTTCTATCATCAATCTGCCCTTCAAGAACGCGGTTTGGTTCTTAGAGATCATATTCATCACCACCCCCTTTAGTCGAGTAGCTAGTATGGTCGAGATCACCTTGTAAATGGTGTTACAACAGCTTATGGGGCGAAATTCTGTGAGCTTTGTTGCCTCTGACTTCTTCGGAACCAAGACTATGGTAGTGACGTTTATTTGCCCAAGTAGTTTACCCGTTTGGAAGAATTCCTGAATTGCTTTTATCACGTCTCCCCCCACAATTTCCCAACTAGTTGTATAGAACTCCTTTGGGTATCCATCCGGTCTGGACGCTTTATTGTCCGGTAAAGAGAACATGATCTGCTTAATTTCTTCGGCCGAGGGAATGGCATCCATCGGAGCATTCGGACCGCCACTCCATCTGTATGGTATTAGGTCTCGCAACAAGTCCAGTTCTGGTGCTTGAACCTCTCCTCGTCGGCCAAGCAGCTCTGAATAAAAGGCCACTGCATGTCTCTTGATATGCTCCACTTTATCCAACCGGTTGCCTTGATCGTCGACTAAGTAATGTATGTGATTCTTTGCCGCCCTTGCCGAAGCTATGTGATGGAAATAAGCTGTGTTTTTATCCCCTAAGCGTAGCCACCTTATCCGAGATTTTTGTCTGTACAGTCTTTCCTCGGCTGATACCAGAGTCATGTATTTCAGTCGTATTAATTTCTCCTCTTCAATCTGATTTACACTCGGGGCTTCAAATAAGGCTTGTTGTACCCTTTTCAAGAGCTTTTCCGCTTCAATCACCCTCTTGGATAAGTCAGAGAATCTGTCTTGGTTCAAGTTTCTAAGTGGGACGTTTGAGCTCTTTCATGGCTCGACATAACTGGTATTGCGGTCTCCCTTCAATATCTGAGGCTACCCAATATCTAGAGATTGTCTGAAAAAACTCGGGAACCAGGGTTAAGTGTTGAAAAAATTTAAACGGACGTCGTACCTGAGTTTGGTTATCCGAAAAATGGATAATGCAGGGAGTATGATCTGAATGTCCAGGAATGGCAAATTCTGCATAAGCGTTGGGGAACATGAGTTTCCAGGCTCCATTGGTCATAGCCCGATCCAATTTGACAGATAACGGATTTTGTGAGTGGTTGTTGCACCAAGTGAAGGATGCTCCTCTACCAGGCATATCGGAAATTCTAGCCGCCAACATGCAGTCATGAAGGTCTATCATACCAGCTTGTTGGCTCTGTTGTTGTCCGTGATCAGATCGTTCATACGGATTGAGACACTGATTCAAATCCCCGAGTAGAACCCAAGGTGAGTTGACAATAGACTCGTATTGCCCGATGAATTTCAACTCTTCCCATGGTTGCCTTCTTTCAATTAGTGATGTAGATCCATAGACAAACGTTGCCGTAAACTGTAGATTTCGGCTCGGGATCACCACCCCGCATGTTACAGCTTGGTTCATTGTACTGTAGACAGTAGTCTTGACTGATTCCTCCCATACTAACCAGATTCTACCAACAGACCGATCACTTAAAGAACAAAAATTCTTCCAACCTAGAGGTATCGCATTAGTTATCCGACGAAAGTTTGACTCATGTATGTGAGTTTCAAGTAGTGCTCCCATACAGAGTTTATTCTCCGCAATCCATTTGCGGGTGAAGAAACCTTTATTCCGGGCATTTATGCCCCTCACATTCCAGGCAAAAATCATGGGAATCCTTATGGTAGATTTAGTTTCCTCCCGTGGCCTTTCGGCCACGAGTTTGTATCTGTACCTCTACCTCTCCTTGGTCAAGTTTACCTTTGCTCTGAGATTTCTGGCTTTTATTGGTCTTTCGGTTGGTTGCTGTCACATTCTGTCTCGAGTCTCGATCATGAGGGTTTGTAGGTAGACTAGTTGTCCCCTCCCCCTTTGTTTTTGAGTGAACTGAGTCTATTACCAAGCCAGATCTATCTTGCTCCCCAGATTTATCCTCACTGCTCTGCTTTACGATGGTTGTGTTAGGTAGACTAGCTACCCCCTCCCCCTTTTCTGCTGAGTGTACTAAGTCTATTACCAAGCCAGATTTATCTTGCTCCCCAGATTTATCCTCACTGCTCTGATTTTCGGTTTCATCTAGAGTTACAACTTTCTCCTTTGGTGCTTTCACTATAGTTCCCATGGGTTTGGCGGAGTCTAGTATCGGGTTTTTGATCGGAGGAAACATGGGGCAATGGAGGTGGCTATGACCAATCTCATGACATTTACTGCATGTTGGCGGCAACCAATCGTATGCAATATCAATGACACATATACTAATAGAGAAAGAGACGGAGAATCAATAGATTTTTCATTATTCAACATATAACATTACAATATTTATAGGAGAAAACGAAATCATAAAATATCTTATTTAATAAATATAAATATCTAAAATATAGAAATAAAACCAAATCTAAATATTACGTAATCTTCTCAAATCTTCTTCATATCTCTTTATACGCCCCCTCAAACTCAAGGAGATGAGAAACAACTGATTGAGGTTGAATTCTCCAGAAAATAACGGGATTTGACAATCGAACCTAGAAACCGGTGGATTGTTGGCGGATATGAAAAAGTCCGATGAAGCAGAAGCGTGGTGCACATGCACGGTATTGTGGTGTAGTGCAACAGCAATGTCGGCAGCGCAAAAGGCGCGATGGTTTAGCGGCTATGCCGGGAAAAGAAAATAGATTGTGCAAATGCACGCGGCTAAAGCCGAAAAAAAAAGGAAAAAAAAAGAAGATGACGCAAATGTGCGGATCGACGATCGGAGTATTCCAATCAAAGAGGCTAAAAGCCGGATTCAAAGGGTGATGTGGCACGAATGTGCGGCGCATATGCGCGATTTGGGTTGTACGACAATGAGGTCGGCAGAAGAAAAAAAAAAGAGTAGCATATAGGCTAGGGTTGACATTGATAAACACCGCCGTCGGAGAAAAAAATAGAAGAAAAAAAAGAGCAAAATAAATTTAAAACGATACTCAAGGCGATGATACTATTAGATTTAGTACATCATTGTCATCTTCATCGTCGCTTTCGGATTCAACCAACATTGTTGATGAGAAGAAAAAAAAATTATATCAAAAACCAAATCTCTGATACCATAATAGAGAAAGAGAAGGAGAATCAATAGATTTCTCATTATTCAACATATAATATTATAATATTTATAGGAGAAAACAAAATCATAAAATATCTTATTTAATAAATATAAATATGTAAAATATAGAAATAAAACCAAATCTAAATATTACGTAATTTTCTCAAATCTTCTTCATATCTCTTTATATATACATGCATATATATATATATATATATATATATAATACACAGCAGCAGAAGAAGATGGAGACGACGACGACAGAGTATATGAAAGTATACGAGACCTTGAAGGAAGCGCACGAGGCAGTGAAAAAGCGTAGCATTCTGAGTGCAGAGGAGTCGAGAAGATGTGTAGTGGCGTTGAAAGGACTGTTCGTAGTTCCGCAGGGGGTGACACGTGATCTTCTTATGTCGACGGATGCCGGGTTAAGGATGCAATCTCTGAATGAACACAGAGATCCTGACGTTCAATCCATGGCGGCGTCATTGTTGGAGCACTGGTTGTTGCTTATCTACCACAGTAGCTGATGTCAGCTTTCGATCCACTATTACTGCTACTGCTGTCTCTGTGTTCATGGAACAGTTTGATGTAATCTTTACAGTTCCCTTCTTGTCTGGAATGGATTTAAGCATGTGATTGAAGTGTAGATGTCTCAAATCATAATTGAAAATGGATTAATTTTTGAATTTGTAATATTGGATTCAATTTGCATTTCGATATATAAATTGTTTTTTTTTATATATTTAAACATGTAAATTCTGTTCTCTTCATGATAATCTGCTGCAAAAACTTGTAGAAACCGCAAGGTTAAATTAAAACTTGGCCACTAAGAAACTGTAAAAAAGTGTTGAACATGATTCTCCAAGTAATACATTACAACCAGTCGTCCCATGGGCAACCATATCTGTTCGGACAAAACAGAGGAATGTGCATTTCAGGACCAGTGGCCTAAGATTCGCCGGCTAACCAAAACAACATTGGTTCACTACAATCATTTGCAGTAACTGCAACATGCCCTTTGCTCGAAAACAGTAACGGCTTAGCTCCCCTATGTCTCAGAGTTCACTGTAGTTGCGCCAGACAGCACGGAATTCTTCACGGAATGTATTCAGACGTGCCTTCAGGTTTGGAGTTCTGAGGCTTGCGTGAAGAACGATAGCTGCATCGAGAAAAAAGTCCTGTTAAAAAGGAAAGGAATTTAACCGACCCTTCTAAAAGATATCTACGATAAAGCCCGTGCAAGTAACTCACCGAGAATACCAGCGAGAAGAGCATAGAGGACCCACAACAATCCACAAGAAGAAAACCACAAGACAAGGCTGACTACACCAAAGAAATCAACGTCTTTTGATCAGTTGAACATGCTAAACCAAAGAGGGAGGGAGACAAGGGATGCTGAGTACCGGCTAAGCAAATAAAGACGGAAACAAAGCGTGGTTGGCCACAGATGTAAATCGTCTTTCTTGCTGAAGACCGTCCCCTAATGACAGGCCTGCAAGGGTTAACAAACAATACATGTAAAAAGCTCTCAAACCCTTCCATGGATGGAGTAGTAGCAGCAAGTGAAATGAACTCTTACATGTGGGGAGGTCTCATCTTTGCAGCTAAGTGCGGGGAGAAACGCCTTACAGTCCGTATCACCTTCTCATTAAAACTAGCTGCAAAGCTGCAGCAAAAAAACATATCAACTAGACCTTGTAAATGTTCTTATTTTGGAACACACAAAGAACCATTTGCATATGATATCCCACCACATAAATGAGAATGCATATGAAGTTTCTGACTAAAGACCCTAACATGAACAATCCTAACTGCATAAATCCAGAACTAAGATACTTCGAGATATCAGCATTTCAAGAACCACAGCCAATATATCATCTTTCAGTTGATGAGAACCTACAGAAACTCCATGATTCCAACGAGCAACAAATGCATCTCCACAGTACTAGTAGAGATAAAATTGGGAACAAGCAAAATCAGGGGAAACACCTGTCGTTAAGGAAAGCTATGCCCAATGCTGTAAGAGCAGCACCAATGATAGCCACTGGTCTGGTAATTAACGCAAGACCTGCTCCACCAAAACAAAATCACCCTAATTAACATAACTCAACAGGATCTTAATCTAATCAAAACCCAGATCGCGAAAAAAAAAAGGTAAGGAGCTACGGCTCATTATTCAACATATAATATTATAATATTTATAGGAGAAAACAAAATCATAAAATATCTTATTTAATAAATATAAATATGTAAAATATAGAAATAAAACCAAATCTAAATATTACGTAATTTTCTCAAATCTTCTTCATATCTCTTTATATATACATGCATATATATATATATATTTATATATATATATATATATATATATAAATAAATATATGTGTGCATATTGTTTAGTTTTTTTTTAATTATCGTGATACGGATGTGATTGCAACGTCATTGCTCTGGTGAGTCACGTAAACCGTCAAACTTGAAAAATAAAATGGTCAATAAAATTAAGGAATTAATTTAGAAGCAATGCAAATTCGAAGTTTTTTTAAAACTAAATGAAATTTATATATTTTAATGGAAATTTACAAATTTGGAGTTTTTGATAAACATTTTATAAGTTCGAGGTTTTTACGGAACATTCCCAAAAAAATCAATTTATGCAAATTAAAATTGTGATTTTGATAAAGGTGAAGGAAAGGGAAAAGAAAAGAAAGGCAGGCGAACAAAACACATTTGTTGCCCTGTATAGAAAAATATGAAACTAGAAAAAATGTACAGAAAAGGAAATAATATTTTATGAGGAAATATACGAAGCGGACCCACAAAATATGTGGGGCCCACAGTAGCATGTGATGTGAAAAATATGAACGTTAGGAATAATATTTAATATAATGGCAAAAAGAAATTAAATAAAAGATATCCAAGGAGACGGACGCCGAGACTAGTGCAATCAAGCGATATTGTTATATACAAATGGATTTGGCAACTGGCTATTGCCGGTGATTTCATTATTTTTATAACGAAAGATTAAATAATAGTTTAATGTATAATCGACATATATCTTGATTTTTATTTATTTTAAATATTTTATCTTAATTTTTAAATTTGATAGTATCCAACAGAAATGAGGTTTTGTAACCGACCCTATGTAAACATGAAATTAGAAAAGACAAACTACACATAATATTATACGTTTTGATACAAAAAAAAAAAGTGATATTTTCTTGTGTTATCTAGGTATGTATAACTACATACATATATTATTTATTTATAGTTTCTGTATAACTATATAAACATGAATGTGTAGGTACAATAATTTTACTTATTTATTCATAGTTTATGTTAATAAACAAAGTTTTATTATGGTTTCTCTTGATTATTAAATAAATAGATATTTTACTATAAAAAATCATTCTTGTTATAGTATATGTATATGTCGAAAAACCAATGTGCGGAGCAATTACAGAAACAGATCTAGTTGGCCATACCTAAAACCAGTTTATCAAACTATAAAATAGATTCACCTACAAATACTAATAAATCACAAATTTTAGTGGAATCGGAAGCTTCCTCAACTAACGATGATTTATATATAATCTTTTAAAGTCATCCTGAAAATTTTATCTGCAAGTAAAGGGGAATTCGCCATTCGGTATTTAATATGAATACTATATATATACACATACAATTCCATTTGTAAAACCAAGAAAATTAACAGTCAAATTGACATTAATTAATGGCGATTTAAGGAAACTTGGTATAGGCGGTAACCGGTAACCAAGACGCGTTTCGCTTTCATTATTATGGCTTTGGAAGCGAATATGAAAAGTTGAAAACCTCATTTTTCGTCATTTTCTCCTCTCCTTTGTAAGAAACATCCCGAAATTCAAAAGCAGAATCACTCTTCACACCTCTCTCTCTCTCTCTCGCTCCTTCGCTTCCCATAATGCCGATTCCGTAGTCGAAGATCAATAAGAAACCCTTTGGAAGAACTAGAAAAAATGGCGGCGGCTTTGTTCTTGCGGCGTTCGCTCTTTGCGTCATTCCTCTGCTTTGCTCTCCTCTTCGGCGTCTCTCTCGCTGCGGACCCTTTCGTATTCTACGACTTCAAATTTTCTTATATCACCGCTTCTCCTCTCGGCGTTCCTCAGCAGGTTCGTTCTCCATTCGTTCGCTCGCTTGCTTTTCTCCCTACTTCTACGCGGAAACTGTGCGGGTCGATGTCTCTGATGCAGCTTCTCGCTGTTTCCTGGGATTTTAACGGCGTCTTGTGTGATTTAGGGTTCTGGGTTTTTGCTAAAAGTTGTACTGCAGTTGATTTTTTCTCTGGATCTCCCGTACAATACGTTTTGGGGCGGTTATCTGTAGTTTCAGGGTGTTTGTGAGTGATGGGTTGCGATTTTTTCGGTGTTTTGTCAAATCAGGTTGACGGTATAGAGAGTGTAACCGAAGTTGAATAAAACTCAAGCCGTAAACTCTCAAGTTCATTCATGGCTTTATCTCATACTGTTGATTTTCGTTCTGCGATCTGTGATTCCTGTTCTTATTTTGTGAATGGTGACGGAAAATTTACGTTTTTATTGCTGAACATATATTGGATGGTGGATTTGGGGCTTTCTATGTTACAAACTCGAAGGAACTCATCTGATTGAATCTGTCATTTCAGGTTATAGCCGTCAACAAGGGGTTTCCAGGTCCTGTGCTCAATGCGACTACCAACTACAATGTTGTTGTTAACGTGTTAAATGAATTGGATGAGCCTCTCCTCCTGACTTGGTGAGTTCTTGGCCGAGATTTTACTGTGGGTTCCATCAGAAAATTTATTGGGTCTTCTGTCTTGTTCTTGAATAATTTTGCTGGGTTTGGCATTTCCTGAGGTTCTTCTACATTGGGTTTGTCTATATAGGTCTGGAATCGAAATGCGGCGGGACTCATGGCAGGACGGTGTTCTTGGCACAAACTGTCCCATTCCTTCGAAATGGAACTTCACTTACCAATTTCAAGTGAAAGATCAGATTGGAAGCTATTTCTACTTCCCCTCACTCAACCTCCAGAGGGCATCTGGGGGTTTTGGTCCAATCATCGTCAATAACAGAGACATTATTCCTATTCCATTCCCGCAACCTGATGGTGAAATCATCCTTATTATCGGTGACTGGTACACCCAGAACCATACGGTATGTAACCATCACCAGGGCTTCTGATATTTGTTCACATTTGGTTAAAGTGGCAAAAGTTCAAAACAATGTTGCTTTTCAGGCATTAAGAAAAACACTTGACTCTGGGAAAGAACTCGGGATGCCTGATGGAGTCCTCATTAATGGGAAGGGTCCTTTCAAGTACAACAGTAGTGTTCCTGACGGAATTGAATATGAAACAGTTCATGTTGATCCAGGTAACATACTTGGGGTTTCTATCAAAGTTTGCTTTCATTTGCTCATGCATTGAATCTGGATAAATCTCTTCCCGTAAGGTTTAATTGTCCTGTCTGTATGAGTTACCTTTCTTTTGTTCTAGGTTAATTGTTGCCTTGCAATTGAACATTTTGCTATGATCGTGTGCTTAAAGATTGACCTCTTTAACGATTTGGGAAAACACAGAAAAACAAAACGATCTCTTTAGACCCTTGAACCTGTCCTTTATTCTATTAACATTTTCTTACACATAGGATCAATCCAACACTGGTGTCTGAATTTGCAGGAAAAACATACAGAATTCGTGTTCACAATGTCGGTGTCTCCACAAGCTTGAACTTCAGGATTCAGGAACACAAACTCCTTTTGGTGGAAGCTGAGGGTCACTATACCTCACAGGCAAACTTCACAGACTTTGATATTCATGTTGGACAGTCATATTCTTTCTTGGTCACCATGGACCAGAACGCCACAAGTGATTACTACATAGTGGCAAGTGCAAGGTTTGTGAATGAAACAGTGTGGCAAAGAGTCACGGGTGTTGCCATTCTCCATTATTCCAACTCCAAGGGACCTGCTTCTGGTCCACTCCCGGCTCCAACAACCGATGTCTCGAACCAGTGGTCAGCCATGAACCAACCAAGGGCAATCAGGTATGTCTATGAAAATTTTCCAGCTAGACTGCTTAAGGGCTCTTTTTCCTTGCCATAGTAGTGCAAGTGTACATTGTCAGTAGAGGGCATCATATTGTCTGTGTTTGTAGGCAAAATACATCTGCCAGTGGAGCTCGTCCAAATCCACAGGGTTCATTTCATTATGGCCAGATAAACATAACCCATACATACATCTTGAGGAGTTTACCTCCAACAACGATCAATGGATCTCTCCGCGCTACGCTTAATGGAATTTCGTTTGTCTACCCAAGCACACCCGTGAGGCTTGCAGATCGATTCAAAGTGAAAGGAGCTTACAAGCTGGATTTTCCTGACGAGCCTCTTGATAGACCACCACGTTTGGACAGGTCCATAATCAATGCAACATACAAGGGCTTCATAGAAGTTATTTTTCAAAACAACGACACCAAAGTCCAGAGTTTCCATGTCAACGGTTATTCATTTTTTGTCGTTGGGTATGTCTTCCCTGGTTTATATTCATTCAGTAATCCGTCCATTTTCAAGCCATCTCTTTTTCATGATCTAGTCCGGTTAACCATGTTTGCAGAATGGACTTTGGTATTTGGTCTGAAGACAAACGAGGTTCCTACAACAACTGGGATGCCATTTCGAGAAGCACTGTCGAGGTTTGTAGTACAAGAAATTCTCTCAGAGTCGGACTACTGTAGTTTGATTAGTAGGTTTTCTGAAAGGGTCTTTCTTTTTGGTTATGAATGTGGGCTCAGGTTTACCCGGGAGCATGGACTGCTGTCCTAATCTCCCTTGATAACGTAGGAGTCTGGAACATCCGAGTGGAGAATCTGGACCGATGGTATCTTGGCCAAGAAACATATATGCGAATCATAAACCCCGAGGAAAATGGCAAGACAGAGATGGATCCTCCTGACAACGTTCTCTACTGTGGCGCCCTTAAGAGCATGCAGAAGTATGCATCAGAAACCTCTATGTCTCTCTCTGTTGATTGAGAATACTAATGACACCGTTCTTTGTAAATTTGGTGCAGGGAACAACGCCACTCTGCTGCAACATCGATACTAAATGGGCATTTGAAGCTTAGTTTCTTCAGCATGCTAATGGCGGTGCTTGTCTCAGTTTTCACCTTATGATTAAGCAAAATTACATCATTGTGTCCATTGATCTGTCAAGAAAAAAGAAAAAAAAGCATGCCCTGGTTCTTCTGTAGATGGAAAGTTGCAAGACTGTTGGGTTCATTTCCTTTATGTTTCATTTGAGTTTTAGGTGGTCACAAGTTCTTCTTAGGCTTAGATCTCCTTTTTCTTGTTAAAAACTTCATTCCGTTTATTAAAATTCAAAAACCCAACTGTAATCAAAGTCTTGTTTCCTACAATGTTTCATTGTCGAACCATATAGGCCAGGGGTGTCAAACCGGTTGGTCTGGCCTGAGTTTTTGTCTCATCCTGAGGACATTTGGTCCGAATTTTTTCGGATCTATAAAATCTAATATGATGCCCAGTCTTATAAAACTCGGATTCGGGCCGGGTTGGGCTGGGCCGTCTGATTAGAGTTTTTTTTCATTTGAATCATTTTTTTACAATATTTTTAAATCGATTTAATCGGTCCGATTCCTTTTGGGTGTAACCCAACCAGATCCAAAATCTGATTTGAATCTGATCTGAAAAGTCAATTTTTTTTCGGGCCTAAAAATTCGAAACCGAATCTGATCATTATTCGGACAGATTCAGACCGGATTTTGGGTAAAATTGATACAGTAATATATTATGAACCATTATATTAGAATCATAAGAGTAAAATGGGTATACATTTGTATTCTCACGTGTCACAACAACAAATAAATCTCTCGTTTTCTTCGTTCATAGCCCTGAGGTAAAGGGGACACCGGAGCGTGGCAACCAGGCGCCTCCGGCAATGAACCTCTCGACGGTGAAAGCCGCGGCCTCTGAGTCTCTACCCAAAACATGAAACCCTTTCCACCGAACCCTAAACCTCGTGGACGAGGACGGACCGGTGTTCTTATACTCTGCGTAAAACAGAGTATCCAATCCGAACACGGAGCCCTTGATCCAGGGTGACCACCCGAGTGGACTGACGACACCGTCTATGTACGTTTTCATGACCACGGTCCGAGAGTACTTCATCCACGGCCGACCCAAGTACGTCTTGACTGTACGGAGGACAGGGACGAGGTCGGGGGAGGGGAAGATCTTGGAGTTGTGGAAGGAGAAGCCGGTGGTCTGAAAAGGGTCGGCCCGGCCTTGGGCGGTGATGACGTTGGCTTGGCCGTGGAGGGGACGGCGAGGGAGGATGAGACAATTCTGGAAGACGGCGGCAGCGTTGCCGAAGATGAAGTCGACGGTGCCGGAGATGGAGCAGTCGCGGAAGAATTGACGTTGGGAGTGGACCATGAGCGTGTCTTGGTAGCCTTCCACCGAGCATTTGTAGAAGATGGCTAGGTCGGATGCCGACCGCAGAGCCACGGCCTGGCCCTTTTCGGGACCGGCCGTGTTCCTGAAGGTTATGCCCTTTGCGATGAAGTGGAGACCTTCTATGCCTTAAAGAGTGAAGGAGCAAGGGAAACATGATTTCATTATATATATATATATATATATATAAATATACCCGAATAAAACAAATCAAACCGAAACCAAAAAAAGAGAGGTTATGCACTGTTTTTTTTTTCTGTATCTAAGTTTTCACGTTTTCCCTGTACGAATATGTTACTTAAAACCAATGATATTTTTTGTTTAAAAAGATTTTAGGTAATGTATTAAGAGTGAATTAATATATGTTTATCTAGTAATACACTTTTTTTAATTGTGAATAGAGTGCTCTTTGAAAACTTTTGCGATTAAAATATATTAAAATGATTCACAAAAAATAGAAAATGTGTACAAAGCCAATGAAATTTATAGTTTAATATTAGATAATATGTCATATTTTTCTACTGCACTAACCTTAATACTAGAATTGTATGTATGTATGTATCTATACATTCGGATCTATGAGTAAAATCCGAAATTTTATTTTGGTCGTATATTGCACAAAAATCAAACAATTTATTATTTATATTTTATCCAAATTATATATATATATATATATATAATGTACGGCTGGCGATCCCGACGTATGATTACCTTGGACGAAGTCACCCCGTTCGCCCATCCCCATACGAATCATTATAAAAATGATCGAATTCGTACGGAAAATTTATAATTTCGCATAACCAATAATCTCTACGAATTTTTTCTATAGTCATCATAAAATACAAATTATAATTATTATTTTTTTTACCTGCAGTGGCGGAGTTATACGTTGTGTAGCCTCCTTTGACACTTCTGCTTGCGGTGATAATCGTGTATTTCATCCCATCTCCGACCAACATTACATTGTCATTATTATTACGTACCAAAATATTTTCCTTATATACCCCTCTCTTCACGTAAATCACAAACCTCGCTGACGTCACCTTTCTTCGCCCGGCTGCTTCAATCGCCGCCTGAACCGTGCGGAAATGACCCGATCCGTCTTTCGCCACCACCAGATTCGCTCCTCGGATCGAAGATTGGAGCAATCTCCTGTCTTTTCCGGAGACCCAGATCGGGAAATGTTCTCCTGCGCCGGCGTTTTTGCTGGAGTTGCAGGTGGTGACGTCAGCATGTATGAGCGCTGCGTTGATGGCTAACGTGTTGCTGATGAGTTGTGAGAGGTTGGTTTTGCACATGATCGGTGTGATGAAATCTGAGATCTTGAGATCGGACGAGCCGGACCGGCACGTCTCGATGTTGGTTAAGGCGGTGCTGAGCCACGTGGACGCGTCGAAGTCGGTGCACGAACCACCGGACACGCCGGTTCGGGTGCGGTTGAGCTGGAGGACGGTATCGTCGTAGAGCTCGAGGCAATCGGACCACACGGCACGTCGCCGTGAGTCGCCGGTGCAGTTCATACCGAACCGAGCGATATCGGACCGGACGGTAACGGCTCGGTCCATGGCTGATTTGACGAGCATTTGTCTGAATTCAGACAAGTGTTTGGGGACAGAAGTGTTGTCGTTGGTGAAATAGCATTTGCATGGTTCGGGATAGGGGGTTTTGTCGCACCACCTTGCAATGTCGTTGCCGGAGTTAGTTGGATTTCCGGCGGCTTCTACGGCGAGAGAAAGTACGGTCAATGGGTACAGTGAGAAGAGTAGAGAGAATGGAGTTAGAGTTATCATTCTTTTTTTTTGGGAAATTAGTGATGCGTTCGGTGTGAGAGTGGGATATATATATATATATATATGTATGTATGAATATTTGAGTTTTGGAGATTTGTTAGAAATGGGAACAGAACTATAGATAAATTGTTGTAAAAGTTATATTTTAGGGGTTTTATTGCATGGAAAAAAAATGAGGGAAAACTATATGTATAGTGTAATTATGACTTGGAAGAATTATGAGCTCTGCATTTGCGTCATCAAAAGTTAGCCCCAATTCAAAAATTTTAAAAATATCAAATACTACACAAATTTCTAATAATAGCCAATTACATCAAAGAAAATTGAAAAGTTAGAGTAATTTACAAAATTCATAGATGAATGATAGAAGAATTAGAAAATTGAATTTATCGAATTGCGAAGCTTGAATAGTAATAATATTGACTTAACGAATGATATAAAATTCATAGACTAAATTATAATAATTTGAATAGATGAGATCAAAAGCATTAGATATGTAGTGGATCCCGGTCGAGGTTCGCCTCACCATTCTCTCCGATCCCTCATGTGTGAAGAACAAAAAACGAAAGAGGAGACAGAGATTTACGAGTTCAGCAACCGAGATGAATCTCGGTGCCTACATCTCGGGAAGAGGAAGCCGCGTGTTTCTGTTAAGGTTACAACAAGAGTTTCCGTCGGAAACCGCCGAACGGCGGTCCCGAACCCGGAGAGGCAAAATCGCCTCGCCGAAAGAGAGAGAAGACTCTTAGATGAAAAACACCCAAATCAATCCGAAACCAAAGCGAAACCTGGGTCAGATTAATGACTATACCAAATGACCCTTTTGCCCCTTCGAACCTTCTGTTTCGCCCAGAAGCTTTGAAAGCTTCCACTTCGCCTGGAGACTTCGGAAACCTCTCCTCCATTTGGAGGCTTTGCTGAAAACACTCCACAAATCTCCACCTTCATCAGCAAATCCTGCAAAAGAAAAAAAGAACACGAAGCAACATAATATATAACGCCAAACATGAACCCTAGCATGCTGTCGCTTCCCGTCTACTTCCATTTGTAACTCTACCTCCCAACACATTGTAGGCGTATCAAACATGCCGCTCTAATAGAGTTCTTACCGAGCATACCAAAAGTACGTCTCAGCGTGATAAACAAATAAATACGCAAATACCTAGTCTACCCAAAACGAGTGTCCTAGACACCTTCCGTTTCCGAAGACTAGCTAAGACCTCGAATAGTTATGATTCCCTAGACCGTTTACATAACCCTCTATGATAAAGTCTGACACTCTATCTGCTAGCAACCTGAGGATTATACCCGACATCTACCCGTCTCCACCTAAATGTGGAGACCTCACCTCCTGACCTTCCACCAAGAACCGAAGTGAATTCGGTTCACTCCTCCGAGGTCAATACGTCTTTCTCTCTCGGACTCTCCCTCCCTCGTCATCCGTGACCTACAACTCCTTCTTGTAGTGTCCATACCTACTCGCGGAACTAATCACTCCATCTGGTTTTCTCCTGAAACCCGATTTCTCGCTTTTGCCTGAGACCCCTAGTCTTTCAACCATATCCTATTTCAGGGTATACCGAGTTAGAAAATCTAAGTCCATCATCCTAAGACGATAAGACCCGAGTCTAAAACTGACTCTACCCCGAAGAGACTTAACCGACCCCTAGAAGTGATGTAACATGACACGAGGGATGAGACCGAATCCTAGAGGACTTAAACCTAGGTATATTTCTACCTAGACAGACCTAATGGTCTCTAAGAAACAGCCTATAAGACTTACCCTAGGTATATTTCTACCTAGTCGTGCTTGACACACTCTAACCCTAGTCTATCGGTCCTAAACCTAGGTATGTCTCTACCTGCTCAGACCTTCTAGACTCAGAGAGAACACGACCTGACTAGACTTAACCTAAGTACTCAACCTAACCCGATCTAACGGACTTTAAACCAAGCCTAACCGGGCATCACCCTAGGTACATCTTACCTAAAATGGATCTAATAGACTTTAGACCATACCTGATTGGACTTAACACAAGGTATATTTCTACATAACCGACCTCTTAGACTCTCGCACATACTTGATTGGACTTACCCTAGACATAATTTTACCTAACCGACCTATTAGACTCGAAAATACAGCCTACCTTAAGATCTGATTACGTCTAACCAGACCTAACTTAAGGCTAATCTGACCTGATTACGTCTAATTAGACCTACACCATCGAGTCTACATGGCCCCCAACAAAGTCCTAACCAGTCCTACGATCCCGAGTCTACCTGGCCACTACCAAAGTCCTAATCAGACCTACAACAAGTACTACTCAGACCCCTAACAGCCCTAGTTAGACAACCAAAAGCCCAAATTAGACCAGAAACCTAATCAGACCTAAGCCCATCCTAATTGACCTAACCAACCCCTGATTAGTTACCCTAAGTCCTAGTCAATCACCTAAAAGTCCTAATCAACAAACCTAAGCCAACCCTATTGACTTACCAACCCCTGATTAGACTTTTAGCATCCTAATCAGACCTAAACTAAGCCTTATGTGACCCAATTTTCCTATGATCAGACCCTAAAAACGTCTAGAACCAACCCCTAAAGACCTGCCCTGATCTAAACTGACCTATACAGACCTATACCGATTCTAGACTTAACCAACTCCTAAACTAACTCGTTTTAGCCAAATCCCAACTAATCAGATCTAAACCGGACTCTATGACTCAAAACAGGTAATTAGGAGTCATATCTAGCCCTAAACTAGATAATACCTAAGTCTACAACCAAGTTACTAACATGATCAGATCTAAACTATGTCTCTACAAACATTCTAAACCTCTAATCAGACCTAACCAAACATATATTGACTTAATTATCTTTTTATCAGACCTAGACTAAGCTAGACTAACCCAAATTTGGCTTAAACCAGACCTAACTAAGACCTAAACAACATTTATAGACCTATACCGACTTAAATCAGTCTACTACAGACCTGCACTACAAAAAAACAACGTTTTTGCAACGAAATTTGCAACGAAATCTATTTCGTTGCTAACTTTGCAACGCTTTAGCAATGCTTTGCAACAAAAAATTTAGCAACGAAATCGCAACGATTTTACAACGCTTATGCAACGCTTAGCAATGCTAAAAATTGCGTTACAAAATAGCAACGCATGTTTCGTTGTTAATTGCAACGATTAGCAACGCTAACAAACGTACGAAAACGTTGCAATGCTTTTGCAACGAAATGATCACGCTTTGCAACGCTTTTACAACGAAAAAATTTCGTTGCTTGTTACAACGAAAGTTTCGTTGCAAAGAGTAAACGTTTTGCAACGAAATTGCCACGAAAATTATTTCGTTGCTACAAAGCAACGAAATTTCTGCGTTGTCAGAATTCCGCTTTTTGTTAGCAACGAAATTGCGTTACAAAATTTAGTTGCAATGCAATTTCGTTGCTAACTTTAAACTTTTGCAACGAAATTGCGTTGCAACATGGTGAGGGTTGTTAACCGGTTATTTATGTTGCAACGCAATTTCGTTGCAAAAGTTTAAGGTTAGCAACGAAATTGCGTTGCAACTAAATTTTATAAAAATCCCCCCATCCTCCTTTTCTCTTCAAACTTCGAAAATTCAAACAAAAAAATGACATCTAGTGGAAGTGATATTTATCACTCTAGAAGATGGTTATATGAGAGAATCGATACATCTACGGGAAATTTGAGCATCCAATATGAAGAGGGGTTGTAGAATTTCATGCAATTTGCGACAAGTCAGAATCAGTGCGTAAGAATAGGTAAAATCTATTGTCCGTGTGCACGATGTGAAAATTCTAAGTTTCTTACTCTAGAGGTGGTTCTAAAACATCTATTCAAAAGGGGTTTTGTTCCAAATTATTATATTTGGGTTTATCATGGTGAAACGCTCGATGTTGTTAATGTTCCTACTATTAATGACAAATTTGTTGGGAGCAGCGAACCAACTAACCGTTACGTTGATATGGTTCAAGATGCATTTCATTCTCAATTTTATTCTAACAGGGAAGTCGAAGAACCAAACAACGAATCAAAAAGGTTTTTTGATTTATTGGAGGCAGCGAATCAACCTATATATGATGGGTGTGTAGAAGGATTATCCCAATTATCTCTTTCTGCACGAATGATGGGCATGAAGTCGAGTTATAATCTGATGGAAAATTGTATGGATGAAGTATGTCAGATGATGACCGATTATCTTCCTGGTAGATCAGCTCCGGTCGAGGTTCGCCTCACCATTCTCTCTGATCTCTCGTGTATGAAGAACAGAAAACGAAAGAGGAGACAGAGGTTTACGAGTTCAGCAACCGAGATGAATCTCGATGCCTACATCTCGGAAAGAGGAAGACGCGTGTTTCTGCTAGGGTTACAACAAGAGTTTCCGCCGGAAACCGCCGAACGGCAGTCCCGAACCCGGAGAAGCAAAATCGCCTCGTCGAAAGAGAGAGAAGACTCTTAGACGAAAAACACCCAAATCAATCCGAAACCAAAGCGAAACCTAGGTCAGATTAATGACTATACCAAATGACCCTTTTGCCCCTTCGAACCTTCTGTTCTGCCCAGAAACTTTGAAAGTTTCCACTTCGCCTGTAGACTTCGGAAACCTCTCCTCCATTTGGAGGCTTTGCTGAAGACACTCCACAAGATATATATAACTAATGCCAAAAATAGTCAAATAGTAATAATATTAACTTAACCAAGTATATATACACACACAAAACAAAAGCTAATAATATAGAATGGGTTATGTTAGTGAATGTTTTCGGGTTTGAGTTGGCAAAAGATGGAAAACACTTCAACTCATTCTTATAGTTTTGCTTGATTCAGTATGAAACTCGAGTTGTCATTTGGATTAGTATGAAATTAAATTGGCATATTTGATTTCTCTAACCAAACTATTCAGTATTATATTCTGGAAAATATAGATATAACCGATATTATATTTTCTTCATTTTTTTATATTTTTTTATGGTACTTCATAGTTAATGTTTTTTAAAACAAATAAGGTCTTAAAATGTTATTGTATTACCTACTTTCACATGTTTTTTTAATACTATTTGCGAGTTTGAAATATTACTAAACCCTTTTTCTCAACCAAATTAAAATATTAAAATAATAGTATAAAGTTATATATATATAAACCTATAAAACGGGGAAGGCTAGGTATCATCCTATCTAGCACAATATAAATAATCCAATAGTAAGCTAAAAGATGCCGTACGAGATCTTGATTATTAATTAATATGAACAAAGAAAATTCCTCCGAATCACGCATCAATGCAACTTGTAAGTATTATATGTTTCATTCTATCGAGGATCCAAGAAGTAAAACTCTTAAACTAATTAATGGCTGACAAATAGTTCTATTTTTTTTTTATTTTAATTTATTTATACATAGATATATGCAATAAGATACAATGGATAATTAATAGTATGAACGGCCAAGTTGTGAAAGATAAGCACGTTCTTTCTCCAATTGAATTAATCGTCGAAACAACAAATAAAAAAAAAAATTGAAGCCATGTGATCACGAGCGTCCATGCACACGCAAGCGATCGCCGTAACAATCAATACATAATAAAAAAAAAACAAATATATTTGATATTCAATAACATGCACCTTAAAAAATATCATCAGATGCACAAACTATCCATTAGGAAGAAATATAACGCAGTTTTAACAAGCGAGTTTTGATATCTAATGTTTTCAATATGTTTCCGTATTGGTTGGTTCTAAGAAAGAATAGATATTTCCGTTGGATTTGTTTAAAATCGAATCAAATAACTTTAAATTGAATTTAAATTAAATTTGATTCGTAGATTAAGATGAAAAATGTGAAGTTGTGTCTGCAAATGAAACATTTATTTTAACGAAAAGCGATAAGTGGCCACCGTTAAAACCCCATGTGGAAGAAGTGGACTTTGGGTTTGGATCCGTAAGACACAAGGGTTTGGTTTGACCTTTTTGCAACGCAACTCTGATAAGTTCTCTGCATTATCCATTATATCTTCCCTATTATTGCCTCACTATTTTACAGTTTCATTTTCATTTAATTAATTAATATATATTCCCTTTTGATTTTGAGGTTTTGATTCATGTGTCGGAACAATTATTTTTTAAGATAAGCATACAATGATTTTGGTATTTTTTGATCTATTAGAACACCATTTTAATCTATAATTTTTCAGTTTTTTTTTTATATATTTTGAACAATGAAAAACCAAATCTCATCACACTGGTTATATTACGACAGAGAAAAACAAAAAATAATAATTATAAATTGAGTTTTAAAAACATAAATTAATCCCGTATTTTAGTATTAATTGATATTTTTTAGATTTTATGAGGTTTTTTCCAGTATTTGTATAGAAACCTAGGCCCATAGGGCCAAGTTCGATTTGGGCCAATCGATGTCTGAAGTTTGGATTTAATCTCTTTGACCGGTTTTCGTCGAGTGGAAGGGAAGGCATCGCCGGAGAAGATGCAGCGGAGGAAGCCAGTGGCGGGAAGGCCCTCCGGCACCGATGGCTCCTATTACTCGTACCGGGCGGCCGTCGATTCTCGTGACTTTTGAAAGTCTCCTCCGTCTCCGATCCATTCTATTCAACCCTTCGCGTTGATGGTTTGTGTCGCTCATTTCATCCTAGGTTAAACGAAGGTCGCGGAAGGGAAGTCTCGTCTTCGTTCTCTGATCCTCGTTCAGGCACGAATCGATTTGGCTTTATTAGGAAGAGAATCCATTGGCTTTAGATTTGGATTTGTTGGTTTGGTTTCTATTTTGGTGTGTGGAATCTACCGACTGCAATCTGTACCGGAATTTGATTGCAAAATCACGATTTTCTTCGGAAATGGATGAGTAACTGCGTTCCAGGATTTGATTTGTAGTGTGGAATTGGGAAACAGTATTGCCTTGTTCATCTCTAGCAATTCAGTGTATATTCTTCTATTCGTGTTGCAGGCAGTGTTTTATTTTGGTCGGACTATCCGTTGCATTGTTTAACACAGCTGCTGTGCATCCTTCCTTTGGTAGGAGAATTAGGTTCCACTTTCTCTCCACCGTGATATGATGATCGATCTTTTTATCCTTTCATTCGGGGGTTGCCGTCTGTATGTTGGATATATGTTCTGTTGAAGGTCGAAGACATAGCCGTGCCATTTTCTTGAACGGCTGCATCTTCCATTGCCGTAGTTCTTTCGGTACTCTCTGCTGTTAGGAACAGACTAAGACTCGGAGCGGTAACGCAGATTTCTTGGCATACAAGCGCATTCATGTGGCTATTCCTCGTGATGCATTCTTGAGGATCGAGAAAACTCGGGAAAAAAAGGGGGAAAATTGATCTTCCTGATTTCACCCTTTTATTCAATTAAAAATAAAAACCCATAAAAGATTCTCGAATTTGTAAAATAGTTAAAAATTAAATTTTTAAATTTGGTATGTAACAAATTTTTAAAATCAACATATTCGAAGTTTTCTCGAATACCAATTAAAGAATTATAATAAAATATTTTGGTAAATTCGTGAGTAAATTTGTCAAAGAAAATAATTTAGAAATTTAGTTTACTTTTTTTTTTCGTACTTCTAATTTAGCAGTTGGAACGTTTCCTGATTTTTTTTTTTTTTTTTTTTTTTTTGGAACCCTCCCCATGTGGGTTTCGTCTCATGACTTGCATTCTCCACAAGAAAAAGATGGAAGCTTTTTTTTTTTAGTTCAAATCGTTTGCGTAGGTTGGGTTTCTTGGTGGTTTCCTGTTTTTTTTTTTTTTTTTTTTTTGAGGAAATGAGTGATTAGATTTAGAATAGTCAAATTAGACCTTAAGAGCATTTCCTCTAATTGCGAAGCGAATCTAATGATTAAGAGTAAATTGGTTTATTACTTTAATCATAAACCAAACCAGTTTAACGTACGGCCGAGTTTGCTTCTTAATCCACATGTTTTGTAATCGAAGATCCCTTCTTCAAGTTCATTGATCCCTATGTTGGTTGCTTGTTTTCATGTCTACGCTCGCCTTCGAGTTGTCATGAACATTTCGTACAGGGTATGCAAAACGGAATCTTATAAAGCGTGTCAAATCAAATTTTATTATTAAAAAATTAATTATATATGTTTTTTCAATTGAAATTAATCGATTCGAATTGAATAAATCGCATAAGAACTGGATTTAAAAAAATACGAAAATTTTTATTGCTTAAAACCAAATCCGAAATGTTTAAAAACAAAAACAATCCAGATATGAAAATTACCCACCGGAACCGAACCGAAATATCTCCCATGATTTCAAAGGTCACAATGAGAATTTATTTAGTGTTTTAAAATGAGTACCGAACATTAAAATGCAATTTTTTTCTTTCACAAATTGATACACGTGTGTAATTCAAACTGTAAAACTCGACGTACAATAAATTTAACAAGGAAAAAAAAAGAAATTACGACGACAGAAGGACTAATAATAGTATAGTAATAATAATAACGATAATTATACGTAGGATTAGACGCCGTTGACCATCCGATAATTAATTATTCTGGAAAAAAAAAATAAAAGTAGAGATATGATGATGTGTTTGCTCCGAAATATGAGATCTGAGTCACGTTCATGATGACATAATGAATAACATCACATGCCACCTCACGTTTCCTATGCTTAAACTATGGAATAAATTTCGGACCCAAAACATGTTCACTAACATCCTATTTTAATTTCATCTACTTATAACTTTATTTCTATTTTCTTTTGGCATAGACAGAGTTATAAGATCTAAAAAAAATATGAGCGATTTAATTTTGTATCCGGTACCAATAAATTATTATTAAAATATAATTTTTTTTTCTAAAAAATAATTCTTTGTATCCGTTCACACACACACACATATATAGATCCTGACCTTATCTCGTGTGTGAACGGAGTTCGTCATGCTTAAAAACCCCAACTGTGACCGTTTTCGGAATCCAATATATAGCCGACCAATGATAATTTATATATATGGCTTTCTAGATTCGAACGTTACAGCAACATAATAATTTTTATTATTATTTACTAAATGTTAATCTAAATAATTTTCGAACCTGCAATACTTTTGTTGTTATGTTAAAGTAAGCAAAGATCTAACCATTTTTGTTTTCTAATATGAAAACCAAACTCATTTTTTTTTTTTTTATAATATTTGGCCCAAGAGGGATTTGAACCCTGGTGGTGAATAACACCTTGCCACCAGCCTACCCCACACTAGGTAACTCAATTTATAATTTATTATGATAACTTCATTTTGTGAGTGTGTGTATATATATACATATATATATATATATATATATATATCACACACACATGTATATGTGTATAAATTGCATATATTCTTCTTGTCCAGTCACAACCGAAAGAAGGAAACCCTGAAAAATGGAAGTCAAGAGAATTGCCACAAACGTTTCTCATTTCCTAATACTCTCTCTAGCAATCAACGTTTTCACATCAAGCACACCGAAAACGACAGCCACTGCACCAGTGAGCTACACAAACTACAGGGCGTTCGTGAAAACGGCATGCAACGCGACGACATACCCAATGATGTGCTACAACTCCTTGTCGTCCTACGCGACCGCCATTAAAGCCAACCCCATCAAGCTCTGTACCACCGCTCTCAGCCTCAACGTCAAGGTCGCGAAGGAAGCTTCCTCAGTCGTCTCGAAGCTTCTGAAGAAAACTCAGAAACCGTACGGTGGAGGAGGATCCATCCAACGGCCAGAAACGCTTATCCTCAGAGACTGCCTCGATGAGATCAAAGACACGATCGATGAGCTGAAGCAAGCGACGGTGGAGATGAAGAATATCAGTCGGAGCAGTGGAGACAAGGGGGAGCGTGTGACGAACGCGCGGACGTTTCTGAGCTCGGCGTTGACCGACGAGACGACATGTACGGACGGGTTTGACGAGATGACGAAAGTCAACGCCGACACGAAGAAGAAGGTCAAGAAGGTGATTCTGAATCTCTCCAGGACCACTAGCAACGCTTTGGCTCTTGTCACCGCTTTACGATATTGATTATTTGATACTTATTGTTATTATTATTATTATTATTATTAAAGTATATTTTGCATGCAAGTTAACTTTCTTTTTCATATTTACGTAAGGGTTTCTTAACACAAGTTAAAAAAGGTAACATTCCGATTCCGAATGCATAATCGAATGCAAAACGAAATCGAACCGGTTCACTTGGTTGGAGAAATAATGGATCATAAAAAATTAAGCATTACAAATATATAAATCGCACTGTATATTAGATCATACATAACACTATTTAGAGCACATGTATAACAAATTGTTTAGCAGTTCTTGTTAGTGATTTTTATATATCTATATTCCATTTTTCAATCTGTATAGTATACGTATAAATGAATGTAATCGTTACAATAGACGTATAAATGAATGTAAATCGTACTTGCGGTTAAATTAATTAGGGATGAGACAGACTCTCAATGCTTTGTTTGTGGTCAACTTTCAGTACCCACTCGCAAATGATCGGATTTACTTCCTCCGGGATCTCATCATGAGGACAGTGGCCTGTTACGTTCAGCACGAATTAAACTAAATAAGATTTAAAAGAAAGATTAGAGAAGTATATTGTTAAGAGTAATTAACCTGCATTAAGCTTCTTAATCAGAATCCCTGGACAATGCTCCTTCAGTAAAGCCATTTTCTTCTTGGAATCAGAGATGGGATCTTTCATTCCCTAAGAGTGAAAAACTATTCAAACACTCCAGTCCCATAGAGAAGTACGCGATTAATCGCAAGGGGATTGTGTTACGAACTCCTCTTACCTGTATCACGAGAGCCGTTTCCTCGAACCCTTTCAGGAGATAATTCAATGGAATCGAAAGATCAAGACCGAATATGCTTTCCAGGACCAGAAGCACACCAGGATCTTGTGACTGTTGTATTTGTTAAGGTAATGGTCTGAACGATATTGTTCAATGCCTACAGCTGATGAAACAATGAATGCTACTAACAATCATAGAGGATACTGCTCTCAGCATTTCACTGGCAAGAAAATCATCGGCTCGCTCGGGTTTCTGCACGATATAGACCAGTGGGTTCAAACCCTCGAGCAAGATATAGAGCAGACTGAAGTCATAATAAATGATCACTTACAACTGGATAGCAATTCCTTAGTAGCTTTCTGGCATTTGATTTTAGGTAGAAGAGAAGAAGCCGAGCTCCAAGCCATGCACCTCCCGGAAGCCGCCTTTCCTGAAACTAATATGATGAACGGAATACAAATGAAATTTACTGGAGGAGAACTTCACAAAGCAACATATTGGAGTCTAGAGAAAGAACTATGAAGGTTGAACAATGAAGGGCCTGAACTCTTGAATTTAACTAATGCCACATTTGCAGGAGATACATACTCTTGAAGGTGGCAGAGGAGAGTATCCCGGGATCACTTCACCAGCACTGTTAATAAGGACAACGGACTTGACCAAGGTAGGCCAAAGAAAGGCCGTTAGTGCAACAAAATACCCTGTAAAGGTACAATGAATTGGCACAATTAGATGAATACCATGAGAATATACGGTATTTCCCCAAAGTACTCATTAGTTCAGGCAATTACCACCTATGGAGTTTCCCACACAATGTGCCGGTTCACCAACAACTTCAATCAGAAAATCTCTCAGCAGTTCAGCCCACAAATGCTCGGTGTATATGATATTCGGCTTCTCTGATTTTCCAAAACCCAAGAGTGTGATGGCCCACACCCGGTTCCCGCTGTTGGCAATGCTGTCTATGTTGTCACGGTAATGCTCCAGAAAAGCACCAAAACCATGCACAAGAAGAACAGCAGGACCTTCGTCCCCGAGAACTGTGTACTGCAAAGAAAATAAAAGAAGAGATACATGTTTAGAGTCCCGAAACGTATTTCAAGATTTGAGTTAACAAAGAGAGTTTATATATCATAGATAGTTGAAGATTCGGGATACTTATTATATGTGTGATGACATAAACCTGAATAAGATACCCCTTCCATCTCCAAATCCTTATAGAGTGCCTTGTTTCTCCGTTCGTCTGACTTTTCAGAGCCATTAATGAATACCACTGCCCCAAAAAACCCAATCAAATGGCTTGAAAAGTTTAACACGAAAATTTAAGAACGTGAGAGGAAAGATTTGCAATCATACTCGCATCCACACAGAAATGTCAGCCAGCATAACAGTCAAAATGAGAGTTGTTCTAGATTATCCTTTTACCTCCATCGAGCGCACAGTATCTGTGGCAGCAAATACCGTGGTGGCTGAATATCCAAACGGAGAAAGAAATCCACCATTCCATTCCTTCTCATATTGAATTGCTTCATAGTGAACTCTTCTCCTGGATATAATTCCAAAACAAAGGACGGGTCCGAAGAGCTTAAAGAATGAAGCTCCAGGCCTAGTCTCATAATCTCGCAGCCTTGCATGAACCCTGGCCAAAGAGAGATCAAGCAGATCACCCTTACAAACACACAAACAGAGAGAGATAGACCAAGTTTCATTTTCTAGTAACTTTTATAAGCTATAAAGAATCCCGCATCAGAAAGCTCGGTTAATGGGAATCTAGTCCACATTTTAATGTGTGATCGGGACAGCCAGAAGTATCACGTACTCTTGCCAATCGTCTCGAGCTGTTCCCTCCAAATACCTCAAGTATGCTGCTAATGCATTTAGAACATCATTAGTCCCACTTCCAACAGTATCTTTTTTTCGTGTGAAGAAAGCAGATTTGTAAGCCCTCTTCGCCAAAGTTCTGTCAACACTTGGGCCCATGCTGCTTTCCTCTAATTCACCAAACCTCTCCTGTAATTCTCTGTCAGCAGATGCTTGCATCATCTCCATCAATCTATTTTCTTTTTTGCATGGATTTGCTTTCATATAGTCCTTCAGATCACGGAGTATTGGTGCAGGACCTGAAGCATAGTTCATTTACCATTTCCCCTAGTGTTAATAAGAGTCACATATTAGAGATCAATAAATACTACACCAAACATTAAGAGATATTAAAGAGATACAATCCCAATACTTTGAAAAGAGAGCTTACCCCATTGCAATTCACTTCCTGAAGATGGTAGGATCGTTGCAGGAACAGGCAAACTGAGGGGCAGCTTTATTTTCTTAAGTTCTTCCCATGATTGAGGCAGCTCCATCAAATTCTAGAGGACAAGAAACATACTAAAATAAATTACTCCCCCAACATCTGATAGCAGAAATTAACTTTACAAGACAAGCAAATGCATTACTTGAGTCTCATAAAAAGGAGTCTGCCACACCACAATCCTTGGGTTCTCTCCCGGAAAATGAGTTCCCTCCAATCTCTTCTTGACAATGTCCAAAGTCTTATGCAGATGATATTCAGCCTCTTCTTCTGTAAATACGACTGTAGCTTGAACCTATTACAGCCAAGTACAAGCTTCAAGGATTTTCTTGACTGCAGATGGCAGAAACACTCAATTATACACACGAATGTACCTCTTTGACAAGCTCTTCAATTACATTTTCAGCCTTCCCGTATCTGATCATAAGATTTGATCCTTGCTCTTTCAAAGATCTCCTTAACTCTTCCAAGGCAATAACAGCAAGTTCAAGCGACTCATTCGTGTATCCTATAGACGAGCAACGATCTACATCAGATACCCAAATGGCAAAAACCCAACAACGGCTATAATCAGCACCTAATCATCTAGCGAGATTACTAAAAACCCTAATCACCTTGACCAATCGAATCCCATTAGCGAAAAAAAAATAATCAAAACTACGCCATTGCAGTCCGTTATAAGCTATATGACGAATCATAATATTCAGAGCTCGAACTGAAGTTCCTCAGTTAAAATATACAATCATATACTAACGGAAAATTCCAGAAACATCCGGTCCAATTTGATGAAAAAGCAACAGACAGTCGGATTTCTTCAACACTACTGAAATGTATATGAACTCACGGGAGAGAATGCGACGATCGAAGACATAGAGAGGAACAATGGCTTGGCACTTAGACGCGGCGAGGAGGCCAGGGTGATCGTCGACTCGGAGATCATGCTTGAACCATACAACTGCCGTGGAACCCTCGTTGGTCTCCGGAGACGAACGACACAAGCACCGCCTCCTCCGGAGATCGGAGGAAGAATGATCTGGCCGGAGACGAGGAGGCAGAAATCGCGGAATCTTGATCGACGCCATGAAGGAGAAGACGAAGAAGAAGAGAGATGAGATTCACTAGCTTCCATGGAGTACAAATGTAGAGAGAGATAGAGTGAGATTGTGGAGCAGAAGACTCGTTGGAGCCTGTGGTGGAGGGAGAACGCAGAGAAATAAAAGACGTCGTTTCAAAGGTTAAAAAAAAAAGTTTTTGACAACGACATGTAGTTTGAAACGAAACGGCAAGCAGTTTGCGGTTGACCCAACATCAATACGACGACGTATGATATGTGAGTAGTTGGAACCAAATAAACTGAAAATGGCGCTACAAGTCCATGTTTCATATTCCTTCTCTCCCAAACTCCATCATCTTCATCGTCTCTTCTCGTGCAGAAACCCTAGTTGTTACCCATTCATCATGAAGTTCCTTTTTTTTTTGTTTTTGGGTGTATTTCATGATGAAGCATGGCGAACATGACATCATCACTCTCCTTCTTGCTACGAAAGCCATCGATGGGGGACCCCCATCGTGAGGGACACACAGAAAGGAAGAGAGAGAGAGATTTGAGTGTTTGGTCAACAAAAGATCTCAAAGTAGGGCCCTTCATTTTCTTTTAATAATTTCTGTACATATTTTATACATACATACATACATACATGATATTTGAATATGTATAGATTTTGGGGTGGGGGAAAAGGGGCTCAATCCTTGGGGTCAAAAAGACGAAGAACCTTTCCCTGCCCACTTCAGAAACCTCGTCATACATACACACACACACACACATATATATATATATAGCTCATTTCATGTTTATTTTTCTTTTTTGTTAACACATTTCATGTTTATTGACCAGAACATAATTCTATTTATTTTTAAAATCTATTTATTTTAAATGAGAAACGAATAATAAATGATGAGAAATATTTGATAAAAAGATATTAAAGCTGATCTAAATTCAATTTCGAATTTAGAAAAACATAAATTTGTTATAAATTAAATTAGTTTGATTTAGATAGAGATAATTATAAATCAAATACGAACAAAGTATTGAGATTTTTTGAAATTTTAGTATGATTGAGAGTTTAAAATATTTTATGTAAAATAAAGATTTTTTATGAAAAAATTATTAGATTTTTTTTTCTTTGGTCATGGGTATAATGACTAGGGGTGGACGTTTTGGTTAGGTTCTTCGGAACCGGACCGAACCGAACCGAAAAAACGGTATTTTTTTCGACCTGAAACCGTTCTCAATTTCCGAACGATATTATTTTTAGAGAACCGAATTTTTCCAGAACCGAACCGAACTTTAAAAAATCCTGAAAAACCGAATATTTTTAAAGAAAATAATCTATCTTTTTTTAATAAAATCCGAAACCGAACCGAACCGAAATAATATAAAAACCGATTGGTACTTATTTTTGTAAAATCGAAAAAATCGAACCGTTCCATTCCCGTCGCGAACCCGAACCGTTTCCCGAAATGTCAACCTCTTAATAATGACTATCTAGTCTTTTTAATCATATAGATTCCCTTTCTTGACTTTTTCTATGACTATCTTGGTCATGGTTAAGTGTAACTCATCGAGTCAATGCTATGAAACACAAACTTATACGGCTTTTTGGAGAAAACTACCACGTTTTGTGATTTTTCGTTTTTTTGGTTTAACGTGCTTCATATTACTTTATTTGGAAAAATTTACAAAAAAAAAACGATGTTGGTAGTATATAGAAAATACTCTCCTGCAAGTTTAATTCCCATGTGTAAGCGGTAATTACAAAAAAACAACCAGATTAATAACTAATCATCTATCGTGCACCGTTAAATGGTACCAATTTTCAAGCAGTGCATTGTCGGGACAACTCCGACCTTCTACCCTCAAGGCGAGAAGTGCGGTCAATTTTCCTACGGATGCAGATCGCGTTTTTTGTCGAAAGATCCAATTGTTCTTTTCCCTCCATAGCTCGTAGACTACAACAACTTGTGCACAGAATTTTGCTAATCTCGGTTGCCTGTGATCTTGGCCAAAAAACATGAGCTATCATCCACTGTAAGCATGCATTGACATCATCCGGTGGTGAAGTGCCACAATATGCCGCCATTGGGATCCAAACACTGCTGATGTATGAGCATTTAAAAAATAAATGCTCGTGTGATTCATCTTCCCTATTGTATAGTGTACATACGGGGGAACATTCATTTCCCACGATGCAAGTCGGTCGCGGGTTGGAAGTCTGTTTTGAACCACCTGCCACATGATGAAAGACATACGCGGGATTGCACCTCTGAAGTTTGAACCAAACAAGGTGGTACCAGGTGAGATCTGGGTTGTGCGATCGTAGGAGAGCACGTGTACTTCCCGAGTGAAAACAAGCACGGTACTCTCATGCTCTTTGCCGCCACTGAAACCTGTCTTCGCCTCTATTTAATGCGGATGGTGTAATGGTAGACAGTGCTTGTTGTAACTCAACTAGCCTTTCACTTCTAGGCTTCTAGCCGGTGGTAGTCTCCAACTTCCCTATTCCGCTGCGTCACTAATAGTCGTCTGCCGACGGATGCGCAACAAGCGAGGCCCCGTCTCTCCAACAAGGCTGATAAGTGGTCCCTTCTCAGTCTAATTATCAAACCAGAACGAAGCTTTCATGCTGTCACCTATTTCGACTCGTAGAAAAGTTTTTCTCAGGTCATACAGCTTGAGCAATTTTCTAAAGTTGTATGATGCATTTGTTGTTATCGGAGTGTCCCAAAAGTCATGCTTCCTTGTAGTATTCTCCTTGATCCAATCAACCCATAAAGAGTTTTTATGATTTTTCGTTGATATCTCTTGGATTTTATTTACTATGGACGTTTGAACACAGTTTTAGAGATTCATTCTTTGAAAGATTTGAGATTTTTACAATAGTTTTGCGGTGATTTTAGAAGAGTAAACCATAATCATTGTCTTTTTTTTTTTTGTATTTTAAAAATGTATTTCGGGCAATCTCTTTTGTTCTCTTGTTCGGTTGAGACGAAATAATGTTTTTCGAAAATCATCTATGCCTCCTCAACTATCAAATGGATAACTAATAGGTTGGTTTTACATACTATTTTATTATTAGATGTATATAAATACATGATTATTCGAATTTTTAGATATTTTGTATATGTGTAAAAATAAATAAAAGTACATTATTAGTTTAATATGGAGCAAACTTATATAGATTCATATTACATGCAAAATAATTTCCAAGAAAAACAAAAAAAAAAATCGGGATTTAATTCCCCTTTTATTTTTTGTAATTTGTTTTCAAATAGTAAAAAATAACTTTTTTATAGTACATTAGAAATTGTAATTTCACTTTGTTAAAACGACGATACTTTTGATTTATAAAAATACTGAAAAATATTAACTATATAATAACTATTTATTTATTATCTATTCGTATAAAACCTTAAGTTATTTGATAACATGATTACATTATTATGTTATAATATTTTTTGGCAACGAATAATATCTTGATAAATGAGAACAATACCCCTAATAAACCTATTTAGAGATTGTGTTCCAAAGTAAAAATTCTGCGAACTATAAAGTTTAAAAAAATTTATATCAAAACAGTATACATTAATGCATAAATAATATCATTAAATTTTAACAAAAGTTAAAACTAACATTACTAACATGCTATGGAAAACCCCAACAAGCCGCATCCCGAAACAAATAAAAAGACAAAACTACCCTTATTGATCGAGCGCATTGGGGCCAGTACAATAATTAACAAAATGGTTCCAGACCCACTGAACCAAATACCGCCGTCGGATGCCGTGCATGTTATACGTGGCGCCATCGCGATCGTTCATTAGTTGTCCCATGTACGACCCACCACCTCCAGTTCCATAAATACCCTCGCACAAGTCCGCTATTTCCACCGGCGCCACCGGATCCGGACCCGCGTACCAGGCGTTCACCAACGGGTTCGTCGCCAGCTCGGCAATCTCGTGACCGATCACGCTTATCATGCCGTCAATTCCAACGTCTCCGTTAGGCGACTTTAACGGCGTTAACCCCGGGATATAATCCGGTACGGCAAAAGGATACGCGCACACACCTGGACAATACTTCGCCGAGTTCCCAACCCAGGCGTAAGGAAGTGTGAACCCTACGATCGATGGGAAAGTGAAATAGTGGAACCCACAGACTTGCCCGCAGAAATCCTGAACGTACACGTCAGCAGATGTGAGGAGGAGATAGAGACCACTCCTTGCGTTCACAGGTAACGGCCGAGATTTCGCCGTGACGGCGGATTTTATAACGGACTGGATCGATAACCGGGTGAGGGATTTGCCGTGAGAGTAGAACCGGTCGTTTTTCTCTTCGCCTAACCGGACCGTACCGGTAATGTTGGAGCCGGTTTGGTCGGTGTAGAGCTGTACGGTCTTCCACCATCCGGCGACGGAGGGGCGTTTAGATCCAACGGCTGAGATTGAGTTGATGAACTCACGGATGATTCTTTTCTGGGATTTCTGCCACGTGCCGTACCAGATTGGGTGTACGGTGATGTTGGTGGTGAGAACGGGACCCATGTGGTAACGGAGGTGGACGAGCTCCGACGAGCCTTCGTATTTCTTGGACCCGCTCAAGATTTGATCTGAGCCGTTGGTTTGGTGGGGCCACGGCCTCCATCCGATCACGGACGGTGGAGATGTGAGCAACACCGTTACCACAGTTAGGCTGAGTAGTACCCGAACACGCATCATGTTTTTTTGTAAGAAAAATATGGAAGGGAGGATTTTTTTTTTTTTTTTTTTTTTAGAGTTTTCTGGTCCGAGAGACGAATGAACGAGTGTGTATCATCAATATATAGGACAAATTAATTAAACTGTTTTTCTTCATCGAACTTTTACCTTCTATGCTTAAACAGAACTTTTATTAAATTTGAACAGATTTTGGAATATTATCCTAATTAACAAGTTGTACGTAAAGCTATCTCCTTTTTTTTAACAAAACTGTTCTTGAAAATATAGGTAAAAAATGTCTATTTGATCTAAAAGAATTTAAAAGTCCAATATCTTTTATCCTACAAAAGCTGTATAATTTGAAATATAATATTTTTTAAATGTAAGATTTTTTATTACAAAAAAAATATTAGAACGAGATTATATTTTCTATGCTTGCTTTGGTATTTATATATGTAGTTGGAGTATTGATGATGGGTCATAGAGATGCGTAGTAATATGGAGGACAGATGGATTCTTAAAAGTGAGGTGGATAAGTGGGTCCCCGACAAACAGACAAGCGGCGTCTTCATTAGCCGTCCGATTGTCCTTGATCTGATGTCAGTCGTCAGCAACCCCAACGCTGTTTTCGGTTCCCGTTGCGCGGGAAAACCTGATTGGCCTTCAGGGGTAATTTGGGGATTTTGGCCCCCGACCTTTTAATTTTTTTTTCTAAGTGGACCTCATTTTTCTTAATTTTTAAAGGCTACAATTTCGATAAAATGAAAAACAAATTCGAAAGGGGAAAAAACGACTTAGGATAGAATTGAATTCGGATATAATCAGAATATTATAAATGTTTTTCTTATTTAAATTGATTATTTGTATGGCTCTTGTCTGAACAAAAATTAGATACTTTGGTAGATATATTAAAAAGACGGGTTGCTAAAATGACAAGTGGAAATTAGAAAAGAGAAAGCATGGAAGCAGATATCCAATATAATTAGTCAAGGGTCTATATAGACCAATTATTTAAAAAAAAAAAAGGTCTACATAGACCATGAAGAGAGTCGGATATAAAGAAGATATATATTTTCTACCATGAGAGTTTAAATTTTGTTTTAAAATACTGTCTTGTGAGTGTTTTCCGCATAATCGTAAGCTATTGTTGTATTATCACCCAATAAGGGATGGTGGAGTGCAGGGCGGATCCACTTGAAGATGAATGAGGTACTGGCTCCCACTGATTTTTTTTTAAATTATTTATAAAATTTATTAAAGATTTTGAAAAAATACAGTTAATACCCATTATAATTTGGTTATGGATCCCATTATTGTTAATTTTGAATGTATCTTAAAACGTTATCTAACAAATTAAATAAAAAAAATCTATATCTCCTATAGTTGTTTTTCTTATTTTCTATTTTTAAATTTTTATTTTTCTCTTTAATTAAATAAAAAATTATACCATATATTTTTATTAACTTTTTTATATTATATATTTTTTTTACTTTTTTGCCCCGTTACAAAATTCTTCTCGGTCCACCAGTGGTTGAGTGGTCAATTTGATGATTCAAAACAACTTCAGGTCGGATGTTCGATTCTCCTTGATAGAGAGAGATGTAATTTATGGATCAATTAAGACTTATATACAAAAGTTGATCTCAGATCGAAAGTTTATCTAATCAGCGCGTCCAAAATATAGGAGATAAGGGTCATCCGTTATAAAAAAAAATAATGTGGTATTATTATGACAAAAATATTTGTATAATCTAAAATCAGATGTTTCAATTGGTAAGGAATAGAAAAAATTATTTCTCGATCCAAATTCAAATATATTTTTAGAAAAAAATATTTACATGGATTTCCTCAATACACTAAGAGATATAGTTGCGAATGACCGATAAACTTTCGGAATATAAAAGATACTAGTACAAAATTAGAAGAATATATATATATATATATATATATATATATGTCTTTTATTTTGCAGTGAAATTTTCATGCCAAAAGACGTGTGTGGACGTTGTTCAAGGCGTTTGCCATTCACATGTTTCACGTGAGTTTTTCTTCCCAACATGTTTTTTTTTGGGGTAAACGGGTAAATGATGAAATCTTGATTCAAAAAAATATCTACCTTGGATATTTTTTTTTCCTCCATATATTCCGTTTGCCTTCTTGTAAATTAGTATTTGATGCAAAGATTTGACGATTAAGCGAAAGTGGAGCCCATATAAGTGAGCAATGAGCCTAATCCTATTATTAGTCGTCTAGTGAGTAGTGACCCCGTACAAACATAGAAAATTAATCATTTTATAATAAGAAAAATAAATAAATAAAAATATATAATTTTATTATAAACATCGTTATTGCTATAATTCATGATAATCTATAAATATAAATATATCAAGCCAACTTAAATATATTAATTATTCACGTAAATAACATTGGTAAAAAAAATGTATTAATTTTAAATTTTAATAAGTAATAAATGAATCAAATAAAAACATATGTTAAAAAATTAAATAAATTTGTTTTATTAAATGGTATTTCTAACCATCTATATATAATATGATCTATAACAAATAATAATAATAATGAAATAAAAATAAATATTATTTTATAATTACAAATATAATTAAAATAATATTATTAGATTTATACTAATACATCAAAATAAATTTTAAAATTTTAAAATTTTTTTAAAATAAAATTTTTACAAAATGTTGTTATTAAAAACTAATTCTTATTTTTTAAATACATTATTTTTAATTTTGTTTAAATAAACCCTATCTAATATGGGTCTTGTGCAAAAATTCCACTTGTGCTCCTCTAAATTCTTAAACGACTCTCGAGTCTGGTCTATTTTTTTTGGAATTTAAAAAAAAACTAAAAAAGATCCGAAAAAATATATTTGTTACTCCCAAACCAAAAGACATCATCGTCATCGGAGATTTCAGATGGTGGGGATATTTAGTTTGATTGGAAAAACATAAGATGAAGAAATAAAGGGAAGCCCCCACCTCTGTTGGTTGAGAGCATATGACTTCTAATAGGAGATAATGGGTTCAAATCTATGGAGTATGAGTTTTTTTTAACCTGTCAGTTTCGACTAGTTCACTTGTTTTACGTGGTTTATAAACTATTATGTAAGACCAGTGGATTTATTCTACATGCAAAGGATTGTGATGGTTCCTTCCGTTATCCAAAAAAATGAATGGAATAAAAAACTCTTAACAGATGGCTGCAGTTGCAACAAAGATTGCCAATTAGAAGACACACATATGATGTGGCAATTTCTGTAACATATTGGCTACTATATTATATATATATACACACATATATATCTGTAAAATATTACATGACATGGAATGGAGTTCATGAGCCTTATGGCACATACTGTTGAACATGTGTGTCGTTTTCACAAATTTTAATGCCCTTTTCCGGTGACATGCGTGACGTTTTCCCTCACAATGATTAACGAATGCACTTTAATGACAGTGCAGTTGGGCCTTTTTCCTTATCAACTGAGGCCCAAAATAAAAAAGCCCAAATAACGGATATTCATGATACGACACGTTCTATTTTGTTTCAGTTGGAAAAAAATGTTTTTTTTTGGTAAAGGTGATTAAATTAAACTCAAAAATAACGTTTACAGCTAGTTTATAGATGTATACAAAAATATAAGATAACCCATGTAGAAGTGGTAAATAAAAATTGGTCCCAGAAACGACCAAGAATTAATGTATCAAACTATCAACCTGACAGACGTGGCCTTGTATTCTCAGTTAGAGAATAATAGTGCCGTAGGATGGAGTTAACGACATTTGTTGTCGGTCCCTTAGAGGCAAGTAGGATGGTTCTCATCGTGCGGTCCAACTTCCATCGAATAACATCGACTGGCCGTGCTCGGTTTCGGAATATGCGGTGATTCCTTTCTCTCCATAGCTCATATACTGCAATTTGTGCTATCAACTTGCTGATTATTTCCTTGCTTCTTGCGAAATCGTTGCTCGGATTATCGATCCATGATAAGCAGCCGTGTAGTTTCTCCGGTGGGCTTGGCCAACAACAAGAGGCATAGAAGTTCCATAGTTGCCTGCTGTAGGTACATTTGAAGAAAAGATGTTGATGTGATTCATCTTCATCACCACATAGGTTGCAAGTGACATCAGATATAGTACCCCAACGGTGTAGGCGATCTTTCGTTGGGAGACGGTTATGCATCGCTTGCCACTGAACAAAAGCATGGCGAGGGACGGAATACCGAAACCAAACTAGAGGGTACCATTGAACCCGGTTCGAGCAATCAAACTGATATATATATTATAAAAAAATCCGAATATATAAAATGTTATGCATAAATCTAATAGCATGAATCGCATATTTTACTATTCACATGTTACGAAACTATACACAAATTAGTTATTTATATGGTATATATTTTAAAATTGATATTCCCAAAATTAAGTTTACTTTTCCTCGTTGGCTGAAACCTGAAACCAAAACCTCTTCTTCTTTTTTTTTTTTTTTGTCTCCTTTGCGTAGTTCACAAAAATAAGTTAGAGACTGTTTATCCCAAAAATCAAATTGAATATAAATAATTTAATTTAAAAAAAACAATTTTTTTAAAATAAAGATCGAATAAAACCCGACGTAAACTCGAAAACCCAAAATGTCACTACTGCTTTGGTTTCCACAAGCTATTTTTGTTTGTTTTTTCATAAATCCCAAAAGATAATACCAAAAGCACATGGACGCCACCAAAGGAATTAGCGAATTTTAAATTTTAATTTCGCATCGAGCTCCATATCCATAGATTCCATAGACATTTACTAATGTCCAAAACATCGAAATTTTCATGAAAAGAACAACTCTTGTTATATAGACATATATATATATATATATATTTGTCCTAGGCGATTCAAGAACAATCTTTATGGTCCTATTTTTAGTCTTTTATTTTCCAGCCAAGCGTTCTATAAATCTCAAATCTGAAAAGAACAACTCTTGTTATATATATATATATATATAATGAAAATGAAGAATTGCAGAATACATGTGCTATATATTTATGGTCTAAAACTGTGAAAAAAGAGAGATAACATATAATATTGGAATACATTCAAACAGAAAGATTGTAAGATACGAGAATATTTTGATAATATTTTTAACCAAGTCGTCCTCGTTTGGACTGCGTGTCGAATGCTGACATCGAAAATGGCATGATGTGTAGCTCTCATTGATTAAAACGGCAACAAATAGGTAAAATACAGTGGTCCCCTTTCTTCCAATCGTCGTCCAATAGCGATGCACCAGAACCCGGTGCGTTCAATTCCACCGTAGGTCAGTCTTTTGTTTGGCTCTTTTCGATACTTAAACCAATAAATAAGGTTCTTATAACGAGCGTACGTGGAACATGTTGTACTTGATTATAAGCTCCTTTTGAATTTCAAACCTAAAAACAGTGCAATGTCTGTCGGGGCACTTCGAATCTCAGAAGTTTCTGACTCAGTCAATTGCCACGTGGTAGACTGTCAGATTTGAGAGTGAGTAAATCTAGTTTTTTTTGGGGTTTTTTATTTTAAGAAATATAAATAAATAATGACATTATTTCAAGGTAATTAAAAAAGAAAACATATTTTCTGCATTTATATTGTATTTATATCTTTCTATTCGCTTTTTTAGACTTCATTGGAACTGAAATATAGAAATATTTTCGCAGCTTGAAATGGACTGATAGATTCTAATAAATTGCATAGATATTTTATATAATTTTTGGTTTTATTGGATAAAAAATTAAGTTGACTTTTCATACTCACTCTCATCATTCATGATTCAATGCAATGATTTATTGTGATGCCTCTTTGGATGTATCTCACTACAGAAACGGGATATAGTTTATGAAAAAAATAATTTACAAATTTGGTCTAATCTAAAATTTAAAAATTTAGAGTGATTTCATCTACAATTTTTAAAGAAAGACGGGCAAATATTGGAACCCTATCCCACTTAATTAATCAAAATATATATGTTCTAAATTTAATTTTTGTGAGGAAATTATCATTGGAAATTAATTAAGGTCACATCCCAACCAAAAAAAAAGTCGAAGTGGATTTGAAAAAGAAAAACAAAACTAAAATGCATGGGGCAGTGGGCTCACCTGAGTAATCTCAACGAGTTCAAAGAAGAATCATACTCTGCAACTAACCCCACAATAACACACTACACCTACCATTAATCTCATCAGATCCAACGGTCCAGATTCCTCCGAACCCATTATCGTTTTTTTTAAAATGTCTCTCGCTCCCTGGTTTCTCCGATTACAGCACCATTTTCTTTTTTCTTTTCACTTTTGTCTGAACAAGCATGAGCATCTCTGCATCTTTGTCTCTTTCTTTGTCTCCCTTGAAAACAGAGTGTTAACGAGAGAGAGAGAGAGAGAGAGAGAGAGAGAATATTTCATCTCTTCTGAGATTCTCTCATACTCGCAGCTGCAAACGCCATCTCGAGCTCAAACAAACCCCAAAAATGGCGACGACACGCAGACTCTTTGCCCTTCTTGTTCTTCTCGTTTCTTCGGTTTTCTCCGATGCAAACCCTAACCGGGCTGTGCCAGAACCCGAGGGCGAGTTACGGGCTTTAATGAACGTAAAAGCAGAGCTTGACCCAGAAGAGAAGCACCTCGCTTCATGGTCCGTCAATGGAGATTTCTGCAAGAGCTTCGAAGGCGTTGGATGCGACGAGAACGGACACGTTTCCAACATATCTCTACAAGGGAAAGGGTTGTCCGGTAAAATCTCGCCCACCATTGGAGAGCTCAAGCACTTGACAGGTCTGTTCTTACACTACAATGCTCTGGTCGGAGAGATCCCCAGAGAGATGGGGAACTTGTCGAAGCTAACAGATCTTTATCTGAATGTTAATAATCTCTCCGGGGAGATCCCTCCTGAGATTGGGAAGATTGAGAGCTTGCAAGGTCAGTGTTCATACTTCCTCTCCGTAAACTGTTTTCTCTCAGTTTGATTCCATCGGTTAGGATCTGAACTTAGAGATTCTATAGGTTTTAGAGATCTCACGAGTCGTGGAACCAAATTCCACTGCTTCTGTAACTTTGTAATCAAGATCTTTGGTCCTGCAAAAAAAAAACGCAGTAAAAACGAAAAAAAAAAACCCAGCTTTCAGATGTTAACATCTGTGGCCGTCGAAAAAGTTTTAAAGCTTTCAACTACAAAAAAGGTTTGCAATTTAATGCGTTCGATAATAACTCTGTTTATAGAACGTCCTTTTCATGTTCCTTGCTGGACTCTTTTCTTTCTGTTTTATTCCTTTGAAGGACAAATTCACGAACTTTAGATTTCAAACCAGTGGGTCGTCACTGTTGCAAAACTTAAACTTGGTCTGCTGCTACATTGTCTTTAAAAGATTCAAACTTCGTCTTGAAATCCTAAAAAAAGGCTCGCCCTTTTATCGGGGTAATCTTGCTCTTATTACAACTTTTGTTTGTTTATGGTGTAACACTTGATGTTTTTCCGACCGAAAAGCTTTGCAGTTGGGTGTTGTCACCAGAGGAATCTGGAATCCATTGATGGTTCTTGATATCTGATTCTTCTTTTTCTCAATATTGTGTAGTTTTGCAGCTCTGCTATAACCATTTGACTGGAAGCATACCGACCGAGCTTGGTTCACTGAAGAATCTCAGTGTTCTTGCTCTTCAGTCGAACAAACTAACCGGTGCTATACCCGCGAGTTTAGGCGAAATAAACACCCTCGAGAGGCTAGATTTGAGCTTCAATCGCTTGTTCGGTTCGATACCTTCCAAATTGGCCGACCCTGCTCTCCTCCGTGTTCTTGATATCCAGAACAATTCGCTTTCTGGCAATGTACCTCCCTGTAAGAAATATACAGTCTCCTAGTGGGCATGTCTTTGTCTGTTTGGACAAGTTGAGCAACTTCTCAATGTTTTGATATTTTGTTCTATGTTCGTAACAGCTCTGAAGAGATTGAATGAAGGGTTTGCTTTTGAGAACAACTTGGGACTATGCGGAGAGCAGTTCTCTCCCTTGAAGTCTTGCAATGACACTGTTCAGGCTGAATCAGGCAAGCCCAAGCCGTACAGTGCATCCGTGACTGGTCTTCCGGCCCGAGACATATCCGAATCTGCTAATCTCCGGTTGCCTTGTAACGCTAGTAACTGTACCGACCCTCCAAGATCTCACCAGGGAGCTGTCCTTGTTGGTCTGGTCGTGATGACAATCTTGCTGTCCGCTATCGGTGTCCTCTTGTTCACGCAATACCGCCGACGCAAACAGAGGCTTTCGACCCCATGTGAGATATCCGATACCACTGACCAATTCGCTAAGGGAAACAGAGAATTCAGGAAGAACAATGGATCTCCTCTGATCAGCCTTGAGTACACCAATGGTTGGGACCCGCTGTCGGACAACAAGAACCTTAATGTCTTTGCTCAAGAGGTTATCCAAAGCTTTCGGTTTAACCTGGAAGAGGTTGAGACCGCTACTCAGTATTTCTCGGAAGTGAACTTGCTCGGGAGAAGCAATTTCTCCACGACCTACAAGGGAATCTTGAGAGATGGATCGGTAGTGGCTATCAAGAGCTTCAGTAAAACGGCCTGCAAAGCAGAAGAACCCGAGTTCTTGAAGGGACTCAACATGTTGGCGTCGTTGAAACACGAGAACTTGGCTAGACTCCGAGGGTTCTGCTGTTCCAGAGGCCGAGGCGAGTGCTTTCTCATTTACGATTTCGCCCCTAATGGAAGTGTACTGAACTATCTCGACCTCAAGAATGGCGATCCTCATGTTCTTGATTGGTCCACTAGGGTTTCCATCGCCAAGGGCATCGCAAAGGGTACACCCCCTATCTTTTTCCTTTTCTTCCCATTTCATATATCCGAAAGTCTTGGATTTCTATGTAATTTTTCTGAAATCTAGGGACACAAATCCGAATCCGGACTTGATTTTCGTTTTTTTTTTTCATATAGTGTCTGGACTCCTATCTACGGGTAGGGTAGGGTATCTCTGTTTTTGCCCAGCCTTAATATTTAAACTCAGTTGTTTTTTTCTTAATAGGTATTGGTTATCTGCATTCATACAAAGCGAACAAACCGGCATTGGTTCACCAGAACATATCGGCGGAGAAAGTCCTCATCGATCAGCGGTACAACCCGCTGCTCTCAAACTCCGGCCTCCACACCCTTCTGAGTAACGATATCATCTTCTCAGCCCTCAAAGACAGCGCTGCCATGGGATACCTCGCCCCGGAATACACCCTCACAGGCCGTTTCACAGAGAAATCCGACGTCTACGCCTTTGGAGTCCTCGTCTTCCAGATACTCTCGGGGAAACTGAAGGTTTCGAACCTTGTGAGACTCGGGACTGAAGCCTGCAGGTTCCAGGACTACATTGATCCGAACCTCAACGGCAGATTCTTTGAGTACGAAGCTACTAAGCTTGCGAGAATCGCTTGGCTCTGCACCCACGAATCCGCCATTGAAAGGCCATCCATGGATGCCGTGGTTCACGAGCTCGGAAACTGTAGCAGCTGTCTCTAATGACTCTTCATGTGAATTGTGCCTTGGGACTCAAGCAAGGTTTTTTTTTTAAATTTTCCATTTGAAAAAATGTAGCCACCTTCTTTGTGTTTTGGGTTGTTGTGTCGGTTTTAGGGTTTAGGTTAGAAGGTTTTAATCCATGTAAAACTGTTGAATGTGTTGTAGTAGTATTGATTAGACGTTATATTCTCGGTATCTGAGTCTTTGAAATTCCGTATACATCAAAATTATTTTAAAGGTGCAATTGGAAGACTATGATAAATATATTAAATCATTATAAATCTATACTTTTTTTTCTTTTCTTTACAAATTATATCTTTTTATAATTTTTTGATAAAAATATCTTTATTTTATTTTATAATTTTAATATTGTCATTATGGAAAACACATATTTTTCCAAACAAAAACAGATTTTTCCAGATAAAAGATAAAAAATAATTATCATATATGAAAAAAAAGTTTTTCTAGATAACACAATTTCTAAAAAAAAAAAAATTTTATGCTGCAAATTTTTTGAAATATTTAATGACAATATTGAAATTATACAATAAAGTAAGAAGATTTCTGTCAAAAATTTATAAAAAGATATAGTTTGCAAATGAAAGAAAAAAAAAAGTATATATTTCTAATGATGTGGCATATTTGGAAATTGGTACCAATTTTTTCTATTTTAAATTCACGTACTTTTTGGTAATTTACAACAAAAATAACTGCAAACGATTACAACCATTCACTTCTAATCGCATTCAACTATAATCGCCACCAACAACTATCTACCAATTATTCAGTATCAGCCACCGACAATCGCTACCAAACATTATGAAAACGCTCAAGTCGTTGGCATTGAGTGATTGATAGTGGAGCTTCTATTCATGCCATGCCACATCACGACGTGAATTCTTTGCTACCTATATTCCGGGTAACTCTGGTTCCGTTAAGATGGGCAATGATGGATCAGCTCAAGTCGTTGGCATTGGAGATGTCTGCTTGGAGACTAGTCTTGGTACTAGACTTGTGCTTAAGGATGTTAAGCATGTTCCAGATGTTCGTCTGAACTTGATCTCAGCGGGAAGACTTAATGATGAGGGTTTCTGCAGTACATTCAATGGAGGTCAGTGGAAGCTCACTAGAGGCGTCATGGTTGTGGCTCGTGGGACGAAGTCTTCGTCACTATACTTCATGCACGCTAAGCTTTCTAAGGATATCATTAATGCCTTAGAGAGTGAAGATGTTATTGAGTTGTGGCACATGAGACTTGGTCATATGAGTGAGAAAAGAATGTCTGTACTGGCGAAGAAGGAGGTTCTACAAGGAGTCTCACGATTACATCTGAAGAAATGTGATCATTGTTTTGCGGGAAAACAAAACACAGTTGCGTTTAAGTCTTCTACACCTTCCAGAAAATCGGAGATTCTTGATTTGGTGCACTCGGATGTGTGTGGTCCATTGAAGACGAGATCAATGGGTGGTGCATCATATTTCGTCACATTCATCGATGATCATTCAAGAAAATTGTGGGCGTATATGATGAGGACTAAGGATCAAGTTCTGGGAATTTTCAAGCAGTTTCATGTTTTGGTGTAGAGACAGACTGAAAAGAAGTTGAAGTGTATCCGAAGCGATAATGGAGGTAAATACTCCGGACCTTTTGATGCCTATTGTCGTGAACAAGGCATTAGACATGAGAAGACGCCGCCAAGACACCACAGTTGAATGGGTTGGCAGAGAGGATGAACATGACGATCATGGAGAGAGTTCGTTGTCTGATTTCTCAATCAGGCTTGCCGAATTTCTTTTGGGGAGAAGCTTTGAACACCGTGGTTCATGTATTGAACCTGTCACCTAGTGCTCCGTTTCATGGTGATGTTCCGGAGAAGGTTTGGACTGGTAAGGATGTTTTTACCATCAATTGAAGGTTTTTGGGTGTAAGGTTTTGTTCATATTCGTAAGGATGAGAGGTCGAAGCTGGATGCGAAGTCAAGGCAGTGCGTGTTCATCGGATACGGTCTGGATGAAATGGGATACAGATTCTATGATCCAATTGAGAAGAAGCTCGTCAGAAGCAGAGACGCTGTGTTGATGGAGGATCAAACTATTCGGGATATTCAGAAGTGCAAAAATCCAACTCAGAATAGCAGTGGTTTGATTGACTCAGAGATGATTCCTCGAGCAATAGTTGAGGATTCTACTGAAGGTGAGGTTCAACGTGATACACCTGGTACATATGCTCCTGTACAGGTTGATGGCGGTATTGGTGAAGGGCATCGGTTGAGTCACCAACTACCGAAGATTCACCGATGTTGAGAAGGTCTGAGAGAGTTCGGAGACCATCAACGAAGTATAGCTCCAGTGAGTATGTATTACTTACTGAAGGGGGAGAACCAGAGAGTTTTGATGAGGCTCTCGGAGATGAACACAAGGACGAATGGATGAAGGGCATGAATGACGAGATGGATTCTTTGTACAAGAATCAAACATTCGAGTTGGTGAAGCTACCAGAGGATAAACGAGCATTGCTTAAGAAATGGGTGTTCAGGGTTAAGCATGAAGAGCACAGTCTGCATCCGCGATACAAGGCTAGACTGGTGGTAAAAGGTTTCAGTCAGAAGAAAGGAGTTGATTTTGATGAGATCTTTTCACCGGTTGTGAAGATGTCATTCATACGGGTTGTTCTGGGATATTGACATCTAGTCTTGAATTGGAGGTTGAACAAATGGATGTGAAGACGACTTCATGGTGATTTGAACGAAGAGATCTGCATGGTACAACCTGAAGGTTTTGTTGAGAAGGGCAAAGAAGATTATGTTTGTCGGTTGAAGAAAAGTCTTTACGGGTTGAAGCAAGCACCGAGACAATCGTATAAGAAGTTTGAGTCAGTTATGGGGGAGCATGGCTACAAGAAGACGGCTTCCGATCATTGCGTATTTGTACATAAGTTTTCTGATGATGATTTTATCATCTTGCTGCTCTACGTGGATGATATGTTGATTGTGGGCAAGAACATGGCGAGGATAACAGAGTTGAAGAAGCAACTTGGTCGGTTCTTTGCTATGAAGGATTTGGGATAAGAGAAGCAGATTCTTAGGATAAGAATTGCTCGGGACAGAAGTAACAAGCAGTTGTATCTGTCACAGGAGAAGTACATTGAGAAAGTACTTCAACGGTTTCATATGGAGAAATCTAAAGTTGTGAGTTCACCTCTTGCATCACACTTTAGATTGAGCAGTCAACAGAGTCCGAGTACAAATTTAGAGACGGAGGACATGAGACAAGTTCCATACGCCTCTGCAGTGGGGAGTTTGATATATGCTATGGTTTGTACAAGACTAGATATTGCTCACGTGTTGGGACAGTCAGTCGGTTTCTTTCTAATCTATGTCACCTTGTGATTCGTAATCTGTGTCAATTGTGACCCGTATAATTGTTGTGAACATTGTGACATTTGTGATCTATGAGTAGTGTGTGCACATTATGATTTTTGTGACCCATATCTGACTATCATGACAAGTGACTTGTGTGATCCGTGATACAATGATAATCTAAAAACAACGAAAAATGAAAGAACCATCGATATGCATAAAAAAAGACCGAGATTTCGACACTATCTTACCTATTTTCAAGTTTCTCGTTGATTTCGCACAGATTTTATATGATTTCGCCGGATTTTTGAAGAGAAAAAAAAACAATTTTCTGTTTAAACGAGGTCACAAAAAAAAACATAATAGAGAGAGAGAGAGAGTAGAGAGAGAGATAGTAGCGCCGATCTCCCAGCTCCAACCTCTGGTTGGAATCTGCCCGTCGGTCATGGGCCGACCCAGAAACCAGTCACCGAACCTCACTCCTTCGCATCCTACCAAACCTCCAGACCAAAAACCCCCAAACATCTCCGCCATCACCGACACACCTCACGAACCACCACTCCTACAGCCATTACTGTATTCACATACCTCCCAAAACCAAACCCAAAACCAGATCTACACACTTCCCCCGAAGATCCCTAGATCCACAAATCCACCTCCCAACAAGAGCTCCTCCTCATCCCGAGACTCAACCTCACCACCACCCCTTCGCCGCTCCTCCTCCCGGCTGAGGGATAAGCGCCAGATCCCTCTCAGTCAGCCACAACCAAAAACCCAACCGCAACCTCAACTGCCTATTTCTCTTCATCACCGCCCAACTCTAGTGGAGCGGTACCCCCTAAATGACACCCTCATTGCTTCCCCAACACAGACTGAGTCTCCTCAAAGCCCCCCCAAACCAAACCCCTATGATTCTGACTTTCCCCCTACCTTCCCCTGTGGTCAGGCAAACCACCCCGGTGGCTAGATCCTCTGCGGAACAGCTACCCATAGCCAATATAAATGTCACTCCTCCCCGGGAAGGAGAAACAAAGGAGCCACCCACTTCGAATGTATCAAAAACCTCCCAGAAACCGCAATTTACTCCGGACGCCAAAACCGGAGGAGTTCCTACACAAAACAACCCCAAATCCTTCAGGGATGCCGCTGCCAAGTCCATCTGGGCCACCAAAGTACAGGGGCTGAGCTACGACCTGCATCGGCTCGCGATGCTGAGATATCGGAAATGGGCAAGAAAAGGGTCAAAATTCCACACTCGATAATTGCAGCAGGCCTTTTACAACATCAAGACTTTGTTGTTTGCTCTTTCTTTGGAAGTATGCCTAGAATGCCTAAAATTCGAGCAGTCTTGAACTTCTTGTGGAGGAAAACTCAAAGAGTGGAAATCCATCCCTTGTCTGCAACTTCCATTTTGGTCAAAATACCTTCTGCCAGGATCCGTGAGGCAGTATTGGAGCAGGAGCTGTGGCATGTTGATAACCATGCTTTCTTTGTAAGGCGGTGGAATGTGGAATATGCTAGGGAACCACCCTCCCTAAAAGCGGCTCCGCTTTGGATTCAACTGTCACAAGTTCCACTACACCTCTTGACAAGAGATGGTATTAGCTACATTGCAGGAGCGGTTGGAGAGCCTAAGGCATATAAACCGCCCAAGACTGTTCACTCCGTTGATGTCAAGGTTGAAGTTGACCTCAGAGAACCTTTACCACCTGATGTGGAGGTGGAAACCGAGGATGGATTTGTGCACACGATCAAAGTCCTGTACCGATGGATACCCCCAAAATGTATGAGTTGTGGGGAGTTTGGACATGCCACCAAGGATTGCAAAAAGGAACCTGAGACAATTATTCCACCAAGGAAGCAACATCAAGAAGACATGTCTGGTGAGAAAGTCACAAACCTGCAAGAGAATACAACGGATACAACTCCACAAGTCCCAGCCATTAACCCTCACAACGAACCAAATGGACTCATCCATATAAATGTCTGGCCTAACCAAGACATCACAACACAGATGGCCAACCCTTCTTCCCCACCTTCCCAAACCCACACCAACCTAAACCAAACTACCACGTTCCAAGCAACCAAATTAACTATCCCCACCCAACACCATACGTGCCAATCAACTGCCCTAATGGTTATATCAAACCCCAAAGCCAATACTTCTTCAGAACAACCACCTCTAGGCGGCTTGCAGATTCTTCCCTCTCCTTTTAAAAAGAGGAAGGGTCTCCTCTAAAAAATATCAAGCCCTATTTTTTATGGAAGATTTTTTTTTTGGAATATACGAGGTCTAAATGACCTGGGGAAACAAAGAGCGGTGCAGAAATTTTTGAAGAGCAAACCGCTATATTTTGGAGCCTTTCTTGAAACCCATGTCAAGGAAGTGAATGCTGACAACATACTTGGGAGCTTAGAAGATAACTGGTCTAGAATTGACAATTACTCGGAGGTCGACAATGGAAGGATTTGGGTCATTTTCCAACACCCTTCAACAGCTTCATTACTGAAAACCACTCCTTACGAGATCACGGTGGAGCTGTCTATCAAAGGATAAGTGCCCTTCATATTTTCGACAGTCTATGCTCCGAACACGGTGGGGGAAAGGGAGATGTTATGGAGCCAACTCCGAGACACCTACTCCTCCATAATAGAACCGAGAGGACTACCTTGGTTAGTTGGGGGTGATTTCAATGAAATCATCCGCCCCTCCGAGCATTCATCATCGACATTCAACCACCAAACTCCCCCCATGAAAAGATTCAACCAACTCATCTCTTACATTGATATCCATGATCTCCCTTACCAAGGACCAGCCTTTACCTGGACTAACAAACAAGTCCTGAACCCAATAGCTAAAAAGCTTGATCGAACCCTTGCTAACGAGCAATGGCGTCTGACCTTCCCGGATAGCTCTGCGCTATTTCAACCCCCACATCCCTCTGACCATTGTCCATGCACCATAAGACTCATAAGACCCTTAGACAAAAAACCCAAGCCTTTCAAATTCTTTAACTTCATCACCAAACATCCCAACTATGCCCAAACTGTGCAAACGGCCTGGAGAATGGCAGGGAGAAATGCAACTATTCTTGAATCTTTCGCTAGGAAGCCGAGAAGAGTGAAAATACCGATTAAAACACTTTGCAATGAGAACTATAGTGAGATTACCAAACGAGTGAAAGAAGCTCACGATAATCTTCTTTTGGCGCAGGAAGAAGCACTACGGCAGCCCTCAGAAAACACATATCGGGTTGAGCATGAGCTACTGGAGAGGTGGGAACATCTGGCCAATTTTAGGAGGAATTCCTCAAGCAGAAGTCGAGGGTGCACTGGCTTCATACGGGTGACAAAAACAACAGATTTTTCTTTAGGAGTTTGGTGGCGAGAAGATCAAGGAACTTCATCACACACCTGATAGACGAGGGAGGAAACAAGCTGGAGAAGTTAGAGGAGATCATTGAAGAAGCCATAAAATTCTTCACTGAAACCATAGGAGCAAGGCCGGACACGACCCGAGTTGCACACCTGGACGAAATCAAAGCCATGTATCAGCAATTGCCATCTGAAAACAACTTGAGAGAGATGACCAGACCTTTCTCAAACGAGGAAATAAAAGAAGCTATCTTTACAATGCCGAAGAACAAGATGCCAGGGCCAGATGGATTCACAGCGGAGTTCTACCAATCTAGCTGGGGAACTATAGGTGACGAGCTCACTAACAGTATTTCCAACTTTTTAGTTACAGGGAATCTGTCAAGATCTATCAACTCCACTATGATATGTCTGATTCCAAAAATACAAGGAGCAGAGAGGATACAAGAATTCAGACCGATCTCTTGCTGCAACCTGATATATAAGACAATCACGAAGCTATTGGCCAAGCGGATCAAACCACTGCTAACAGACTTTATAGAGCCAAGTCAATCGGCCTTCATCAAAGGTCTTCTCATGTCAGAAAACTGTCTCCTAGCAAATGAGTTGGTTAGGAACTACCATCGGAAGAAGATCTCAAAACGGGCCACTTTGAAAATAGATATCGCCAAGGCTTTCGACTCTCTGAGATGGGATTTTATCATCACATTATTGCAGGCCATGGGAATTGAAGAACATTTCATCTCTCTAATCAAGGTTTGTATAACTACACCAGCTTTCTCGGTGAGTATAAATGGTGGATTGTATGGTTTTTTCAAAGGAGAAAGAGGGTTGAGACAAGGCTGCCCCCTGTCACCATATCTCTTTGTCATAATGAATGTACTTTTGCTCATGCTTAAGGAGGGACGGAGGCAGGGAAGTTTGGCTTTCATCCGGGTTGCAAAGCTGGGAAAATAACTCATCTATGCTTTGCGGATGATTTATTGATTTTTACAGATGGAGAGACGAGATCGATCCAGGGCATACTGAAAATTTTGCATAACTTTTATCTGATCTCAGGATTGAAAATAAACATTAGCAAAAGTAGCTTGATCTTGGGAGGTCTAACAGAGGCGCAGAAATCACAGCTGCAGCAAATGTCGAGGATTAAACAGAAGCATTTACCACTCAGATATCTGGGGGTTCCGCTAGCTTCTAGGAAGCTGAGTTTATCAGATTGCTTTCCTCTGCTGGATAGGCTGAAAACTAGATTCTCAGCATGGACAGTCAAGACACTATCATTTGCGGGGAGATTAAAACTATTGGAGACTGTTATAGCGGGAATGATTGGCTCTTGGTTGCAGGCATTTGTGTTACCGAAAGCATGCATAAAGGAAATCAACTCCTTAAGCTCGAGATTTTTGTGGCGAGGATCAATTGAAAACCATGGTGGAGCAAGGGTGTTTTGGGAGAAAGTATGCAGTCCGAAGTGTGTTGGAGGCCTGGGTCTGCGCAATATCCAATGGTGGAATGAGGTAGGAATACTAACTCCTCTGGATGCTATTCTTTCGAAGTGGCTCTCTTTGGGTTGCATGGATTAAGCGATGCTACATCAAAAATGACAATTTTGGTCACTTACAAACAAACCCAGCCACTCATGGACGTTTAGAAAAATACTCAAAGCTAGAGAGACAACAAAAAAGATTATCTCGATCAAGATTGGAGACGGAAAAAGCACTTGGTTATGGCATGACAACTGGACGCCGTTTGGAATGCTCATTGAATACTTTGGACCAGCGGGACCTCAAGCTCTCGGAATTAGGAGGGAAGCAAAGGTGGCAGACATTTATGACTCTGGTTCATGGACATTACCTTCTCCTAGATCAGAGCAGGCTTTGAATCTAGCTATTTTTTTGGCGGATAAAATCTTGTTCGACCAGCCTGATACGATATCCTGGAAAATTGGGAACCACCAGAGTGAATTGTTTGTCTCCAAACATGTTTGGGAATTGATTAATCCAGAGACTCAAGCAGTGACATGGCATAAAATAATATGGTGCAGGTTCTTAACTCCTAAACACTCCTTTATTACTTGGTTGTTTACTCTTAACCGTTGTCCGATAAGAGATCGAATGGCAGTGTGAGGTATTCAAACGGATCTGGTTTGCATTTATTGCGGGATTGATAATGAGAGCAGGGATCATCTTTTCTTCCAGTGCTCTGCATTACAGGACTTGTGTCGAACAGTTCTGGGCAGGTGGGGAAGTCTTCCGCCTTCTCTGACTTGGGAGTCCATTCAAATGTGGCTCTTAAGAAACTGGACATGCAGGGATATGCAATGGGGAGCGATTATTAGTTGGCAGATCTACATCTACTCTATATGGAGGGAAAGAAATGATAGGATACATACTTCCACTTATAAGGATGTTGCAGCCATACTCAAGATTGTGGACAAAACATTCAGGATGAGGATGGCGGGAATACGCCAAACACACTCGGGCGTAGCAAATCAACTACTCCAAAGATGGTTTGGAGGGAACAATTTCTAACTCATTATGTTCAGGAGTCGCAGAATTTTCATGGGTTTCTTTAATTGATGGTCAATTTTTGCTGCATCAACCTTCCGATGTAATTCAGGGTACCACTGAGAGTGGGAACAATTTTTTTGTAAAATTTTAGGAAATCAAAACAAACAACCTTTAACAAAAAAAAACAATTTCAAAGAGAAACGGACGAAGAGAGAGAAACTTTCGATTTGAGGAGAGAAAATGGTTATTTTAATTAAAAAATAAATATAAAATTATATTGTAAGGGTATTTTGATAAATACATATTTGATAGAATATTTTAGAAGAAGGAAATTTTTATATTGTAGGTGTGGAAGTGTTTTTAGTATATTGAAAATAAAACATATAATGCTCCGGTTTAAATAATGGTAATACTAATACTAGCCAAAGGGTAAAGATGTGCATGGTTCAAATAATTCTGGCTAGTTTAATTTTTTTTTAAAATAAATTTGATGGTAGTTTCTTTAAATTGGTAATTTTTTAAAAATATTAGTTAAAAAATTAAAAAAAAAATCAAACCTGAACTATAAAAATGAGGCAATATGAAAAATTAAACTAGTGCGAAAATGGCACGAGAATCTAAAAAATGAGAAAAATATCCAAGACTTTTTGGTGGTTTTCCACGTTCTTCACAGGAGAACTATCGCCATGGTCATGGCCCTTATTGGGCCTTGGGAAAACGTTGATAATGGGCCTATTTGGGCCTAGTGACGTAACGGTTTCGTCGTCAACGAAATGGTGGTGGAAAGTCAAATCTCTTCGCATTTCGTCGCCGAAAATTTAAAACCCCCTCAAAGCAAGCGAAGAACCCTACTAGGGTTTTAGGACAAGCTGCCATTTTTTTCTCTTCCGGAATTGCGTCGTTTCTCGAGCCGAAATGGGTTTCTGGGGTTAGTTTCTCTGATCCATTAACAAAATATCCTTTTGCCTGATTTTTTGTTCTGTGGGGTTTGATTTTTCTTCTCTCTTTGATTTTCTCGGTACGCGTTCGTGATTTGTCTGATATTTTCTTCTCGTTTGCAGGGCTTGAAGTGAAACCTGGGAAGCCTCAACCTTATAACCCATGCAATGTACGAGGGCAGCTTCACGTAACCCAGGTATTGCATTGCTCTTGAACAGATTCTTGTTTGGATTCCCTTGTAATCTGAATCGAGCTGTGGAGCAAATTCCTTGTACCCGAAATTTATTTGGGAAATGGATCGTTGATACACACTTGCTCTATGTTTGTAATCCTTCAGGCTACTCTGGGCCTTGGCTCGGGCGAGACAAAGACTGTGCTTCAGTGTTCGATAGGAGACAAGAGCCCGATTTACTTGTGTTCGTTGTTACCATCCACAATCGAATGCTGCCCTTTGAGCCTTGTGTTCGATGACAATGACGAGTTAGTTGAGTTCTCGGTGATCGGTGAAAAGAGCATCCATCTGTCTGGATACTTTGAGGAGTATGAGCTTGACTCCGATCAGGAGGAAGATGATTCGTATCCTTTCTTTCTTTTCTTTTTTTTGTTTTCTCTTATCTTAAACAAATAATAGTTTTCTTTTTGTTAATCTTCTGTCTGGTAATTTCTTGATGTTTTCATTGCGACAATATAAGAGATGGAATTGACATTGCTGAGACCGATTCGGATGAGTCATCTTTATATGGCAGCGAAGGGGACTATGATACTGAAGAGGACTTCATTGACGACGATGACGATGATATTGCTATGTATCAGCAGTCCTCTGTCCCCAATAGTGGAGGTAATTTGTTGCATCTTTTCTATTTTTACTTTGGTCTTGGATTGTAGCTTTTGAGATGGCGACGGATGTGTAAGTTCATAAGCATTTTATCTGTGCCATCCTCTACATTTGTGTTTACAAAAAGCAATTGTTACGTGGGATTTTTCTTTCTATGGCGCCGTTTAGAATGAGGCTGATGGACATTGTCTTGCAGTTGTAATTGAGGAGATAGAAGATGAAGAGAAACCTGCCAAAGAGGTTCAGCCAAAACGTTCCAAGAAGAAGTGTCAGTCTAGTGAAGACGAGAATCTGAAGAAACAAATTATCGTCAAAGGCAGCGCCCGGGTTCCGGTTCTGGAGAGTGAAGATGAAGATGGTTTTCCCGTTTCCAAGGAAGAAGCTGATAAAACAGATGAGAAGAAAGGGATAGATGACAGTGATCAAACAAGCAAGAAAAAGCGGAAGGCCATAGCTGCTGGGCAAGATGGTGGTGAAATCGAAAGGTACTCTTCCACTTGATATCTTGTTGATGCATATTTTAGGTTTTTTTAAGTTGTCTCTAAATTCTAAAATCTGTTCCAGTGAAAAGAAGAACAAAAAGAAGAAGAAGCAGAAAGAGAGGAAAGGAGGGGAAAACTCCAATGGGGCAAATGAGGCTGCCGTTGAACAAGCTCCAAAGGAAAATGAGCTCAAAAACGAGGAAACTCACCAGGTTTCTTCGGATAAGAATGAAAGCTCCAAGAGCCCGGACACCACTTCTGAGAAGAAAAAGAAAAAGAAGAGAAAGAAGAACAAGGATCAAGAAGCTGAAGATAAAACCGTTTCTGGTAATAATCAAGATAAGCAAAAGTTAGGTTCTGTCTCTGAGGGGAATCAAGAGAACTCCAAGTCATCCCAAACTCGAACTTACCCTAACGGCCTCATTGTTGAAGAGTTAGTCATGGGCAAACCTGATGGCAAGAGAGCTTCTCCGGGGAAACAGGTTGGTCGCATGTAGATATGCTCATACTTAATATCATGTGAACTAAGATGTTACAAGAAAAGTCGGGCAATGAAAAATATAATCAGTATGCATTAGCATCATAATGTTTATCTCAAGCAATGAAGGTATTGTTTTCTGGGCTATCTGAATGCAGGTTAGTGTACGGTACATAGGAAAGCTTCAGAAGAATGGCAAGATTTTCGATTCCAACATCGGAAAAGCGCCCTTTAAGTTCCGGCTAGGTATGAATTGTGATTTTAAACTAGAGATAGCGTAGTAGCTTTGAATGAGATTGGTTCTTGATTTGTGTTATGTGCAGGTGTTGGCCAGGTCATTAAGGGATGGGATGTTGGTGTTAACGGTAACTCACCTTCATTCTTTTATGGGGTTTCATTCACTTCGTGTTAAACCTGTCACCATTGTTTATCATCTCGAGCCTTTTCTGATGATCCTTATCTCAGGCATGCGTGTGGGGGACAAAAGAAGGCTTACAATTCCTCCATCAATGGGGTAATTGCTTTATCTTTGTTTTGGGATTGGTTTTCTTGATTGTGATATTTAAGCTTTGATTAAGGGCAGAGAGAAAAGACCCCGGAAAAGGGGCATTTTCTTATAGCATCAAATCAACTGCTGATAAATCTTGAAACCCGAGATTGGTTTTAGGGATTTGGATGGATCCCAAGTCTGATATTAGAATGGTTGTGCATCAGGTACGGCCACAAAGGTGCTGGTGGGCAGATCCCTCCAAACGCTTGGCTTGTCTTTGATGTTGAACTCATCAATGTCAACTGATCTCCTCTCTTCTTGGAACTTCAAGACAAGGCAACAAGAAAAAAAAGGGTTCTGTCATTTTGATGTTCAGAAATGTCTATTTGCCATTTAAAACTAAAAACGAGACAGCTCCCGGGTATTATTAATTTTTTGCATGAAGTTTTGTATCCTGCCCAACATTTTAAAACCAATTTTTAAAATTCTATTTTAGTTATGTTTGATACTATTTTTTTATAATTAAATAAACTTAAAATTTAATCCAAAATATAAAATAATCCGATTTTTTTTTTCTTCTGTTACTGATTTGGATTCGTATAAACAATATTTTGATTTTGATTTTGATTTGTTAGTTACTTCCGAATAAAAAGTTTTGGAAAAATCATTGATTTTTCTCACAAATACATTTCTTCTTTCTATTTATTTTACGTTTTCCCACGCGTTTAATTTAAAAAAACATTGGTTTTGAAGGATATTTCATTCATATAATTCTTTTCATTGTAAGAATGATAAAATGTTTAACATGACATAATGTAACATGGTAGACTGCGACATGATTAGTAGAAGAAATATCCTATTCCCACATGACAAATATATTATTTTATTCTATCAAATAATCTTAAATCCAACCAAATCATGCCAAGGTGTTACAAATATATATACTCATCCCAAATAATGCAAAGTGATAGCAGCACCATGTTTAGAATATGATCTCGTTAGGATTTGATATCCGAATTGAAGAGGTTTTGAGGCTTTGATGTTATTTTATTTTTTTTGTTATTTAAGAAATTTAGCGGTAACATTCTCTTCCCCAACCCACGGCTCGAACATGAACTTCACCACTCCTCTAACGCCTCTTGGGTAGTTTTGATGTTAGTTGAATACATATACTAATGAGAAAGATAAAAGAGGCAATAGTATAAATAAATATTTTTTGAAAAAAATAATAATTTGGTAATGATTAATGATTATGGACAAACATAATTTACAAAACTCGATTTTTTTTTAATAGAGTTTGCACTTTGCACATCATAATTTTTTTCAGTAGTTTGGTAATGAAGCGTGCATATGGGCCGATTGGTCGATACTAACAACTCGCTGAAAAGCCCAATAATAGGCCCAAATATTCTCAGCCCAATTTGTGTGAGAGCCTTTCATGTAAAGGTAGATTTCTTCCCCTCTTGCTTGCTTGCTCTGAAATTAGGGTTTTGCAGAGGGTTTTAATCCGGCCACCGCCTCTCAAAAGTGTGATTTCCTTCTACTGTTCTCTCGTTTTTCTTCGCCTCTGTCGTTGTTCCATACACGCTCATAGGTACTCTCGATTCGGTCTCTGCATGTTTTGTCTCAGTTGATTTTTCTGTTGTTTGGTTGATTTCAGACGTCAATTTTGTTGTCGGTGTGCATCATTTTTGAACTGTAGGGTTTCGATGTATCCTTTTCATTTCACCGTTTAAAGGTTTATAGTTGTTTCCCTAAATCTGTTCCAGTGAAAAGAAGAACAAAAAGAAGAAGAAGCAGAAAGAGAGGAAAGGAGGGGAGGATTTTGTTTCTTCCGAGTTCCCCCCCCCCTTTAGGTTTGATGTTTATCTTAGTCCTACTTCGATGATTGTTCCCTCTTTGTTTGTGTTCTTATACTTACATTAACTGGTTTGGATTTCCTTCATCTAGCGAAAGCTTGCACTTTCATGGTCGTTTAGGAATTCTGTATAGGTTTACCTCTCTGATTTAGATAGTCACTGAGCTGAATTGCTGGAAGCATCTATAATGGAAATAATTGTTCTTGATTTTACTTTCTGCAGAATTTGGCTTCTGCTCTTTACACCTAAAGGCTTTCTATGTATTATTTAGCATCTATGTTGTCATAAACCGTGCATATATTAATAAATGAATATACGCCAATCTTCATTCAGAGTTATCGTATCAGTAGGTCTTGGAGTGAATTCGATCAGATATTGGTATCGATATATAATCCAGACAGGGCAAAGCATACAACGGATATCGCATCCTTAAACTGTTTTTTGGCTTGGTTTTGTGTGAAATAATAGTCTGGGTTCACGTGTTTACTGTCTTGGTTCTGAATAAGGATTGTTTTTTTTATTGAATTTGGGACAGATGGCTTTTAGTGAGGATCTTGTGGAAGACGATGAGATAAACATGCTTGAGGAGGAAGCATCTGACTCTGAAGCGGAGTCACAGTCAGATTCGGACTCTGAGGAAGAGATGACCGTGAAGTTGTCCGAGCCTTCAAAGAATGCTGTTTATAACAGAGATGGGCTCCTCGATAAACTTCAAGACATGAGCTGGCCGGAGAACGTAGACTGGATTCATAAGTTGACAGTTGACATCGATCAGGGACAAGAGGTGGATGTAAATGATGACCTTGCGAGGGAGCTTGCTTTCTACACCCAAGCCCTTGAAGGGACAAGACATGCTTTTGACAAACTTCAGGGGATGGGCTTGCCTTTCCTCAGGCCATCTGATTATTATGCTGAGATGGTGAAATCAGATACCCACATGGAGAAAGTGAAGGCTCGTCTTCTGCACGAGAAGAAAGAGATCGAGGAGGCGGAAGAGAGGAGGAAGGCAAGGGAGAACAAGAGATTGGCCAAGGAAATACAAGCTCAGAAGCTGAAGGAAAGGGCCAAGCAGAAGAAGGAAGATATTGAGTCTGTCAAGAAATGGAGGAAACAGAGGCAACAGAGTGGCTTTGCCGATAAAGAGGGTGAGCTCGACTTGGATTTCGAAAATGGCAAAGGCTTCGAGAGGTCTGGTAAGAAAAGGCCGGGTGTGTCCCCGGGGGATAGATCGGGTGGAAAGGGCAGGCAAGGGAAGAACGGTAAGAAACGGGAGTTTCGAAATTCCAAGTTTGGATTTGGAGGCAGAAAGGGGATGCAAAAGCAGAACACTGCAGACACAACCAACGATATCAAAAGTTTCGGAGGAGGAAAGGCAAAAGCAAACAAGAAACAGAGGAGATGAACGGAGTTTCAGTCCATGGTTTCCAGGTTTGATCATCAAAATGTCTTGAATCATGTTTTCATTCGGCACTTTAGCAGGTTATGTAAAACCCTGTCCTTGGAGTGAAGGGTTTCTTAATGATTACTTGAAATTGAATTATCAAAGACCAGATTTTAGCTGGCGAAAAAGTTTTGTTTCCCTATAATTATCCGATTAGTATTTTTTTTTTAATTAAGCAGAAGATTACGACTCTTATCTCTCATTAGTCCTTTTCAACTACTACTTATTCATTAAGGTGTGCATTGTATTATTACTCTCTCTCTCTATATATATATATAAAGGTCTGTTATCTGTCTCTTTCCTCAGAACTATCATTGCATCTTTCGTTCTCTGTTTTGTGCGTCTTCTTCTATTCAACCATGATAGAGTGTGCTCTCGAGTTCATTCACAAGATTGCTTCAAATTCTCTCTTCATGTTCTTTTTCTGCAACCTCATCATCTTCTTGATCCTCATGGCCAACTCCAAACTCGACCCATTATCCGGTTCGAAGTTTCGGCCCGAGGTGACATCCCGGTCAACTCTCTCCTCCAAACCCGGTTTCGGGGCAGAACCCTCTCAATGGAAACCGGGTTTAGAGATTGAGGGCTCAAATCCGGTCTGTAAGGCCATTGAAACGGGTGATGAAGGTAAGGAACAGAAGAGAACATACCAGGAAAGTCTCTCATCCAAACCCGGTTTCCGGGCAAAAACCTCTCAATGGAGACCGGGTTTAGAGATTGAGGGGTCAAGTCCAGTCTCTAAAGCAATGGAAACCGGAGATGAACAGAGGAGGAGGAGGATGATAGTGACAACTAGTGAGCTGACATTTCAACCAGTGTCGTCGAAAGGCGTGGATGATGAGATGGACGCAACACTTCGAAGAAGAGTGGAAGAGTTCATCGATAAAGTTAACAGCCAATGGAAATGGGAGAATTCGACGGCTTGACTTTACCCTTTTGCCTAATGGACCCGATTCTTGATTGTGATCGAATCCCGAAAAATGTAATTGTTTTCTTCAATCCTGAGATTTGTTTTTGTTTTGTAAGCAATTTGGTACCCAACCCCTAAGGCGGCATTACTCTCAAACAGCAAACAGCAACATTGTTCTTAGTTCAGTTGCATATCTCTTTCCCAACTGATATTCCGACATGGGTTGTTCTCTCCAACTAAAAGATTCCCAAATCAACATCATAATAATTAATAATAATGGTGATGATGATGATGACATATCCAACATACATTAATGGCTACGTACGTCTGAGCGGTCAAGCAAAGTGGGAGTAGGGGTATTAAAACATGCAAACCATATGAGTCTTGAGATAACCATGCTTTTGCATCTCTTCTTTTTCTTTTTTTCTTTTTTTTTTGCAAACTCGAAAAATTTGTTTTTTGATTAAGAAAAAACCCAGTTTGGTGTGGCAAGTCTCTCACTAATCATTTGATAAAAAATTTATAAATTCAATGTTATAACCAATATGATCAAGATTAAATTTCTGGTCACATGGATCACATGTTGTAATTTTAGAGTAAATGAATGGGGTTTAATAATAATCTCTCAAGAGATTCATAGTTATATGTATTACGGATATGGTGGAGGAGTTAAATGTTCGTAAATGATATAATATGGATCGGTGAAACACATATGTGTTTGGCAGTAAAGTTGTTCGGTTCGGGGTGAGATATACCTCAACCCGAGTGAAGTAGAACTGAGTCTACATGACGAAAACGAAATTTCCTCTACAGAAATATAACTCGGACCGTATTGATTTCCTGAGAAAAAACTCGTGTTGCACAGAAATTTGACACGTCCCGTGTCAGGTGGAACTCGATCTGAGTCAAAAGTCTGTGAGAAGTATTTCGTGTTGTGTCAAGTGTAACTCGGACCATGTCAGTTATATATGAACTGATGCGATTCTTCGCGTAATAACTGCAGATTTTACAACTTTTGGTGATGTTCTTTGGTATTTATATACTAAAGACGTCTGAATAAGTTGGGTACGAGATTAATTCGATTTTTGAGAGATTTTGAGAGCACTTTCGGAAGTTTCTTGCAAAAAGTCTCCGAAAGCTTTTGTTCATCTTCTTTTTCACGTTTCCTTGTCTGTGCGTTCTTGAACGAGCAATTCTAGAACGTATTTCTCTTCATTGTATCTCATAATCGTATTCCTGTAGTCCTTGCTCGTAACGGACGGAATAATGATTTTAGGAAAGTGTCTACACGCCTTGAAGAGATATTCGGTCCCTCGGTTCGATTTCATTCTCGTTTTTCCGTTGATTTCTTCCAGATTGATTAACAATCTAAAACCGTTATCCACTCGAGGATGACATCTTCTGTGAGGGATTTGGCTATAAACTTTCACAAACTCGACAAGTTCGAGGGCGTGGGCTTCAGGCGGTGGCAGAAGAAGATGCACTTCTTGTTGACGACGCTGAATGTCGTCTACGTCATCAGTACACCTAGACCAGAAGAGACCGAAGAAGAAAGTTTGGCGCAGGCATGTATACGGAACAAATGGGACAACGACAACTACGTGTGTTGCGGTCACATTCTGAACGGTATGTCCGACGAACTATTTGATGTATATCAACACATAGACGTGTTAATCTTATGTAGAAAATAAATTTAATTCCACCATGCACGTTGAATGATGAAAAATGTATTACATGCATGAAAACAAAAATAACCAGTCATTCTTTTTCTAGCATAGAACGGAGTTCGGAAATGTTAGAACTAGTACATAGTGATCTATTTGACTTGCATAATACACCGTCCTTAGGAAATAAGAAGTACGTAGTTACATTCATAGAAGATGCTACTCGGTTTTGCTACGTGTTTTTGTTGCATTCAAAGGACGAAGGTCTTGATAGGTTTAGAGCGTATAAATCCGAGGTTGAGTTACAACTCGGGGTTAAACTAAAGAAGTTTAGGACCGATAGAGGAGGGGAATACTATGATCCTACGTATTTTGAATCCGTAGGAGTGATTCATGAGACTACTGCACCTTACACACCGCAACAGAACGGTATAGCGGAAAGAAAAAATAGGGTCTTGAAAGAAATGGTTAATTCCATGCTTTCATATTCGAGATTAAGTGAGAGATTTTGGGGTGAAGCAATGCTTACGGCTTGCTATATTCTGAACCGAGTTCCATAAAAAAGGAACAAGGTAACCCCATATGAACTTTGGTACAAGTGGAAACCGAATCTGAATTATTTTCGGGTTTGGGGATGTCGGGCGATAGCGAAGGTCCCGGAACCAAAGCGAAAAACTTTGGGAGATAGAGGAATTGAGTGTATCTTCATAGGTTATGCTTTACATAGCAAAGCCATAGAACCAAATGACTACATAGCCGTTCACACGGTCATTGAGTCGAGAGATGCATTGTTCGACGAAAGTCGATTTTCTTCGGTGGATAAACCACCTAGTTCTGTACCTAGTTTGAGTGATCGCACAATCGATCAAGAGGATGGACCAAGTGAACCTCGTAGAGCTAAACGTATTAGGAAAGCAAAATCCTATGGTCCGGACTTTCAGATGTACCTGGTGGAAGGTACTAATGAGTCAATCGTGACTCAGCTCGCTTATACATATAATATCGAGGGAGATCCTTGGACGTATGATGAGGTGATGAGATCGCAAGATGTCGCGAAGCGATAAATGATGAGATGGACTCTATCATGAGCAACAACACTTGGATCTTAGTAGATCCTCCTCCAGGTTGTAAACCGATTGGTTGCAAGTGGATCTTCAAGAAGAAGATGAGAGTCGATGGAACTATTGATAAGTTCAAGGCTCGTCTAGTAGCTCAGGGCTTTAGACAAAAACAAGGTATCGATTATTTCGATACATATGCACCGGTAGCTAGAATAGCTACGATAAGATTATTGATCGCTCTTGCTTCGATCAAAAATCTTGTAATTCACCAAATGGATGTCAAGACGACATTCTTAAATGGTGATCTTGAAGAGGAGGTGTATATGAAGCAACCAGAAGGTTTTCTCTTATCGGATCAAGCACACAAAGTGTGCAAGTTAGTCAAATCACTGTACGGGTTAAAGCAAGCACCCAAACAATGGCATCAAAAGTTTGATGAGGTGATATTAGCTAACGGGTTTAGTCTGAATCAATCAGACAAATGCGTATATAGCAAGTTTGAAGAGAATGGTCATGGGGTTATTATTTGCTTATACGTGGATGACATGCTCATATTCGGTACGGAATTAGAGCAAGTCAAGAAAACAAAAGATTTCTTGTCATCGAAGTTTTCGATGAAAGATCTAGGAGAAGCAGATGTTATCCTTGGAATTAGGATAATGAGAGATCACGGTACGATTTCACTATCTCAATCACACTATATTGAGAAAGTGTTAAAACGTTTTGATCTCTACGATAGTACTCCAGTTTCTACACCGATGGATTGTAATGCTAAATTAGTAGCAAACAAAGGGGAACCAGTGTCTCAACTTGAATATGCTAGTGTCATTGGATGTTTAATGTATGTTATGACTAGTACTAGACCCGACATAGCATACACGGTTAGTAAGTTGAGTAGGTACACTAGTAACCCGAGCGTACATCATTGGCATGCTGTACGGAGAGTATTTCGATACTTGAAGCATACCATAAATCACGGTCTTCGCTACACGGGTCAACCTTCGGTGTTAGAAGGATATACGGATGCGAGTTGGAACTCTAGTGAAGAGGATCATGCCTCGGTGAGTGGTTGGTTGTACCTACTAGGTGGAGCTGCGATTTTTTGGGCCTCCAAGAAACAAACTTGCATTTCGGATTCGACGATGGCGTCAGAATTCATTGTCTTAGCTTCTGCGGGAAAAGAAGCAGAATGGCTAAGGAATCTGGTATTTGAGATACCATTATGGCCTAAACCGGTATCGCCTATCACAATACATTGTGATAGCGCATCGACTTTGGCTAAGGCATATAGCCATGTGTATAATGGAAAGTCTAGACATATTGGTTTACGACATAGCTATGTGAATGGTCTTATAAAAGACGGGGCCATAGTGGTGGATTTTGTGCGTACAAAACAAAACTTGGATGATGCTCTTACCAAGAGTTTGTCGAAGGACATGCTGCACAAAATGACTATAGGGATGGGTCTTGGGCCTATTGATTAAATCACAATTAGAGGAATCTCAACTCAACGTCTAATACAACGTTAGATCTTGAGTTCAATGAGTTAAATCCTCTAATATGTGGTTGTAGATGCTTAGAAGTAAATCATCCCGAGGTAAGCATATTGGTTTGCAACGTAAAGAGGTTGTTTTATACTTAATGAATTCTTTGACAAAGTGCTTTGTTGCAGAGCACGATTTGAAAGAATTCACCTATGCGAGCATGAAGTGTGGCCGCTTCAAGATGTTGGTGGCTCGACATCTATGTGCTTGTGAAGGGGATATGGACACGTGGCCGATATAGTGTCAAGATATACAAGGAAATCTATTGATTCTGTGTGTGTGTATACTTGGTAGCTCAACAGGATTACGTAGGTTCAATCGTTATCGACACCTACGGAATTCGAGTCTATTGTTGTATATTACACTAAGTGGAAGTTCAATCATAAAGACACTTTCATTTATGCGCAGAATTGTGAAGATGAATGATTAATTGCTTGATTGTCCATTGCATATTTTACTCTAAAATGATGGAGGATTGTTGTAATTTTAGAGTAAATGAATGGGGTTTAATAATAATCTCTCAAGAGATTCATAGTTATATGTATTACGAATATGGTGGAGGAGTTAAATGTTCGTAAATGATATAATATGGATCGGTGAAACACATATGTGTTTGGCAGTAAAGTTGTTCGGTTCGGGGTGAGATATACCTCAACCCGAGTGAAGTAGAACTCAGTCTACATGACGAAAACGAAATTTCCTCTACAGAAATGTAACACGGACCTGTTGATTTTCTGAGGAAAAACTCGTGTTGCACAGAAATTTGACACGGCCCGTATCAGGTGGAACTCGATCTGAGTCAAAAGTCTGTGAGAAGTACTTCGTGTTGTGTCAAGTGTAACTCGGACCATGTCAGTTATATACGAACTGATGCGATTCTTCGCGTAATAACTGCAGATTTTGCAACTTTTGATGATGTTCTTTAGTATTTATATACTAAAGACGTCTGAATAAGTTGGGTACGAGATTAATTCGATTTTTGAGAGATTTTGAGAGCACTTTCGGAAGTTTCTTGCAAAAACTCTCGGAAAGCTTTTGTTCATCTTCTTTTTCACGTTTCCTTGTCTGTGCGTTCTTGAACGAGCAATTCTAGAATATATTTATCTTCATTGTATCTCAGAATCGTATTCCGGTAGTCCTTGCTTGTAACGGACGAAATAACGGTTTTAGAAAAGTGTCTACACGCCTTGAAGAGATATCAGGTCCCTCGGTTCGATTTCATTCTCGTTTTTCCGTTGATTTCCTCCAGATTGATTAACATCACATGGTCACAGATAGAGAAGGGTATATATTGAAGTAAAAATAGAAAATGAAGATATTTTTCATATAATGTCAGCTAGTTCAAATCAATTATATTAAAATTTATACCCAATTAAACTGTCATTTTTAGTCAATTTATGTTGGTTGTGGTACACACAATGTACTAGAGCTTTGTGTTTTACGAAATAAATATTTTAGTGGTTTAGCCGCTTGATTGAAATAAGAAGAAAAAAGGGGAGAAAATGTATCATTAATAAAAGATCAGTCCAATATTTTTAAAAAGTCAAAAGCGAAATAAAAAAATGTGGTCCATCAATTCTTAACTCGACAAACAAACATTTCATTGGATTTTTCTAATGAGAAAAATATATAGATGAGATGATGGGCATATTTATTTACCTCACACATGTTGAAAGAATTAGATAATAATTTGAAACTCAAATTTTCAATGATTCATAGCGCCTTCAAGGTTATGAACTCCATGATATCATTTGCGAGGTGTTAGTGAAATTAAGACAATAAAACAAGAAATTAATAGAAACAGAATACCTAATGAAATGTACCATGATTTGTGCAATAATATGTTGTGTATTATTTACGATTCGAATGAATTTAAATATACAATGTATTTTTTTCAATACAATTCCTAATATAAAACACACTGATATCTAAATTTTATATGAATTGAAACTCTTCATATTTTCTAATAAAATGCATGCAACCTTATTTCAAAGGATGATTTCGTTTCTATGATTGGATCACTTGAAAATGGCTTCAAGATTATGTTTTGCCTCTCATTTGATAAAACACAAAAATAGATCGAGGGTCGAACAACGAATTCGACACAACAATTAATGCTTGCTTTTTCAAGACATAACTCGAAACGATTAAAAAAAACGACATGCAGTGATGACCATACCCTAACTGATTTTCCCATGCACGCACGTAGCGTGTTAAGACACGATAATCAAGCATATCGACGATCACTTCTTCCCTAAGATGACGTGTCGTCCGTACCAACAAATCATATACGAACATTATCAACCTATTGATAGTTCAACCGGTGAAACGGGTGCGTAAAATGTTTGTTCCGCTCCGAGTTTGAAAATCAAGTTTGGGAAGGGAGCGTATATTCCAAATCACCTAATTGGCTTTCGGTCACGGGATTAGTCTGGACCTTGATCCAGAATACCCGATTGCCGAAAAAAAAGACATTATCAGACGTTCCACTCGAAATGATTCGCTCGAAAATGGATGTTTTTTGCAAGATTGTTTGAGTTTTTTTTTTGGGATCCGTAAAAAAACATAGACTCGCGAGCCAGTTCATGACGATTTGAGTTCAGACAAGTTACAGACCGAACACGTGAGCTCAATCCTAATTAACCCTAAATCTAATGTTTTTCTCCATCTATATTCACAATTTATACCCTTCATTATTTTATTTTGATAAACTGAAACGACAATGAATTTCGTAACTTTATGCTATAGGAAGATATTATTATTAGAATATTATCATTAATATGATTACGATTTACCCTAGATATTATGCCTAGAATATTCTATTGTATTTTGCTATATATTATGATGTATTCTTCCAATTATCAATAATAGAAGAACATTTCCTATATATGCTTTTATTTTGATATTTTCGTTAGCATTTTTATAGTTTTATTTTTGTTCGATTCTACTTTCTCTTTATGTGTTATATTTGTATTTGATTTGGAATATGAATTTTTTTTTTGTTGCATCCAAATACAATTCAAGGACGAAAATATTTTGGAAATGAGTTGGTGAGTCAATTTCCTTTGGTTAAACTGGTTTGTATCATATTTATTTTGGCTGTTTGGTCTTACATCCCACAAGATTCTTATTACAAAGTTTATCTGATGATTTCTTGGATTAACAAAGATCATGGGGTTAGCTGGCATGAAGATTCCCGCTTCCCCCAATAATTGTTTCATTAATTAAGCTGGAGATTACGACTAATATATTTCATTAGTCGTTTTTCCACAAGTACTTGCCTCATCAAGGTGCATTACATCACTCTTGAATGTCTTTAGTTAAGGTCTCTTTCCTCCAACTACCGGTTTATAGGGGTGGACGCGGGTTTTCGGGTATGCGGTTTCACCGGTATTCGAAATGCGGGTATTCTTAAGTAACGAAGACGGGTGTGATAAAGCCGAATATCAGAACCGCAGATTCGGGTTCGGATTTTTTTGAATGGCGACGAGTTACTCGCGGGTACCCGAATATTAATAAAATGATATTTATATCCTCAACATTTTAATATGTAATTATAGTAATATTTAAATATAATTTTAAATAAAATTACCACAATACCTCAAAGTCAACAAAAATCAATGGTTTTTCATAGATTTTGACAGGTTCAGCTATCCTCGGGTTTTTTAGTTTAACGACGGGTATACGAATCGCGGGTATCCAGACTTCACGAAAACGAAAATGAAATAATTATTTTCTAAAATCCGCGAAGACGGAAACCCGGATACCTCTAAAAATCAGGGTACGTGACCCGTGCCCACGCCTATCAGTTTGTGTTACTCTCTCTCTATCTCTCTCAACCTTGAATCAATAAACATTAGAAGATATCGATTTCCACCATTAGATTTGGGATTGATGGGTCCACAACCATCCGAATGTGCTAGTTCAAGACGGGCGTTCAAGACGGGCGTGATGCTCTCGATCCTTTGATGTTCTTCCATAACACAGATCGTTAGGAGTTGCGATCTTCGATAGTTCGAACACCATATCCTTCAGAAGAAGCAATCTAGCGCTTTGAAGTTTAAATATCCATATCGATTGACTCATTGAAGATCAACCTCAACGTAAACATCATCCATCCTTTGGATATATATATATATATATTGTCGCCGACTGACTTTGTACATTCCAACGAGATTCTTCCGGACTCTAATGAGTTACAGCTCCAACTGGGTCGGAGTCTTGGGTTTGCCTCACTACAACACGTTCGACCATGGGAGCTTACAGGTCCATCGGTGGTCGGAAGGACTTTGCTTTAGACTCAAGGGGTGAAGTGTATTCTTTAGAAACTTATGGGGTAGAATTTTAATAAACTTGCCGGGTTCGGCCTTTTGCTCTCCTGCTCTCCGAGACCGAAATGTGTACGGAACACCCAAAGTATTAGCGACCGCTGGAGAACGAACGACAACCTCCCAAATCGCCGGGGGGGGGGGGCATTTCGCTAAGAACTTATAACTATCCGGATTCAAGAAAAACGATTTGGTAATTGAAGAATAATCGAACCGAAAGCCAAGAAATTTGGTCTAGTTGACGGGCCAATGTAATTCCAAGTTGATATTGATTCAAGAATCACGGGAAAAACGGAATTATTATTATTATTATTATTATTTATAATAGTTCGGCGTAAAAATCTTAGCAAGTTTGGTGTTGAGCAGAAAGAGTTGAATAGATCAATTTTTTGGAATCTTCATATGATATAACACTTCTGTCGATGTGATTCCGACTCTTGCTTTGAAACATCTAAAAACAGAGCAACGGAAGGGAAAAAAACCTCAATCCTCAATCTTCGGAGAGAAGAGAAGCTCTTTGCGGGTTTGAGAGAAGAAGTTGCTGCATGTCCCGTGGAAGGACGTCAAACACTGCCTTCAAATCCTTCCTCAGTTTCCGGCATCTCTCCCCTGCTCCCGAGCCTTCTCCTCCATATTCCTCCAGCTGCAATCGAAACAGTTTTTTTTTTGTGTTCTTGTCTCTCATGACAATGGATCTCACTTGTCACCAAAAAAAAAAAACACACTCCTGTTTTACCTTCATTTCCTCGTTAAGGTACTTTTCAATGGCGTTGAAGGAATCCACGGCTTCCAATTCATTCATTTTAGACGTGAGGTGCATCATATCGGTCTTCATTCTGGCCATCCTCCATAGCCGATTCTGTTCTTGCTCTGCAACAGCTCGTCGTCTTTGGAACCATGGCATAAAGTTGGGCCCTCTTAGAAACCGCCTACAAGGGAACCAACACTTTCAAGAATTTTCCTGTAACCATACTCCGAGAACTCATTCGAAACCAAAATATTTCAGAAGAAATCTCGAGTGTGTGAAGACAACAAAGGAAAAGAGTAAGTTACCTATACAAGTCTAACCAGTTGGACTTCATCCGCTTCGACATGAACCTCCCCACTCCTCTTGCAAATATATTAGAGAGGAATTCATCGCCACTGAAGGATGGAAGGGGAGGAGGAGAAACGTAGGGAGAAGATCCATCAGAAGGGGCATTCACCTGAAAATATGGACCAAAAGGTGCCAAGAAATTCGTTGTTAATTCCAAGAAATGTCGGCGCAATATGTCGTTATTAACCACCGACATCGACTCCTCAACCCTTGGAGACATCCCGGCATCAATAAGTCTATTCAAAACTGAAGTATCGGGTTTGGTTATTGGAGAGTAGGTGGTCCAGACAGCTTCCTTGTGTTCTGTCATGAGGCATAAGGGTCCATCTCGTCTAAGTCTCACGGCGTTTAATAGACTGGAAGGAGAAAATTTTCGCAAGGAAAGCTGTTGAACGCCTAGCCCTTCAGCCCTGCCCGGAATTCTACCGGTCGACCTACTAGTGAGGGAAATACGATTAGGGTTTGGAGCCGGGGTTCCAACTGAGACAATGTGAGGGATATTCCGAAGAGCTTTTAGGAAAAAGAGGTTCGTGACACCCAAAACCATTGGTGGGAAGGCATCCCCTTCTCGAAGTGAATTCAGTTGAGCAAATGCCGGATCGTGGATAGTGAAATATGGTCTGAAGTCGATGCTACAGAAGAGGGGAGCAACCAAACTCACGAGACTAGCAACTGCCTCGGAACATTGAGGAGGCGTTGGAGCTATAATGAGAATGGGTTCGCCTATAAGTAGCAATTCCCATAAGGTCCATAATTGCAACAAAAGCCCCCGATAGATGCCGAAAATATCTGAGTCATGGAAAAGACCTTGAGGAATTGACTGATTTGTAGGAAGTAATGGAGCCATGGAAGAAGCAGACTCCTCATACAAAATCCCATTTTCCATCGGCAAACTGTGAGCAGGTGGTAAGTTCACCTTAAGCATTGCATTACCGATGGGCAGCTCCATTAGCTTACCCGGCACAGGAGCAGGCCACACAGAAATGTAACCGGCAATATGTTCAATAGCCTTCTTTCCGACATCAAAATACAAAGGACCAACGATTTGAAGCAAAGGCCTAAACACACTCGAGTAAGGAGTATGGGACAATATCACCACAGACTTCTGTTCCCCACCCCGCTTCAATCTTTCATCATGCCTCTGCCTATTAAATACATAACCGTATAAGTACTCAGAACCATTACCGCTCTCTCCCTCTTGAGTGTTCCTTTTCCGCTTACGAAACCGGAAGAAGAAAATGCAGTCATGTATGCTTGCACGGTTATGATTTTGTGAGACAGAATCCGGAAACGAGTTGAAAGATACCTCAATTTCCTCTTCTTGAGAGAGGGAGTCAGGTGGATAACATTCTTCTAAGAGCTGGCCCTGCTCCAGATCAAACCTAATGATGCAGAATGCATGAACCCATCCTTTCAAGGACTCGTGGTCGGGCCTTGTGCTCAGCTCCGGCTTCACAGAAAACGATGGAGATTGACTCATTTCACAGGAAACCGAGAAACTCTCCTACCCATCAATCAAAAACTCTTCCAGTTACATTTTCATGATGGCTTGTTGTGTTTGTTGAGCTCATACCACTGAATCCCGGAAAATAATTCCCAGCAAAGTTCATCGAAGAACTTGCAGGGCCTGAATTAAATCCCTAAGAAAGAAATCGAAATGTCAATTCCAGCTAATTAGCACACAACAGATGCAAAACATCTTACCAACCATTTCCTTAGCAAGTATTCGGCAGAAACAAAGAAACCCAGATGGATTTTCTATTCTTTATGATAGAACAAGCTAGAACTACAAGGAAATCCAGAAAAAAAAATACCGCCTCTTTCCCATATATTTTCTCGGTAACCAAACAGAAAGACTGTAACTTTGAACAGGATCTGGCAATAGGAGCACATGAACTCACCTCAATGGCAATACCCAGATGGAATTTTCGCGTAAACAATTCTCGATCTGTGAGAATCCGCCACTCGATATGGCCAAGGTTCGAATATCAGAGGAAATTTCCGAAACGGAAACCTCTGATCTCTTTGAAGAGATGCCGGAGGGATCCCTGATGGATTTCGGTTGAATCAGGAAGTGTTTCCGAATCGCTGCGATAATTCATGAACTATTCGGTAAGCATGTTGGTTTTTTTTAAATATCATTACACACACTCCTTTTCATCACAAAATAAAAAAATATATATAAATAAAATTGTTGGCCTAGAAAAAGGAAAGAATTATTTGAAATCTTATTTTTTTGTTCCTATTTCAAAACAGACAGCCTTGTGGGAAGGAAAAAAATCCAACAAGTGCATTATCTTTGTAGTAATTTGAGCCCCGTTATGAATAAAATACGGGCGTTTAAAAAAAGAACCCTAGGAAAAATATGGATAAAAATAAGAATTTTAATTATACATGATGTACATTATATAGTATATAAAACAAAATTTTAACCATCATAGCCTTTTTGAAGGAAAAAAAAACACATATACCTCTACCTTGTAGGAGGAAACTAATTTAATTTGCTATTGATCCTTAAAATATAGTTATTGCAATTTAATCATTAATAATTATAAAAAAATTGTCCGAATTAAATTGAAAAGTCAGAATTCAATTCTGATTATTCGTGATAGACAAATATTTTAATAAAAATACAATAGAATTTGTAATGGTAGATGAGAGGGAAACTATCAGAAATACTTTATTTTTTTTTTCTATTTTACTCGCTTCATCCGTGCCGATTGTGCGGATCTGTTCGATCGTACAACTCAAATCAATGTTTTGAGTATTATTATTGCTACATAAAAAAAAGCTTAGTCCAACTCCTTTACAAGTATAACGCTAGATATATATGAACGAGAGCATACATACACATGTACATATAAGAGGGAAGTGAATGTGATGTGAATTACGAAATATACAAAGCTAACTGTAAGAAGAGGTTTTTGCCTGTTGCTGCTACAATTTCCTTGAAGTGCGTGAAATTATATATATATATACATATACACAGAGGACTTCTGTTGGGCCTATACCAAAACTATACTTTTTATCCTATTTTCGAGAAGAGCATATGGCATCATAGTGATGCACAGATTAGAGATTCATCAGAAAACGTGAAGGAGACACGAGTAAGAGGAGTGTATAACCTCTATATATATATATATATATATATATATCCTACGTCAAACATCATATACAGGCAGCCGTTCCTCCGCAGCTACACGGCAGATTGGACATTTCTTACACTTGTCTGAACAGTTTCTGCAACGGGACAGAGAAACGGCGACCAAAAAAAAAAAACATGAGCAGAGCGTTGAGAAAACGTAACCACAGCAACTCAGTTCATCAAGATAAGCAATGCTGACAGCTCCATTTACTCTCCCCATCTCAAGTTTTGCAGGTTACGAGTAAAGTATTGCACTAGGGGTTGAATGAATGGACTGTTTTGGAGTTTTTATAAAGAAGCTTTCTCTATGGTTATTTGCCCTTGAACTAAGTTGCTATGCTTAATGACTGGAATGGAAGAATGGCAACAGGTTAGTCTGATTTCTAAATGTTACCAATACTACTAGCTTGAGAGAAGGTAAATGCATAGACAGATAATACCTGCAGAGGACACGGTGCCTACATGGAAGCAGTACAACGCTGATTTCTGCCTCAAAACATACTCTGCATAGCACTTTCTCCTGAACGGTTCACCAAAACATGATAAGCCAATAGAAAGTTAGAACCAAAAGGAAAAAAAAAAAACCTCAATAAAAAGAAAACACATTCTTCAGCACTTGACCAAAAAAAAAACGGGAAAAAGATGCAAACATTACATTTTGCAGCCTTTCATATTCCTGGTGATTTCTGTTTGCTCACCAAGTGCTGCTTGAAGTCTCCACACCTAATTAGAGCAAATGAGGCAAAAGGAACAAGTCTTAGCAAGAATATAACTAGAGGACGGAGGACTGAACAACAAAGAAATCTGGCAATTGAAATGTAATATCAAAGAAAAAGTATAATAAACACTAAACAGTATTGAGTTCGAAATAAAAGTAAAGAATAAGGGCAAGAGAACTGAAAATTACCTCCTCAGCAAGATCTTTCTTAGGCATTTTCTTCACTATCTCAGGTGAATGGCCGCAGAAGGTATTGTAACTGCATGCCAAATATATCATTAAGCCTTCAGCAGGATCAATAATGGAAAACACACTGTTACTATGTTTCACTTCAGCTTGAATATACGGAACTAGATCTGCAGAACAAATACTGATTGATACATTGACAGAACACAGTAATGAACCAGCCCGGCCTTTTCCATTCGTAATATTCAAAGTACCAGGGAAACCCATTCACGAAGAAGTTAGGTAGGGTAGGGACCAACAATATTTAACATCAGTTTTATGATTACGAAAAGAGCTTGTGACTCCTGGCTATATCAGGGATAAAAAAATGTCGATCTCCATCAGATCAAGTCTACAATTCCATTTTGCCCCATACCCTCTAACCTGAGCTGCATTTTTGTAAGATCTCTATGATTACATAGAGACAAGACAACACAAAGTAACTTACCAGGAAATTTCTCCGACAATTGCAACCCTAAGTCAGCACTAAATGAATGAGGGGGTCATTCACTTTCATCGAACACACAGTGAGAGGAACCCAGTTAGAATGATTAACAAAATTATAGTGATAAGTAGATTCTCAAGAGGGATGGTATCTGATAAGTAGCTCAACAATTTAATTAGCTAAACCGCAGGTTGTGACTCTTAATCTCCTCAAAAGACAGAACTACATCTCCTGTTTTTTTCTTTTGCAGCTCTAGTCTCACTAGCTTTTCCTTATCGAGAAGTTGGCAAAAATATGCTTAGATATAACACTAGTCAATGCCGTGCATCTTTTAGAATTATCACAAGTGACAGTTTTGGTTTAAGTAATGTAACAAAATGCAGATAGGCTCACTAAGTTATCAGCTCTCATACACAAGCACAATGGGTAGTCATAGATGTGGGCGAAGAAAAATATTACTTAACGAACAAAGATTGAAAGAATGCACAATAATGCAAAGAATATTTGTATTTCATTCCTCTATTGGTTAACCATATAGAAGGATTTAAGAATACTAACCCAGAATCATGATCAAAGTACAGCCGAGCCTGTTCCTCACGGTTTCCATCATCGATTGACCACCAACCTAATAGCCTGATCAGATAGAGAAACATATGCAAGGTTACTCCTCGCGTTTTATTTTCCAAGTAACTCAGTGACTGCAATTGAGTTATTGGATGATTTTGCCTCCAAAACTGTTTTTTGTACTAAACCCAGAAGAAAAGGCAATAAAGCAATTATCACCTAGAACCATGGTGCAAGAAACCCAAGCAATCATGTGCTCTAGATGAAAATCTGAAATACAATCCTGAACCAGCTTCACCCCGAAGTAGGAGAATAACTTTCTCAATTAGTTTAGATGCAGCAAATAGGACACCAGCACCTTGCAACAGGAAAAGTGGACAGAACAGGACCGGAAGAGGTATATACTTAGCACCTTGAGGTGTCCCCTGAAAATAAAAAGCACTATAGCATTTTTAGTAACGTCCAAACACTGGGATTGTAAATTAGAGCGATGTATTTTGTACCTCTAAATGCATGCAAAGGAGAACTTGAAACACAATGAGGGGAATCTTCAAAATATGGCCAAAAATATCTTGAGGGCCACAAATTCTATCGTGGTGTATATCCTCTTCTGAAGCAGCCACAAGGCCACTGTTCCAATCAAGATATCTGATAGCGGTAGAAGATGACCCGGTTTCTCGGATACGTGGGATTCTATGGATTACTGGATTGGACCATTTTGTACATACGAGAAAAGCAAAGCACTCAGCAATTCTGCAGGCAAAAGGAAGAACACAATTACTTCCTCATAATTTCCAAACTTCAGAAGGACAGGCACCTCCAGAGAAAAAAGACAAGACAAAGCATACCCAAAATTTATGAATAAATCCCACCATCTCAGAGCAGGTACATCACCTGCATGATTCAAAAGGAAAAAAAAAATGATAGCTCAGTGAGCCGTTGAAATGGAACCACATCAATGACATCCCAAAACTAACAGATAAAACCCTCTTGGGATGCCAAGGTGTCTTCTGTCTTCATCTCCAAAAGAAAACCATCATAAAGGCATGATAGAGGATAGTTACAATATTAAGGTATGAAATATACAGAACACCGCAATGGATACAACAAAATCTAGAATAAGGAGTAATAACAGATGCAAATGAATGAAATGAACGAATGACATCACGTGACAAACTAACAAAATGAGTGAAGCTTGCTAGCAATTGTTCCGTTCAAGTACAGCAACTAAAACCCGTGAAAGGAATGTGGTCCATGAGCAATATGGTTTTAAGCTATAAACATCACACTCTCGGCATAGTCAATGACACAAAAGGAATAAGCTATTCCTCGCCATACCCAGGTGAGATAAATTAAAAGAAAAAAAATGTATATGCATACAAGAGGAGACTCCTACAAGGAGATTAATCAAACATGATATTATGATAAGAAACATGTAAGACATCATAGCTTTCCAGTTTCAGAAACTATCTTTGGCTTATTCCATGTTTGAAGATGCGTAATTCCTTGGTGTATCCCAACCATTTTATAGTTCTACCCTCATGCAATTAGATTCATGATTTTGTACAATACAAGCCACATTTACAATGTTTTCTACTGGATGTCTCCCTGTTTTCATTTCTTGAGGAAATTTTCCAATTATTATGGACAGTAGATTGAACAAGGTTCTGCAGCAAACATGATTTTCAATTCCAACTCGATTCCAAGATGTCTTATATAAAGTAATATACTCCACTTACATTCAAACAGTAATTTCATCAAACTTCAAGAGCCAAAATATTACCAGAAAGCTTAAGGAGAGTAAAGACTGTGGCAGCCACCAAGAACACCATGGAAATCGCAACCCAGAGATGCTGCAGACAGGAAACAAAAGCCCATCGGAAACATTTATTTTGAATACTAGCAGCTCCCAACCACCAACTATAATAAAACAAAATAAAATAAAAGTTCTGTACCATTAAATATACAAAATTTTGCAACAAGAACCAAAGAACACCATGTGCATGTAGTGTTATCACAGCATAAACAATGAATCAAATTGGAATACATAAATAATGAGATGGCAACTCAAAGCAATAAAATTCTAGGGATGATGTTCAACTATTCACATAACCGAGAATCTCAATCCATAGTTGCGTTAACTTAAAAAATGTAAATGATTTGTCGTGTACTCTTGACAGATGGATCATACCTTCGAACAACATGCAACCTAAGCAAGTCACAAACTTGGCTATCCAACTAGCTACTGAAAATCCATATAGCCCAATCATAATCTTAGTCTTGTGATTTCCTAGCAGCGTCCAGAAATCACAATAAAGTTCATATTATTGTGTTATAATAATATAAAGTACTTAACAACGTTTAACTGCATACATCATTTTCTAGAAAAATGATTTATGGACCATGCATAAAGTAAAATAAAGTATATCATCCGCCATACAAATGCCAGGATTACAAAATCAAATTTTATAGCTAGCACATGCTAAAAAGCTGCACACATCAGGCTCACCTAAAAGCACGTACATACCCTTCAACAGAGAAGAAAGCAAGTCCTGCTGGGCAATACTAGCTTAGCTAAATGTTGGTTTTACATACGCTTAATAGTATAAAAAAACAAGCAGACTCTCAGAAGACTGTGTGCTTACCATTGAACCCCTACTACTTCACTCCATCATCTAAGTACAGCCTTAAATATTCCCATTCAAACAAATAAGATCCTTTCAAAATGATTCTTACGTAATTCTTGTTTTATCCGTCTTACCAAGTGGAATACAAATAAAAATTATGAATTTCAATCAAATAAAATGTAAAGGTAAACTAGAAACGGAAACACAAATTAGGAATTTGGGAATGAAATAGGACAAGGAGCCCACCCACAAAACGGTAAACCAATTCCCACAAAAAATACATTCAGCCATTAAAGCAACCAACATAACAAGTACAACTGGTGAACTTACTGGGAGTGCATCCCATATTGCTTCATCATTCATGTTGTCATCATCTCCAGGCATCAAAGCCTTACACATTCTAGGACAAAACGCAGAGTAGTTAAGAGGTACTGAAAAAAGTAGACGAAAGCCTTAAAAGCAATTCTGGGAACGTTCAAAACTAAAGAAACACCACTTATTGTTTACTAAAAGAGTCCCCACCCAACCAGAAACCAAATCCTAGTCATGAGCTCCATATACATTTCGAATATCCTGGTAGATCCATGTGTCCGTCCATGGGGTCATTTACTATTGTGATCATAGATGCATGATCAAACTTTTAGAAAGCTTGCATCTAGGCGCCCACAAAATGAATAATCACAAATCACTAATTCATATAGAACCTGCATGCCAAGTCCTACCAACCTCTTCTCTACACATGCATAAGACAGTACCAACAACTACCCTCTTCATTACATTGTTCATACTTGAAACTAAACCTCCCATTTAAGCTTCTTTTCGCAATTCCACATGTACTCAGGCTCGCTATACCACAGAACAAATGTAATTACACCCCACGCGCAAGGCTTTAGAAAAACTAAAGGAATGAAACAGTTAGATGATATACATTCAATGTCTAAATACCTGAAATTGTCCACCAGTATAGTTACTTCAAATGCCAACAGCGGGAGGAAAACAATCTTCAAGCTCACGGCTGGCAACCCATGTACTATATTTGACATAGAAGAGGGCTTGGATTAAAAAAGCGCGCTTTTTTTGCGCCTGAGGCGCAGATGCGCAGAAGCGATTGCAAAATCGCATCATGTGACAAAATTGAGGCGGTTTCCATAAAGCGGCAGTAAAGCACGCTTTTCTGCGACTCCGCTTGAGGCGTGTGGCGACCGCCTCTTGGACAGAGTACAAAAAAGAAATAAAAATGGCAGAGTTGTGCAGTTCTTTCGAAAGAGATGGTAGAAGATGAACAGTACAGACTTCAATACACAATTAACTCCTCCTAAATGTATAGTCAGAGTTATTAAAAATTAAAAAAAATGGTCAAATCATGAGAACAAATAAAAAAGGGTGATGGAATCGAGAAACTCAAAAAACCTAAAAGCAAGTACGACTAAGTAGAAAGCTTCAAAAATTTACATATATATTAACTATAATTATTTAAATATATAGTTTTTATAAAATCATTTATAAATATATATCAGTTATAACATTTTCGATGTATTTCAACTTTAGTTGATTATGATTAATTTTATATTTTTTATTTTTAAATAATAATATAGTTTATATTGATATAGATTAATGCAATATATAATCATTTTTTTGTGTATTACATACATATAAATCTATACTATAGAAATTATATTTATAATATATACATTATATTGAAAAAATAAAGAATTATTTATATATACGTAAGTATAAATATATACTATGCATATTAAACAATATGATTTATAATATATATGTTATATATTGATACGAAAATGATTTATGTGCCTCACATCCGTGAGGCGCGCGCCTTCGCCTTGCGCCTCGCGCCTCGGTTTTTTAGACCTTTGGCGCCTTGGGACGCCTCGCGCTTTTTTAAACCAAGGAAGAGGGCATAATGAACATTAAAATGAGAGGAAACAAAAGCACCCATACAACATTCAGAGACTCATCACAAACACAGCAGACTCAAAAACTCATAGTGTTATTTCCTATCCATTTATATTATCAGAGAAAAAAACAATATAAGCTTTGAGAGTCCCATCCATATTTTTTTCCCTGGGGGTTTCAGCAATAAAAGAGATTACAAGAGCTATCAAATATCCTCAATCAATCCCCTAAATTATAAAACATTCAGTAGGTGCCAGTTATATACCATATACACTCTCGAGGTATACACAGAGCAGCAGTTCAAATGCTACAAGCAATGGTGTCGCCACAATAGCATGGCATGGAGCCCACTGTACACCAAAAAGAATAATTATGTGCTGGAATTTCATAACTATCACGAGATGGTTAGTTATGTACCAAATACCAGTATATATAGTTACCATTTACAGCAAGAATCATAAGAAGAAGTTGAGTAATTGTGCTAAAGACGGTAAACAAAAGCTAATAAACATACATGACGGTTACGTGGAGCTGTTGGAGCAGGAAGCGAGAATCTTCCCCTTGCAACAACAGCATGGAATGCCCAAAGAGGGAGAAATATCACCCTGCATAACCAAGTCAGGAAAACATGTCAGCTTTTCGCAAAAGCACATAAACCATCCAGCCATATACCAGAATGCTACCGCTGACCCCATTCAGAGGAAACGCATAGCTCAACAGATGTGCAAACCCGACCTCAAACAAAAAGAAAGCTCAGAGAACCTGAAAACCTATGAGCAGAGCACAACAGAAATTCGCAGCAAAACAAGAAATTCTCCAACGAGTCCGTCCAGGTAACACCAAAACCGTATTGCTGTCATCTTTTAACCTTTGAATCTGATCACGTAAATAGTAAGGAACAGAATTCCTGATTATCTAATATATGCATATTATAGAGCTCCATATGCCAATCTTCTTCGAAACTCGGCCCTCGGGGCATGTACATAACCTGGCAGGTCACTCTACCCTAGTAGTAGCATGTCGTCTACATCCTTGGGTAGTTCTACATGAATGGTACACATAAATTCCCAAAAAAAGAAAAAACAGTAAACTGAATCTTAGTTGTTCTACACAACACTGATTAATGCAAAAAAAGACATTATCTATAATAATTAGAAATTATTAGCCTAATATTCATTACTATACGAACATTAATCCCCAATAGGTACAGGGGTTAAAACACTTTAGGGACAAAAAAAACCTAATTTTCAATATGCTCTCAGAAAAAACGAAGCATAGAACAGCAGATCCCAAATGCGAGCAAAACCTGACACTTCTCTGATTGCACTTCTCCGAATAGCTACGCTTAAGAACCCCAAAGGGGGAAAAGCATCCCATTACCAAACCCCAAATTCGGATTCCATGAATGAGACGCATAGAAGATTGGGGGAAACTCGGAACCCCAAAAAGAATTTCGACCCATGCCCTCAGAAATCGCACAGGAATGAAAAAAAATTAAGTCGCGAACGGGAGATAGAGGACTCACCACCAAGAGTAAGAGACGCTGTGATCGAGCTTCAGCACCAACAAGAGCGTGAAACAGAAGAGCAAGCTGTGAGCCGACAAGGCCTGTACGGACTTCAACACTCTCCGACAACTCATCCTCTTTCTCTCTCTATGCGTATCTACAGAAGAAGGGTTTCGAATTCTCGCCTTGTTTGCATCTCTCCGAGAAACTGCTTTTCTTCGCTGTCGCTAAATACGATAGGTTAGAGAATACGCCATTCGAGAATCGTGCCCCCGCTGCTCCTCCGTCCTTCCCTTTATTCAACCTTTTTTTCCTTTAATTTTATTGATTAACTATTTATTATTCTTCAATATTTTTTTAAAGAAGAATTTCGTTTTAACTAATTCTAAAAAAACGCGTCTCTTTCTCTCTCTAACGCTCAAAAGCTTTGTTTGCACGCCAAAGTTTAGCGCGCTCCACGTCATCTCCAGAATACAATTAATTATAATTAACTTTAGAACTTTGAATGGAAACCATGTCCAATTTTTTTTTGTCATAATTTCTTTTTTTTAGCAGGATAGTTTTTCGGATATTCGATCCGACTATATCTATCCTAAGTCCAAAAATAATCTTTAGTAATCCGACGACAGAGGCCCTAAAAGCTATACCTTCCTAACCGAGAAATTAATCTCTTCTTTTCTATCAGCATATTTTCTTCTAAAAAATTTTTATATATTGGTGATCCATAAAAAAAAAAATCGTTTCGTTGCAAAGCCGATGTAAATGTTTTATATAAATAGAAAAAAAGGGGTTAAACCCAATTACATTCTTTTTAATCTTAGAGAAAATCTTTGGAATATTCACTTTTTTTGTTAAATTGTCAATAATGATATGCACTTGTTAATGACATTCCTCGAGTGAAAAAGCAGTTTCATGTCTGTGTTAAAAGTTCCATCGCTTTCGATAAATCAATTTGAAGTTTAGTAAAACTTTTTCACAAATATTACAATATCCAACGTATATTCAGATAGAGTTGATATATGTATTCATCATTTTTACGTCTAATTTTTTATTATTCAAAGTTATATTGATTAGGAATTAAGATAAAAAGTAAAACATTACTTGAATTTAGAATTTTGATTCGTATGATTTTGAATCACAAAATAATAATTTAATAATAAATTTAAATTTAAAATATATATCACTATGAAACATATTTCTTATTTGATCATATGCTAATTAAGATAGCTTTTTAATTAACTAAACTAAATTAAATAAGTTAATTGGGGCCACATGGGTTTTCTGAGCTAAACCTAACCCATTAAATTATTGTTGTTGGGTGGATTCAGCCTAACCCACTAATTTATTCACCCATTTGGTTTGGGTTTAAATGGTTTGGACAATCTAACTTGTCATCTCTAGCTTTCGATAAATCAATTTGAAGTTTAGTAAAACTTCTTGCAATCATTTTTTGAATTCTTTCAAAGAACATTTGAAACACCAAAGAAAGAGTTTTTGATATGGAGAATCTCAGTGTGTTAAATTAAATTACACAAACATAAACTCATGTTTTTGTACCAAATTGAGCAGAAAACAATGAAATATGTGATAAAATTGTCCCTCGCGAATTCGAATGAAAAATGAGAAGTTGGATGTCAAGCTGAATTTTTTTGTGTTATATCTTACTCTTGGTCTGAAACCAAAAATCCTTTTTTAAAAAGTTTTTCATCTTTTCATATTGGGATTTGGAAATTGGTACTGATGAAATCCGCTAAAGTGAAAGAGAAACTGAAGGCCGACCATGAACAAGATGTGGGAGATGTGAAAGAGCTTTGCCTCTTATGTTATGTAAAGAGATATTAGATACAGTCTTTCACTTAATGCTACATATGTGTATCCATAAAGAACATACAGAGAGGATATGTCAAACACCACGCTGTGTTCCCTCTTCCCTCTGTCATATTTCTCCGTGGCGGATTGTGACAAAGTCCCAAGGGAATCGAGTCGCTTGACCGGTGGGTGGATGTTTTGGTCAGATCGAGCTGAAGATTGAAGCAAATGCCAACCAGATTCCTGTCTGAGAGGCTTGTTGATGGAGGGCAACTCTTAAAATACGTACTTCTCGATCCCTTACTTAGATCTCAAAGGCTCATTACTTACATCATTGCCGCTAACACATTTTGGGGGTTTTACATTAAACGATTGTAAGCACCAATGCCTAGAAACCCAACCAGGAGAGCAAGAACGAACGACGGGTTTGGTGGATAACTATGCCGAGATACCTCCGCTTTCCATGTTATCTTGGCGAGACCTTTCTCCACGGTATTCCCGAGTCCCGACTATGAATAAAATGACATTTGTATCTTTCATAGTTTAATCTATTTGCAACAATATTTAAATATTCTTTCAAGTAAAATTACCAAAATACTCCTGAAATCAACAAATATAAATTTTTTCAAGATTTTGATGGATTTAAATATCCATGGATAATTGAGTTTAGTGATAGGTACCCGCACTTCACAAAAACGAAATCGGGATAATATTTTCGTGAAGAAGAAGAAAAAGACAGATAACTCCAAAAAAAAATCAGGGTACTTGACTCGTGTACACTCTTTGACAGATATATTAGAATTCACCTCATTGATACGAGGTGTGAATTCATCCATTCTCTCGGTCAACGATGACACCCTACATATATTTGATCAGTGTTGATTTCATGGATTGAAGGATCTAAGGAGTTGAATATGTGACATGGATAGATTTGAAACAAAACACACACATTAGGTAAGATTTTCTCTAGCGGATTTGTGTAAACTTAGATACGCCTCTGTCAAACACATAATTCTTGCATTATCTCTCTATTCCTGCTTGATGAATAAGAACGAGGAGGGTTATCGGCTAAGATGTTTCTTTCTTCTGTCAGCAGAAGCTCTTGAAACTGTACCATTGTTTATAGCTAAGCTTATAGATTGAGTTAGTCCATAAAATCCAATTAAATCCAATAAATTTATTTACTTTAATTAAATCAATTGCTTTTGTGAATAGACATGTGATAAAATCAAATATATATTTGTGAATCGATTCGATTTTATTTAGATTGCTTTGCATTCTTTTGGTTCAAAGCAATTTGTTACAATTCGTATTCGATATCAATTTATTCGGATTCGAATCAATTCGCTACGATTTGTATTCGATATCAATTGATTCAGATTCGATTTATTCTGATTCAAATTGATTCATATGATTGTATTCGATTTCGATCAATTTGGAATCGATTAGTTTCAATTCGGATTCCATATGCATCGATTCGTTCCAATTCAAATTCCATATGAATCGATTCGTTCCCATTCGAATCAATTCGTTCTCATTCGAGTCAATTCATTCTAATTCAAATTTGTTTCTAATCATTCATTCCGATTCATATTCTACTTGTTTCTATTTGGATCGATCCGTTTTGGTTCGAATTCAACATTTTGATTCAAATTCAATTTTTGTTAAAATTCTCATTTGATATTATATTGAATTTAACTATATATTATTTGATTGGAATAAATTTAGTTATGATTTTAATAATCCAATTAATATAGTTATTTAATAAAGATCTATGTTCATATTAGATTAAATAGGTTTACCCATTTAACCCATAACCTTAATGATTAAACCAATAAAATCCATTTTATTATTATAACTTAAATATATATACCAAATAAAATTATCATTGGGAACCGATTAGTAATTGTGTGTGAAGACAATTCATCACATCAAATATCTTAGACATAAAATTAGAGATGTAAACTTTCTAAGCAAAAACGTATTAAGTCTCTAATCATAAACACTAATGAAATTAAGTTGGTCCTCCGGAGATTCTCGTTAAATTGACACAACCGAATCTAATAATGCTTAATTATATTCGAGTTCAATATACTATAAATAAACCAATTAGACATGATATCCTAATTGATTGAATTCAATTTAAATAGAAAAATAAATTGAAAATAGCAATCTTTATATAATATTTAAGATTTTAAAAAATGAATTTTATGAGTATCCGAACCAAATTTAAATATAATTTAAAAATAAATAATTATTTTTTTAAAATCAAATTTTATAAGGGAACAAAATCTGAATTACCGATCCTAATCGCAAGAAGAACACTAAGTAATAAATCAATTTACTACAATTGCAATTGCAATATCTGATCTCTAGAATAGAAAATTTGAAATTTTTTCATTGGACCCGAAACATTAGATTTGACTTAAGAATTACATTTTTTATAATTATAGTTTATTTTAGATAAAATGATATTTTCCTACACTGACTTTGTAAAATGTGACTTTTTCCTACACGAATTTTTAATTTGACAAAAAACTACACCAAATTATCAAATGTGTCACATTGATACACGAACTACCCAATTTAATTGCAATTTCCTACACAATCCGGAAACGGTTTTAAATATCTATTAACCGATGACGTGGTATGCCACGTGGCGTCTGACATGTCACGCCACATAGAAAATTTTGCCATAGCATACCATGTCAGAATTTAAAAAAAAAAACAAAAAATCCGAAAAAAATTGTAAAAAAATAAAAAACAATTAAAAAAAACAAAAATCCGAAAAAATTGCAAAAAAATAAAAATAAAAAGCAAAAAAAATACACATATATATATATATATATTTATATCTATATACAAATACAAATATAAACATATATACTCCTATATATGTATATATACTTGTATATTTTTTATTTTGTATATATATATACATAGGAGTATTTATGTTTATATTTGTATTTATATATCCACATATAAATACAAATATAAACATAAATACTCCTATGTATATATATATACAAAATAAAAAATATACAAGTATATATACATATATAGGAGTATATATGTTTATATTTGTATTTGTATATAGATATAAATATATATATATATATATGTGTGTGTGTATGTGTGGTGATTATATACATAATAGATACACATGTGTATAATATTATATATATTGTGTATAAATATATATGTGTGTCTGATTGTGTACGTAATAGATATACATGTATATAATTTTATATATATTATGTATATATGTTTTTTATTTAATTTAAATAATAAGAGAATTTGAAAAAGGGACAAACTTAACTATTACACAAAGTAAATAGTAAAATTTATAACTTTGTGGTTGTGTACTTAATAGATATATATACATGTATATAATTTTATATATATTATGTCTATATGTTTTGTTTTTACCTTAAAATAAAAAGAAAATTTGAAAACGAACAAAAATAACTATTAGTAATAGGTAAAATTTGTAACTTTATAAAAAAAAATTAGTTTCAACATAATATATAGTTTAAAAAAGAAACGATTGACTAAAAGAAGTGGAGGTTACCATAAAATTAAAGAAAATAAGAAAATAAATTATCAAAAAATTAAAAAAATAACACTCTTAGAAATAATTAATATATATATATATTTTACTATTTATTTATTTTAATTTTATTTTATTTTTTAAATTTCGATTTTTTAAGATTTTTTTTTCGGATTTTTTTTTTAAAAATCTGACGTGGCATGTTGATGTGACAAAAATCCATGTGGCATACCACGTCAGTCGCCATGTGGCGTGCCACGTCAGCGGTTAACGGATATTTAATACTGTTTTTGGATTATATAAGAATTTGCAGTTAAATTGGATAGTTCGTGTATCAATTTGGTACATTTGATAATTTGGTGTAGTTTTTTGTCAAATAAAAAATTCGTGTAGAGAAAAGATACATTTTGTAAAGTTTGTGTAGTATTTTTCCTTTATTTTATTTATTTCCAGAGTGGGAAAGAAATCATCAAAAATGGTCACGGAAGTCAAAGGGCTATGAAATTATCAACTTGTTAGATATGAAAAATATCTGCCTCTAGCTTTTTACAATAAAAATAAGAAGCCGTTTCTTAAAAACACTTTAATTCGTAGTTTCTTTCAAATCAATAAACCATTTATTTTCAGATAATATATAAAATATAATATATTTTTAAATAAAACTATAAAAATTTAAAATTCTAATAGATCTGCAAATAATTATTATCCGTATAAATGAAATGGAATGGAATAAGAAAAATCAAATCATATTTATTAGAAGTCATGAAGAGACAAACGTCTACAGATTTTTTTATATATTAAACAAGTTTATACATAAAAATTCAGTATAATTTTTACTGTTTGGATAAATGATAAAACAAATGATTTCTATTGTTTTTTACGTGATTATTATTTCACATTTTAAATAGAAAATATACATTATTTTAAGTTGGATACTTAAATATATAAAACAAAACTAATCAAAAACCAAATAATAAAATAGAACCGAACATATGATAAAAGTAAAATAAAAACATCTAATTCATCAGAAATTATATCTAATATATAATTTTTTTATTCAACAAATCACACGATTAAATCCCCAAATCCAAATCATGAAACGACAACAAGGACAACAAAATCTTAAAGCTTGAGAACAGCGGCGAAGGGTCCCAGCAAAGTGCCGACATAAAGGGAGCCATTGAACTCGTTGGCTTCGCTGACCAAAGTGTCTCCAAAGGTATCCTTGAGAGGGACTGTCTGAAGAACTTTGCCCTCAGAATCGATTTTAACGGCGGATGGGTTCGTGGCTTTGAGGCCTACGTTCACCACCGACGCCACCCAGAAGTTTCCCGTAGATCCGATCCTTTTAATGTTGTCTGGGTTTGTAACATTCGAGGTGAATTCCTCGGTCTGTCCTGCTTTCGGGCCCTTGATCCAATGCCTCTGGATCTTACTCTTGATGAACTCTCCGACCAGAACGAACGACCCGTCCGAGCTGACGGCGCAGCCGGCCGAGCCGCTCAGGCCCTCGACCAGGACTGTGATCTTTTTGGTCGCGGCTTCGTATTTAAAGAGCTTTCCCGACGCGTCCTTCAGGCCCACGGCTATGTACACTTGGGCGGGGGTGAATTTGGAGCTGAAGGAAGTGAAGTAGACATCGCCGGTGGTGGGGTCCACGTCGAGACCGTCGAGGAACTTGAAGGGCTTTCCGTCAACCGAGTCGGCGATCTTGGTGGCGAGTCCGCCGGCCTTAGAGACCACGTGGAGACCCAGTGGAGCATCCGCGATGTAAAGGTCGCCGGTTTTCTCATCGAATGCTATACCGGCCGGTCTACCACATATTTGCGCCAATACCGTTCCAAGTACTCCTTCACACCATATTTTGTTCCTGAATTTTCGTTACACATATTAATTACATTACCAAATTTTGAAAATTAAAAAAGAAAATTCAAATTATGAATGAATATGGGACAACTAGCTAAGAATTCGCAAGTTGCGTGCCGCCCATAAAATCACTAAATTCAATGGATATGGGATATTTTTCAAAAATATTATTAATAATTGTTGAAAAACAATTCCGTGAATTATGGATGAACAAGCACACGAAATGATCTGGAAAAGGCGTGACCCTCTGGATAAAGTATAATTATGAAATTAAGCTATATAATTAATTTCATAAAATAAGAAAAGATCCATTATGGGTTTGAAAAGAGATTACTTACGCAGGTTTGGAAGTCTGAGCGAAGTCAACGTAACCGGTTTCCGGCGTGTATTTGAGGATTTTGCCACCGGAGACGCCGGTGTAGAATCCTTTGCCGGTGGAGTCGAAGGCGAACGCTTCGGGTCCCGACCTCGAACCGGGAACCGGCAGTTTCTGAAAAGCCGGCGCTTCAGAAAGGACGACGGAACAAAGAGACAGAACAAGGGCGCAAGCAAGAGCAGAGACTAACGACGAAGACATGATTTTAGAGAGAGAGAGAGAGAGAGACTAATGTTACGAGAGAGACGATGAATGGGGAATATGCAGCTCTACCTATATATATAGGTTTAGTTATGAATTTACTATATATATTTTTTTTTGTTCTTACAATCTCCGGATTCTATTATTAAATGTAAAGATCACTAAGTTTGTGATATATTTCCATTTTTTTTTTGTGATATTTTCCATTTTTAAGAGTTTTACCAATCATGTATTGATATACTTCCTTATTTCAGCGCATTTTTAAAGATATATGTCAAAACAAATTCAGGAATATTCCAATTTGATCGATAATGTAGCACATTAACAAAAGGAATTAAGAATGTCAATTTTACATATGGATTACATAAAAAAAATTACATATGGAAAAAATATATGTACAAAAAGAGAGTCAGAGAATAAAAAGGACATTTATTAACAAGGCATATTTATTGGATGAAAATGATAGTTAGGTACATTTTGTTGGGATGGAATTGGGTGTATTTTGGCCAATTAGTTTTTTTTGCATTGATTATTTTATTAAAATTAAAAAGATCGTATTTTATAATGAATCAGCATTAAAATGGAAGAGAACAAGCTGTCCTTATAATTTTTTTTTAAAAAAAAATTAAAAATCATATTTTTATCTAACTAAAACCCAATAAATATCGTATAATATTAATTCATGAATTGAATTTGGTATTCAATCTGATTTTTTATAGTAACAAACAAATTTATATTCTTGATTTTCTCTAAAGAATCTGACTCTAAATCCATCGAATCTCTAAATTTATTAATTCGTGAACAACTTAAATATCTAATTTGCTCTACCTAATTATATATCAATTATTAGTGACAAAATATCAAATGTTTATTTAAAATAAATTAGACATTTAAATATCATTGTAAACAAATTTAAAAGAAATGTAAAATGTCATAAATTATTGGTAAAAAAGCAGAAATGGAATATTTAAAAAGGGAGTTAGCAACAATAGTTACATATTGTTGATTATGGAAACAAGTATAAAAAGGGGAGTACAAAAAGATGTGAACATAAGAAAATTGATTTTCAGGAAATATTTATCTGAAAATCGAAACTATTTGTGCCAAATAATGAAATATTTTGTACAATGTTTTGTGTCATATTAGGTAGGATAAATTTCGTTCGGGTGGAACGGAAATTATTTTTAGCCAATTATTTTACTTTTTTTTTTTTATATAAAATTATTTGTAATTTAAATTAGCAAATTACAAAATGAATATAAATATAAAAACAGAGAAGAATAAAATTTCTTTATAGAAAAATCTCGTATATTATTTTATTCTATTATATCCAACTAAATTTTCGTAAAAATATAATTTTAAAACATTGATAAAGCAATGTGGATGAGATGAATTTAGTAAAACACCCGACGAGAAGGCGGCTGAGAATTTAGTCAATTTTAACCCACCTTCCTCCTAGAAGATTTGACTCTAAATTTGCCAAATCACTAAATAAATGGATATAAAATTTAAAAATCTCTACGGAATGCAACGGAAACGTTCTCGTTTGAATATTTAATATGAAACTTTTTGCATAATTGAATATTTTATATGATAATTTTCCAAATTTATATATATGTCGATAATACAGGTAATTTTATTTTATAGAAATTTAAAATATTTTAGAAAATAGCTTTCATAAACCGAAAATCTAAAACCGAACGGCAACGGAATGAAAATTGAACCAACGGAGTAATTTCGGCTTTATGGTATAACTTTTCTTAAACCGAATCCCAAAACGGTGAAAAAGTGTGTAAGAAAAACACAAGCAACAAGACCCGCACGACCACAAGTGTTGAGTTTGGTCCGACTCCGTGAGAAGAGAGACAAGCACGAACACTGAGAACTAAAGTAGCCGCTATGTCTTCGTCTCTCACGGAGATCTGAACGATTCACCTGCGTAGCGCACATTCCCGAGTTCCTCCTCGATGCGCAGAAGCTGAAACCGAATCGAATCATTGTTCAGAACGGCATTTTACGAGCTCTATATACTCGAGAAACTCGGGGGATTTATAATATTATCCGTGGATTACCTGGTTATACTTGGATAATCGTTCGCTTCGACATGGAGCGCCAGTCTTGATCTACACAAGAAAAACGATCGATATATAGAAACAGGCATGAAAGATTTTGCGGCGAAAATATCAGTATCGAGGTCTCAGGAGTTAACCTGCCCGCTGGCTAAACCGACAGAGAGATCTGCGATGAAGTTATCCTCTGTCTCACCACTCCGGTGACTGACCATCACACCCCAACCGGCAGCTTTCGAGTCTAACGCCGCTTGGATTGACTCTGTCACTGTCCCTATCTGGTTAACCTGCGATATCTCATCGATACCATTTAGTCATTTTCACAAGAACAGTTCACGCTTCAAAGGTGAAATGTCCGAATAACCTCTTAGTTTACCTTTAACAGTAGAGCATTGCAGGACTTTTTCTGAATAGCTTCGGCTATTCTTTTCGGGTTAGTGACCAACAAGTCATCCCCGACGAGTTGGATATCCACCGAGGATAACAGCGAAGCCCATGCGCTCCAGTCGTCCTGGTCGAAAGGATCTTCAATAGAAACAATCGGGAAATCCTTGACAAACTCCTTGTAGAGTTCAGCGAGACTCTGGGCCGACAGAACATGAGCTCCATCATTCGGCTGGTTCTTGAAGTTTAGATCGTATCTACCATCTTTCATGAAAAACTCCGATGCTGCAACATCCATTCCTATTTTGATCTGCAACCATTATTCAACTACATGAGGCATAGATCGAAGTTGATCAGAAATATTTTAAAAGGCAGGCTTTGGGAAGGAAGATGCCAACAACCTTTCCTGTGTAACCGGCTTTTTCAATCGCGTCCATGAGCAAAACGAGTCCCTCTCTGTTGTCTTGAACATTAGGAGCAAACCCTCCTTCGTCTCCAACATTACATGCATCTTGACCGTACTTAGCTTTGATTATTCCCTTCAGCGTATGATAAACTGTATTCAAACGAATGAGTAGGCATTACTACGAGGAAGGAACAATCTCTGTCACAATCTGAGCATTTAAAAGGAATCCGGGTTCCAGGATTCAAAATAGAAGCTCAAGAAGAAGCTGCTCGTCACACCCGAAGGATTAAAACTAATACAAACACACTTGAGGGCAACTTCAAGAACTCGGCCATGTAGGCTAACTAAACCGCTCAGAATTCAAGTATCCGGGGAGTATTTTCGCATCCATTTTGAACTAAAAAAGATTACGAAACTGAGCAGTTTAAACAAAAAAAATGGAACCGAAAGAAGAGCTAACTGACCTTCACTTCCCATCTGAAGAGCTTCAGAGAACGAGGTTGCACCTACCGGAAGTATCATGAACTCTTGCATAGCCAAATTATTACCGGCATGACTGCCACCGTTGATGACGTTGAATGCTGGAACCGGCATAACAAGCTCGTCCGTTCCAGAAAGTTCTTGGATGTGCTTGTACAGAGGCAGCCCTTTCGCTCCAGCACCCGCCCTGCAAACGCTGAGTGATACTCCTAATGTTGCATTTGCCCCGAGTTTTGACTTGTTCGGAGTTCCATCCAGCTCCAGCATCAGAGCATCGACATGGGCTTGGTTCCTTCAAGGAATAAAATGAGGCAAAATAGTGATGAAACCACGATAGAACGCTCGGCTTCCACATATATGAATGCACTAACCAAGTCAAAGCTCGAATTTTCAGACCAGACAAACAGCATTCTAAAGGTTATATCCGAACATGACACTGATCAATTCGAACCCATGTCAGAGCCTATGGAAGCACAAATACCTCTTCCTCCTATGAAAAAATTATGCAGATATTTATAGCTTACAGATCTAAAATAAGCACAGTAACTTCAAAAATTCATGAAAAATCATCCAACCCTGTTCTTCTCTGGCTTACACTTACCTAACGTCAACTCCGACGAGTTTAGGACCGAGAACCTCGTTGATGTTCTTCACAGCGGTTAACACACCTTTGCCTCCATAGACGCTCTTGTCTCCATCTCTGAGCTCAAGGGCCTCGTAGATCCCGGTGGAGGCACCGCTCGGGACGGCCGAGCGGTAGAGATCGTCGGTGATCAGATCAACCTCCACCGTCGGATTCCCCCTGCTATCGATGATCTGCCTCGCCTTCAACCCCTTCACTCTGTACTCTCTCGCCGCCACCGAGCATTGGATCTCGCGGCGGCGGAACCTAAGACAAGGCGAGGAGGCTGAAAGCCGGTGGCGTGGGACGCGTTGAGGGGAGAGGAAAGTGGTTTGGAGGTAGGTTTTGGCGGTCGAAGCCATCGGAGAGACCACCGGGGAAAACCGAGGGGTTGTGGCGGAAGAAGTTGAAAGGGCTGCTTGGGAGAAGAGAAAGTGGGGGAAAATGTTTATATTTAAAAAAAAAAAATGGCGAAGGGGTTGGTGGTGGGTGCGTCGATGAAACCAAAGGAATAAGAAATTGGGATCAAACATTTTCTTCATTGATCTATATTTTATGGGTAAATTATTTCCAAGAGGAAATTTCATCTGTCAACTCTATTTCCTCTTTTACTAATATTTTTCTCTTTTTTTTTGTCGAAATTATTCTCCACTCGTTTTTTAAAAAACATCAGGTTCAAATCGAAAAACTTTTATATTAAATAAATTCAGTCATCTATTTTTTTTTTTCATATATCACCTTCTAAAACAACACATTTAATTTTTTTAAAGAGATTTTGAAATATATTTTGTTTATATAAATTAAAGTCATCAGTTCCTGCCCAATGCCACATCCTATTCAAGCCGAAACCTCCTCAGGTTTCGGGTTCACAGGTAAGTAAAAAGAATACATCGGCTTGCTTATCTCTCCATTCTTCGTGTACTCGTCGAAACTTCTACTGTTTTAAGTGTATAAAATGGAGCAGCGATTTTTTAGATTCTGATGATACAGTTGCACAAGTTCATCTGAAAATCATTTTTAGACGCTCAAACAAATTTTCTATATATAGACTTTAGTTTGTTCATATTCATAAACGACAAAGACCGTCTTCTGTTTTGTCTCCCAAAGTTGAGTTTTGAACATCAATCTCTTCCAACAACAAAAACTGCCCTTCCACAAAACCTTCTTAGTTTTGTTCTTGCTTCGATTCTGTTTCTCCTTTATATACAAACCCTAAATGGTGGGTCCGGTGGCTAGTCCCTAGATCCGGCTTCGTTGGCTGTCGAGATTCTTGAAATGGGTTTGCGGTCGGGGCTGATGTGCATGTCGAACATAGCTCTGATATGCTTAGGGTTTGTCATGATGGGAACCGGTCTTTACAAAAAGAGAACAGTGTCACAATGCTTGCCGAACACTGGACCGGCCTTTCTCCTGATAGGATTGCTCTTGTTTGTGATCCCTCAGCTCGGGCTTTACGCCACCTGTTGTCGCTCCAAACGCCTTTTCTCGGTATATTTCTACTCGATGGTGGTGGTCATTCTCGTGGCCGGTGGCTACTCTTTAAAGTGCTTCGTCTACGTCACCAATTTTAGGATAACCCGTGATCCTTATATGGACGCCCGACCCGTCGACCAGTTCTTCGGCCGGCTTGTCTCCAAGGAGCAGTACCTTAGGACCAAGAGCTGTATTGTTAGGACAGCTGATTGCAACATCAATGGCAGTGAGCACAGTTATGTTTGGGTAACGTTTCTCCACTTTCTCAGTTCTTCTTCTAGGTCTTTGCTTTGATTCCATCGTCTAGTTCTCGGTTCATCATGTCGAATCTTTTGATAGTCACATTCAAAAATCCAATATATCAACGTTTTAAATGAAAAATATTCGGATCGATCGTTATCGCGGGTCCTAAGATATCAAATTTGCACACACCAAGTTATCTATGAATGATTTTCCAATTTCAAGAATGTGTACTGAAAATATGTGTTTATGCGTCTAACAAAAACCAAACTGACACGAACACAGAAGTATTGTTGCGTGCAACCGGACGGATGCGGGGACAAGCAGATGTTCGGAAAGGCCGGAGAGTGGAATTGGAAAACGCAGTACCTAAACCCAAACATAGTGCCGGAAGAATGTGCGTACGAGTACTGTCTGGACTGCAAAGGGTGCGAGCTGAGCATATTGGGATCCATTGTCAATCAATGGAGGTTCCTCTCTGTCTTCTCCGACTCCGCCCTCGTCGTCTCTTTCGTCGCCTTCTCCATGGCTTGGTCCTTACTCCGAAGCATCAACCAGTCAGACGATTACCGAGGCTCTTACAGTTGATCACCACCATCCTCCCCTCTCTCTTTGTAATGATATCTGTGACCTCTCTCACTCTCCTTAGGTTTTATGTTTATCTTCTCTTCATGTCGGGTTGATCACTATTACATGTAGAGGATAATGTTACGACTTTCAGGAATTTTGGTATTCTTTTAAATTTGATTGAAATTGTATATTCCAAATTATATACATTTTCCCCCGAATTTGTTATAAGTCATTCACTAATTATTTCCTATCCTTTATGACCTTGAAATGTTGCATGGATTTGTAAAACGCCAATAGACAATCTTTCTAACGGTTTCCTATATATAACATTATAACATATGCCTCTACATACATCTGTATATATATTTAATGACTGGCACACCGACGACGCGCTTTTACTATTTTTAATTTTATCAAATCCCATGCAATGCATCATCGCCTCCCATGTGCTCCCTCGTCAACAGATCCGAAGGAAACCCAAAAAAAAAAAAAAAAAAAAAAAAATCCCCATCTTTTCTGGGCATTGGTCCATTTTGCCATATCCTAAAAATCTCTTCTGGGCATTCTTCAAAATTTGATCTTTTTTCATATGGAGGATCAGCTCAAGCAACTCCGTGGAATTTTCGATAGGTTCGATATGGATTCAGATGGGAGCTTAACCATCTTAGAGCTTGCGGCCTTGCTCCGTTCCATCGGCCTCAAACCCTCAGGTGACCAGATCCACGTCTTGTTAGCCAGCATGGATGCAAACGGTAACGGCTCTGTGGAATTTGATGAGCTCGTCGGGGCCATTCTTCCCGACATGAACGAGGAGATACTCATAAATTCCGGGCAATTGCTCGGAATCTTCAGATCATTTGACAGGGATGGGAATGGTTACATCAGCGCAGCCGAGCTTGCGGGTGCAATGGCGAAGATGGGTCAGCCTCTGACGTATAAAGAGCTCACAGATATGATCAGAGAAGCCGATACCAATGGCGACGGTGTCATAAGCTTTGGTGAGTTTGCTTCCATCATGGCGAAATCTGCATCGGATTTTTTCGGTATTGCCTTGCCTTCATGACATTATCCGACCCTAGATCATGACTGTAAATTTCTACCTAGGTTCTGATCATTCTAACCTAAAATAGATAAGATCGATCCTTATCGTACCTTGATAATAAAGAATGTAGCATTAGAAGGGGCGACCGGATTTTTTTCTTGCCTGTGGACGATGAACAAGATCAGAGAATGACACCGAGAAACGGGAATTCTTGATATGCAAAAAATGACTACGGAATCTAGAAAAATTGTTCATGGGGATTCGCCCCTTGTTTTAATGTAAACCTGGCACCAAGGTATGCCTTCAATTCTGGAACTGCTTCAATGGCTTTGACCAAAGCTGTGTCAACTGCTTTCTGGTCATCTTTCTTCTGTCGTGGAAGTTTCTTCTTCTCCTACGGAAATCAAAACGCATCTCAATCACAGTTTCTTATTTGATCAAAGCTGTGTCAACTCCCATCATTTATTTCCTCCCGAATCAATTCGGATCATCAAATGCGAAACAGAGTACGAGACAAATTGAGATTATGCCACACCGTTTACCATTATATCCCGAACACGATTACTCGTATGACCAAATAAACCCCTTTACCGATTTATCCATTAAGATTAATGTATGAGTTTGTTTTAATTAACGTACCTCTTTCTCGGCCTCAAAGAACTCACCTTCTCCTTTCTTCTTTTTCTTCTCAGCAACCTTGGCAAAGTACTTGCCATCGAACTTCTCGATGTTAACTCCAGAGATGTCAACCTTTGTGGAAGTGCCAACTAGTTAACGCGTCTCAATGGAACACCGTTGATCTTGAATGGTCCTGGAGGTAAAGAACGAAATGGATCATAACAAGACTTCACAAACAGAATCAAAGCAGATGAACTGGTTTCTGATGGATCAATCGGTGAAAGATGAAACAAGACGTTCATCCCTAAATAAAATCTTGACGAAAGCAAATAAAACTATCCGGTTACCAAAAGCAAACCGGAAGGAAGTTGCTTAAAAAAACCACTCCTTTACTCTTGAATCTACAGGCAAGAATGATCAACACCGTACCCGGGGTGATGCTGGATCTGCGGTACAACCGTAATAAAATTCCCATACGTGAGAAACATTTCAGAATCCTGTGGTTTTGAAAACCAATTCAAACATTTAACAAAAACCATTCTATAGAGGATTTGACGCACTTGCCCGTATGAATCTAAACTTGTGAAACTAACCATATGTAAATCTGTAAACTTTTTTCCCAGAGATGAAATCTTTTTACACATTCAAGAGAGCATAGACAGGTTAGAACTGTAATATCATCGAAACCAGCATATCTATGGAATTAGCATTTTCACAAATCCTCCAAAAACCCTCGTTTGGCCTAGTATATCAATATATCCTGCGAAAACCCTATTTGCAAGCTAAATTCAAACAATCTGGCGAATCATTACGTACGATCTAATAAAACCAAACGCATCAGATACATGCGTATCTACGAACAGCAGAGAAAACAATCAAGGACCTGAGCTTCGTGGGTTTTGGTTTGCGCTTGTTGACAAGCAGTTTCTTGACGTCGTCGGCGGGATAAAACTTGGGCGGCTTCTCCGCCGGAGACTGAAGCTTGGGCTTGGGGTCATGGTGGGGGAAAACGCCGCCGTTTTTTGCCTTGACGGCCCATAAACCCCTCTTGTGATACATCTTCGACCTCGAGAATTTACCAACACCTCTGATCAGCTCAGGGTTTCTGCTCACTCTCGCCTTCCTCTGCTTCGCCGCCATTGTTGCTTTGGCGCCTCCGACGCTCTCTAGGTGCAAACCCTAGAAAAAGGACTTCGGGAATTCGCCGGCGGTCGATAGAGGAGCGGGACGCGAGAAGAAATTTGAGAAAATACCGTGCGCGCGCCTGTGTGGACCGAACTTGCGCTTCGTTGAATCCCATTTGATTGTATCCGGTTAGATCCGGTTTACGCCGGTTCAAAACCAGAATTCAAGAGACGATTTTAAAAAGGAAAGTTCATGGACATCATTCCAAATTTCCAATGGGTGGCATTTCTTGTTTTGGCTATATCTAGATTTGATTATTTCGATTTTTTGAAAAAAATATTCAGTCAGTTTTTATATTTATATTGAACTTAATTTGGTTTGATTTCTATTCAATTCGATTCGACTTTTATGGTAAAAATATTGATCAGTAAAAACTAAAATTTTCGTCTTAACGTTCTATTCTAGATTTCATTTTATTTATTTTTAATAATATCATATTTACTCAATTCTATATCCAAATTTTTATTTTGGATACTTTGTTTTGTTTTATTTTATTTGGATCAGTCACTTCCACATGCAACTTCAAACTTAGTATCCTATTTTTCTAGCAATGCAAAGTTGAAACCATTTTCTTGAAACTCTTCATTTTTCAAATTTTCAGTTCCTACAAATTATTTACGTTATGCTAATTAAAAAAGTTAATATTCCGTTGTATATTATATTAAAATTTGAATTAAAAAAATACTATGTATTTGAGCAAACCAAGATAAATCACGTTCCATAAATTTTTTCATAGCAGAGTTTTTTTCTTCTTCTGTCACTCCAATAAACCACAATTAGAGACGATAATTTTCGAATAAGGACGGTTAAATCCTCTCTCGGCGACCACTGCTCTCTTATCGCCAATCAATTTAGCAACCCTGTTTTGATACAACAAAACCCTTAATTAAAAATATAATTACCCAAAACCCTAACCCCTCTAATCATATAAATAAATAAATAAAAATGATTCATTTTTCACCTGAAATAAGGAGATCCAGTGTTCTCTTTGACGGTCTTGACAGCTCTCATCTTCTCCACCACGTTCATCCCTTCCACGATTTCTCCGACCACTAACACGGACTCGTCAAGCTCCGACGAATCCGCTGTCGTTATCACGAACTCTGTCCCGTTCGGTCCCACGCCGACCTATGCCCGTTACAATGTATATGTGATAGAACACGAGTCTTTCTAAGAATTATATATATATATATATAAAAGAAATACTTAGAGAAGTTTATTAGAATATTTGTGTGGGTTGATTTGTTTTCATTTGACTTTGTATAAATAATTTATCGGATACAAAATATTTGTATCATACAAGTTAAATTAAACAGAATATACATCGGATTAAATCGGATAGACATTTTTATAAAATCGAACAAAATAAACGTAAAGAATTTTTATAAGTGAGATTTTTCTGCGAATATTATATTTTTCAAGAAAAAAGTCAAATAAAATAATTCGTTAATAAAAAATACAAGTATATGAAGAAGAGATGATATTGATTTACGATTTGAAAATATCGTATAGAAAAATTGTTCGAAACAAATGTAGAGAATTTTAAGTGAGTATTGTCTGTGAATATTTTTTTAAAAAAAAAGACTAGATAAATTATATTTAAAAATAGAAAATATATAAGCAGAGATTACTATATGAAGATATGGCATTAAGAAAACCATGGAAATTGGAATGAGAACTAATAGAAAATTAGAAGGAAAGAAACATATAGACTTTTAAGTGAGAATGCTTTAACTACATAAATTTGAAAATAAATTTTGGAAAAAATATATTTTTTTATCCAAATTTTGGAAAATATAACAACTAATACAAAATCAAAAAAAATCAAATACACCCAAAAATCGAAGTTTAGAAAATATATATAATTTAAGGATATGTGTAACAAATATATATATATATATTTGTGTATGTGATAATACCTCTTCCTCGTCGATCTCTAATTTACCATTTCTAGCCACAAGTTTTGCCTTCGGCGGAGGCCGCGACGGATCAATCACCACGATTCCAACTTTCCCGGCCAAATTCTTCGTACATTTCTCTTCCTTCGATCTCTCCCACTCTCCGATCAGATTCTCGAAGCTTCCCGTTTCTCCGTACGACCGGATTCCACCGTGTTGGATGTAATTGGGCATGATCTTCACGAACTCTTTTCTCCGATAGCTTATTCCGGCGGCTCCGGTTACGAGGGTGACGAATCTCGCCACTCCGGCTGGAACTTCGTCGGCGTAGAGACCGATGACGATTTTTCCGGTGGGTTCTCCGTCGATCGATATGTCGAGGAATGCCTTCTCCGTTGGGACCTTGGAATTTCATTGTGATTTAGACAGCATAGTACATGGAAACGATTCAAATTCAAATTCAAATTCAATGTGGATGTTTGGATGAATGCATTCCAGGTTACAACGTTGTCTTACTTTATCTCGGCAACTGGTTGAAGTGTCTTTGTCGGAACTAATCTGGTCTGCTCGAGCTTTAGAGAGGTCGGGAAACAGTGGCGTCACAGTCTGAGAACCGACGAGTAGAAGCAACGGAGATGTACTAATCTCTCGACGCGATACCTTGCAGTCTCTTTGAACTGACGGCGAGGCTGCGGCGGAGCTCCAGCGGATCTGCGTCGGCGGTGGAAGTTTCGCCGATGGGTATGGGAGCTTAGGGCTTGGTAACATCTTTCAGTTCTTCTTTTGGCAGAGATGGGGACAAAAACATATGTATTGGGAGATTACATGGATAAGAAATTCGGGAAGATGAGCCACATTTGTTGATTGGAGAATCATTTGTTGTGGTGTGGGGCCTTCTGCGAATTGCTTTTTTTTTTCTTAAAAAAAAAAGATTTTTGTGTAAATTTGGTGGATGTTAGTTAAAACATATGAACAAATAAATACAAAACCGAAGTTTACTTGAAAAGATGTTAAATATATAGAAATTTGATAATTGAAAATTTTCTTTTGGTGATTTGTCTAGTACAAGAGAGAGGGTGACGAGGAGATGAAGGCGTAGAACTGTTTATTTGGAAACGAATCGTTGGTAGCGACTTAAAGTTTTTGTAAATTTTTAAAGATTTAATTCAAAATCGAAATGAGTGAAAACCAAAAAAATTTATTTGGTTGATTTCAAATAAATTTAAGATTAAAACCATATTGATGATGTTCAATATAAGAATCATATAATTTAGGATTATTTTGTTGGAATAGAGACCATAATAAGATGAGTTTGATTTAGATCGAGGTAAACTTATGTTAATAGAAATTTCTCTATTGATACACACTAGGTATGAA